AAATTTGTCACTACATAAAAAGATTACATGACGTTATTTGTTACAAATTTAGTCCTCGTTAGTCTTTTAATGAGGTTTTGTTAGTTTGCATCGTTTTAAGTTTGGTTAGACGAAATTTTATCAACAAAAAAAAAGTACCCCGTTTAAATGTAAACAAGCAAAATAATTATTCACAATCATGTAGTAACATTTAAAAGATTAAAGATATTGGAAGGAAGTTTTCCCACATTTGAATCAATTTCAAATTTTGACACATGGTAACAAAATAGTATCAATCATTCCAACTTTCCAACGATCCGTTTAAAAGTTATGACAAATTTAGTAAACTAATATTTTTTTCGCATAGAAAAAACACAACAAGAAATGAGGAAAAAAACAATGTGGTCGACCATGACTAAAATGTAATCGACTGGGAACAATGTGATTAGATGATGATGATTATGGATAGATCGTATTAGTTCTTTTATTAGGATGATAGATCGACAACATAAGCACAAACCAATAGTATATACTAATGACATGATCTTCTAAAATATTTTAAGAATCCATCTAATTAGTTCCAAATTTGAATAACAGCAATAAACACATGATTATTCATCACAAAGGCGTAATTTTTAATCAGAAAAATATACTACTGAAAATCAAAGGCTCGAAAGAAAACTATCCCCCCAATGTACTTTATAATCACGAGAAATATTTTTTAAAAAAAACAGAGTAGAATATAACGGTAATCCAAATCTACACCACAAACACAAAAACACATGAACTACTACTACTCAGTATAATAATGGATAAATAAGTTAAACTATTTCACTAATGTGCATCAATCCCTAAAAGTATGCCACCAGTATTCTTTTATTTCTCCCACCATAATAATAACAATAAAAATGATTCAAAGAGACGACAAAGAAGAAATTATTCTTGTAGATCTTATAATATCAATGATTTTTTTTGGTGAGCTTATAATATCAATGATTAATAACCATAATAATACTTATAACAATAATAATTTCAGTAAAATCCATTATCAACAACATTTTTGCAAAGAAACTGTTGTGTAAAAGATAATAATAAAAAAAGCAAAAAATCAATCTATTCAAAAATCTAATCCCATCTAATGTCTCTCTCCACGCACAAAAGGTCTAAAAGCCACACCACACACATCAGTCACCAGACGTAGCAGAGAGCCTCACTGTTGCAGAGAGCACTCAGTACTGTTCTGTTTCTCTGATACCTCTCTCTCTCTCCTCTCTCTTTAACATTGTCCAAAAAAATAAAAATCAAAACTTTTTTTAGTTTCTTTTTCTTTAATTTCTTGGTTTAATATAGAAAACCCTTTTTTTTCTCCACGGCTTTAAGACTCACTCATCACTGTGCTACTACTCTCTCCTCTTTTGGCTGAGAGGGTAAAAGTCATGAAGAAACTCCTCTGATTTTTTTTTTTTATAAGAAGAATAAAGTTCTTATCTTTATCTCTGTTTCTCTCTCTTTAATGGGTGGTTTAATCGATCTGAACGTGATGGAGACGGAGGAAGACGAAACGCAAACGCAAACGCTGTCTGGGTCTGTCTCGCCTACATCGTCTTCTTCAGCGTCAGCGTCTGCGTCTGTGGTGTCTTCGAGTTCTGGTGGAGGAGGGGTTTGTTTGGAGCTGTGGCATGCTTGTGCTGGACCCCTTATCTCTCTACCAAAAAGAGGAAGCCTTGTGTTGTATTTCCCTCAGGGACATTTGGAACAAGCCCCCGATTTCTCCGCCGCGATTTACGGGCTACCTCCTCACGTGTTCTGTCGTATTCTCGATGTTAAGCTTCACGTATGTAACTAACTCTCTCTTTATTATCCTCTCTTTCTTTCTTTCTATTTTTTGTTTTGTTTTCTTCATTTATGTTTTCTTCTCTGCTCTCAAAGCAGAGTTATGGGTTTTGTTTTGTTTTTCTGATTCTTTGATTTTTTTTTTTCTGTTTGGTGAATCTGAGTTGGGTTTTTCGATACAAGTATGGAGATTTGTGCCTTTGGTTTATTCAATTGTTTGAGACAAACGAATTTATGTTGTGGGAAACTGAAAAGTTTCCTCTTTTGCTCCATTTGCATTTCTTCTTGTGGCATTTTGATGACGAACACTTGAAATCCCCAAAACATTGTCTGCATTTTTTTTGTGTGCTGCTTATGAATTTGATTTCAAAGTTTCCTCTTTTGCTTCATTTTGATGGCAATTGATTTCAGAACATTTCAAATCCCTTTAAAGGTTTACACTTTTTGTTGTTGTGATGGTTAATAACCAAAATGTGGGCGATTTTTGATTTCGTAGGCAGAGACGACTACAGATGAAGTTTATGCTCAAGTCTCTCTTCTTCCTGAGTCGGAGGTGAGTGTTTTTCTTTAGCTCTTGAGTTTTGTTACAGTGAGAGAGAAAATTGCTTGAGCTTAGGGATTTTAAGTTGATTGTTACAGGACATTGAGCGGAAGGTGCGTGAGGGAATTATAGATGTTGATGGTGGAGAGGAAGATTATGAAGTGCTTAAGAGGTCTAATACTCCTCACATGTTTTGCAAAACCCTCACTGCTTCTGATACAAGCACCCATGGTGGCTTCTCTGTTCCTCGCCGAGCTGCTGAGGATTGCTTCCCTCCTCTGGTACTACTCCACTCTCTGTAGATTCTGTAGTAAGACTAATCAGCTTTGAACATTGCACATTGTGTTCTAGTTGTTCTTATATTAACTCATAGTTAGAGATTTAAGTGCATAATCATATTGTTATGTAGGACTATAGCCAGCCCCGGCCTTCTCAAGAACTTCTTGCTAGGGATCTTCATGGCTTGGAGTGGCGATTTCGCCATATTTATCGAGGTAAGTTTGTTGGCTTATGTTTCTTTTTCTTGCATTGAGAGAGTAGATGGAAATTTTGAATGGTTTGAGTCTCTTTTAGGGCAACCTAGGAGGCATTTGCTCACTACCGGGTGGAGTGCATTTGTGAACAAGAAGAAGCTAGTCTCCGGAGATGCTGTGCTTTTCCTTAGGTAGTAAAGAAAACTTCTTTGTTTTCTCACTACACAACCTCTTTGATTTCTTGTTAGAGGGTTTGTGATATATGGGTTTCTCTGATATAGAGGTGATGATGGCAAACTGCGACTAGGAGTTAGAAGAGCTTCTCAAATCGAAGGCACCGCTGCTCTCTCGGCTCAATATAATCAGAATATGAACCACAACAATTTCGCTGAAGTGGCTCATGCCATATCAACTCATAGCGTTTTCAGCATTTACTACAACCCCAAGTAAGCTCCAACCATAATGACTTTTTCGTTTTCAGCATTTAAAATTTCGCTTCAGAATCATCATTGGCATCTCCTGAGGCCTTAAGTTGTGTATTGTTCTTGTTAATTGTTCCTTAAAAGCTTGTTGAAATCCAAGTCTCAGTAACATATGGTGTTTGTTAAATCCATGGAATGCCTCCTAAGAATTTAGCATTAATGTTCACTGGAATTGCATTTGGTAAAACGTTTTCAGGGCAAGCTGGTCAAACTTCATAATCCCTGCACCAAAGTTCTTGAAGATTGTTGACTATCCATTTTGCATTGGTATGAGATTTAAAGCGAGGGTTGAGTCTGAAGATGCTTCTGAGAGAAGGTGACTTATAATTCAAGCTTTATGTTAACCTTGCCATACCTGAGTTTTATATGCCCATCTTTTTAAAATGTTACACGTGTTTTGTCAGATCCCCTGGGATTATAACTGGAATCAGCGACTTGGATCCTATCAGGTGGCCTGGTTCAAAATGGAGATGCCTTTTGGTAAGCTATGAGTTATGATATTTTAAGAAGTCACTAGCTTGGTTTGAGAGGCCACCTATTAGATTGTTGCTTGTTTTATATATATCCCATAAGCTTGGTAAACTGTGTTTTGACGTCATATTCAGGTAAGGTGGGATGACATTGAGGCAAATGGGCATCAACAGCGTGTCTCACCATGGGAGATCGAACCATCTGGTTCAATCTCCAATTCAGGCAGCTTCGTAACAACTGGTCCCAAGAGAAGTAGGATTGGCTTTTCCTCAGGAAAGCCTGACATTCCCGTCTCTGGTACACATCTACTTGCCAAAACACATCCTACCGTTTATAAAATATAATCTTCTCTCGTCTATAGTCTTATGTTTTCATTGCTTTCTGCTACTGTTACAGAGGGGATTCGCGCCACAGACTTTGAGGAATCTTTGAGATTCCAGAGGGTCTTGCAAGGTCAAGAAATTTTTCCGGGTTTTATCAACACTTGTTCGGATGGTGGAGCCGGTGCCAGGAGAGGCCGCTTCAAAGGAACAGAATTTGGTGACTCTTATGGGTTCCATAAGGTCTTGCAAGGTCAAGAAACAGTTCCCGCTTACTCAATAACCGATCATCCGCAGCACGGGTTGAGCCAGAGGAACATTTGGTGTGGGCCGTTTCAGAACTTTAGTACTCGTATCCTCCCCCCATCTGTGTCATCATCACCCTCTTCCGTCTTGATAACCAACTCAAACAGTCCTAACGGACGACTGGAGGATCATCACGGAGGTTCAGGCAGGTGCAGACTGTTTGGTTTCCCGTTAACCGAGGAAACCACAGCAGTTGCATCTGCGACAGTTGTCCCGTGTGTTGAAGGGAATTCCATAAAAGGTGCTTCAGCTGTTCAAAGCAATCATCATCATTCGCAGGGAAGAGACATCTATGCAATGAGAGACATGTTGCTAGACATTGCTCTCTAGGGCTCTTTGGTTTCTGTGTGTTTAATTTCCTTGTGGCTTAAGTAAAGTTGTTATTTTTAGTTGATTTATTATGATTATGACTTGCTGCTAACTTTTGGAATGTCACAAGTTGACTTTGTAAACTTGTTCACTTTCGTTGCAAGAATGGTTTTTATTAGGTTTAATTTGAAAAGTATTTGGTCTTTTTTTGTTTTCGTAGCAACCGGTTATTTCCGGTTCAAATCGTAAGTCCAATTTAACCGTAAAGGAGTCCGACATCGTTATCTCTCTCTCTGCCACTCAAAGAAAGCCTAATCCTATCCAAGCCAATGGAGGAGACGACATGGGAACAGAGATTACAAGCGGTGACACATATCCTCACAAACCCAACAACGAAACCATCACTTCACTCTCAATTCCTCATCGGAGCCCTAATTCCAAACTACATCTCGTGGGATTACCCTCCGATCTATTCGCAGACGCATCTCCGTCAATGGTGGGTTTCTCAATTCTTCAAAAGGGTATCAAGATTCGGGCTTCCTGATACATCGTGGAGGTCGAATTGTCCGTATTATCAGCCGCCGGCGGCGGTTATGGCTGCCGGAGTTGAGGAAGGGAAATGGGGAAGAGAAGAGAGGAGAGAGTATGCGAGGAAGAGACTGAGGAGGAAGAAATTGGTGAATGAAGTGAATCCATATATTCCTCTTTTACTTCCGAATTTGCTTTTGTTTACTCTCTTGTTATGGGATCCTATTCCTGAGTAAAATTTATGGTGAATCTGTAATATCAGTTATTGAATTTTTGTTGTAAGCAAGATCTGTGTTTTTTTGATTGAAGAAGGAGAAGAGACATAAACTCAATTAAATAACCGGCCGTATCGAACCGGTAATATGTATGGTTTTTAATTTGGAATTTGATTTTACCGGTTTGGTTTCAAGGGTTTTCCGTTTGGATAAGTAGCAACACTTTACCCAACTAGAGAGAGTTATGGGATTTGTTTCTTTGTCCTTGTTTAAACTTTTAAAGGTTCGGTGGTGATGATTGTCAAATTTGTCACAAACAACAATAAATGAATTTGATTAGTGGTAGTACTAGTATCTTGACTCTTGAGCAAAATAGTATGTTGTCGAGTGGTGCTATTTTTTTTGATGGAATGGATTAATATTTCTTTTGGATTATAGGTTTCAATGGTAATGGTGAAATCTTAAAGTTATAACAGAGAAATATTGATAATGGTATTGTATTAAAAGAACTAAAATGATCTATGAGGATGATTACCAAGAAGACTAATAAAGGGTGTGGATGCATATGGTGAATCTAGTGTTTGTGAGTGTTTCCTTTCTCTACAAAAAATAGAAAACTCCCGATTTTAGATCCATATAAATGAAGTTCAAACTTGTATTTGTAAAACTTCTCATCCCATGTTTAATTTGGATACACCAACAGTAGTTAGTGTACATGGTTGTCCTTTTTGCAGCTTCTTACGGAAGCCACATGCATAATAAATTTGACGTGTGCTAATCTTCATATACATGTACCAACGTGTAGTGGTATAATTATGCAATGTTTTAATTGATGGATGTATCACTTCTTATTTGTTGCGAGAATCAGTGCTTTGTAGTCGCTTCTCTATCAATATCATTCACTATCTCTTAAACCCACCGACCTCATTAGTTAGTTCCAACTGCAAGTCATGCCACCCTCAGTGTACTTTGACAAATCTAACGAATGTGGTTAACCAAATCAAAACTTTTTAATTAATAATCTTGCTTTATTTTCTACCTAAAAGATTTGTGGAGCCGTTTATTCGTTTTATTTTTCGGCAGTTGAGATCTATCTTAATATTGTCTGAAAAGGAGAAGTACCAACTCTCCCGGCCCATACTCACATTAGTCAATGTTGCTTGAAAGTTCTTAATGCATTTATTTGTTTTAGGTAAAATATTTAAGAATTACGAACGAGCTATGTTCGCCTATATATGGATCAGCATTACTCGATGTTAGTGAGAACCAATCTTCTTAATTCCGGTATATTAAAAGAACAGAGAAATTGATAAACAAATCTTTCACTTTGGATTGAAGTTTGGCCAAATATAGGGCAAATGATATTTTTTAACTTAAGTTAGCGATTGTTCAATAGTAAATCATGGCTTGTAGTGTTATATGATTTGGTTGTGGTCCTTGTGGATGTGCAAGTTTGCAACTGTAGTTTAAGTGAAATGTTGTGTTCGTAAATTTCAGGTAATAAATTTAACTAAGACATTAACAAAAAGATGAATAGTAGACGCAAATCAGTTGGGTATTTTAAGCCTAACACTGAAAAAAAAAAAAAAAAACGTAGAGGCATGCTTAGGCTCGGAAAGCGTATGGTATCGGTGTGACGGTGTCCCTATAGTGGCTAACCCCAACATCTCTCGTCTCCCATTATTACTCTGCCATTGCAATTCCACTTTCTCCCCTCTTTTTTTTTTGTCAACTAATTTTCTTTTTATTGGTTGACAAAAAAAACAAAAACAAATTGCCTTTTATTGGTCATTAAGTCAACTAATTTTCTTCTTCCCTTAGGAACTGTAGTTAGTTACTATTGCAAAAAAAAGGGGGTATGATTATCAACATTTTGGATGCATGGAAATAAACACTATAAACTTAGCTAAACTGAGAGAACGTATACGTTGGATCATAGTTATCTTTGGATTAGAGCACTATGCATACTAAGACTCCAGATGGTATGCAGAAGGTTTGCTTATGTATATTCTAAGGCAGAGTGTTGTAGTGTACCAAAGTAAACTAGTACAAACTTGCACTATTGTTTTTGGTATGTTTCTTCCGTATTATATAAAACATGTGTTATTGGAGAATAACCTTTTTGGATGGGAAAATCTCATGAAACCATTGATATTTGTTATTTTTAGTGCTATTACGTGTAGAATGTTTCGCCAAGTGAATCACTTGCATATAATTAAACACTACTACATACTACAACCCCATTCTTTTAGAGCATGATACTCATGTTCATTGTCCATAAGTGTAACAAAAACTCACAAGATTAGGTATTAATATTTTATCTAATCATAGGTTTGCTTAATTGGTTACCATTTTCTGATAAGATAATTACGTAGGCCCAAAAAGTCGAGCTACCTCTTTGAAAAAAATCATCTCATCTCAATGGACCCGCCATCAACCATTATCACCGATCCACTCCTTATTTCCACCTAACCATTTACACTCTATATACTAATCAAAAGGAAAAAAAAAACCTTTCCTATATATAAACACTCCCACTCTCTCTCACAAACCCACAACACTCACATCACTATGGGTTTTTCCACTAGCTCATGTCTCTTCTTCTTCTTCTTAACATTTGTTCTTTTCTCCACCCAAATCGATGCAAGAGACAGCTACTCATTTGGCAAGTTCCAAAGAGAATACCCCAAAGAGCAAAACCCTAACAATCTTGTCCCTGTCCAAACCAACGAGAAGAAAGAGCCAGATGACCAGAACCCTGCCTTTATCCCCCAGTCCGAAAACGGGTACGGCTTGTATGGTCACGAGACAACCGACAACAACAATGAAGAGTACAATAACAAGTACGAGGATAACGTTAACTACGACGACTCTTTCTCCACCCCAAGCCTAAGCGAAGCGGCCCAAACGCAAGAATCTTACAAAAACTACAGAGAGAGCTATCCTAAGACTACTGAGATTTACGACAACAACAAGGACACGAGCTACTACGAAAACTCAAATGCTTACGGGACGGATAAGAGAGAGGAGGCGTACAAGGGTCGTTATAACAACAAGGACACGAGCTACTACGAAAACCCCAATACTTACGGGACGGAGAAGAGAGAGAAGGAGGCGTACAAGGGTTATAACAACAACGTAGAGAGACAAGGGATGAGCGATACGAGGTATATGGCGAATGGTAAGTACTACTACGACCTTGACGACGACAGAAACCACGGCCGTTTCTACCAGAATCATTACTACAACTACAAGCCCACCAGTTACAATGAGAAGAAATCCAACTTCAGGAATCCCTACGATTCCAACCAACAGTCGGAGATGTTCGAGGAAGAGCAAGGAGATCAGTTCTCTCCATGAGCATGCCCACATGAAACAAAAATAAGTATTTGCTTTTATGTTTTCGATTTTTGTTTCAAATGGTTTAATATAATTATCAGTCAAAAGTATAATTGTTTGCATATAAAATTTGGAAAAAAAATAAAAATATTATATGGTGATGCTTGTTATGCTAATGTTCTGATGATGGTTCAATCTCTATTCTTCTTACTTTATATTGAGATTAAAAACCAAAAAGAATAAACACGATTAAGCAAAATTAATCTTTTGCATCATGCACAAGAAATATAAGTACCAATATTGATTAGTCAACGATTAGTTTGCGAATCTGCGATAGAACCTTTAATCAACCCATAGTGAAAACCACCAACTACAGATTTGTATAGAATTTATGACATATCGACTCTCTAAAAATTAGATTCCATATTAACATTTGAACAAATTAATCCTAATATGTATGTTTAGTAAAAAAAACTCTTGTTGTTTGGATTAAAATTCTCTTCAAAAAAAAAGGTAGATACGCGATAGTCACGTGACATGCACGTGTCACGTAATGAGAGCAACGACTTCTAAAACTTCCGGTACGAAAAGTCAACAGCTCAACAGATTTTCTTTGGCCCAAACAAAATCCCTAAACCCAGAAAAAACCCTAAATCCTCAACGAGAATCGGAAACTTTCGATGTCCGCCGCCAGATCCGTCCTACGTTCCGGTGTTAGCCGAGCCGCCGTTGCCGCATTGAGGTCGACGAAACCTATGCCGTATTCTGCGCGGTCTTCGTTTAAGTTGCCTAAACAGAGCCCTCTCTCTCACCGCATTTTCAGGTAAACATAGAGTGAACCTCCTAAACATCGATTAACTCATTTTGATTATCCATTGTGAAATGTGTTAAAGGTCTCCGGTGGAATTGAGCTGCTGCGTCGAGACGATGTTTCCGTACCACACGGCCACTGCTTCTGCTTTGCTCAATTCGATGCTCTCAGTTTCAGGGCGCTCCATTTGGACTCTCCAAGGTACTTCGAAAGAGAAGGCAAAGACTTTAATGTCTTAGCCAGTTTTGTTTCATTTTCTCGTGATTTGATACCTAAGTAGCTGTTTTGGTGAAACTTGTTGTTGAAGATGTAAATTATGATGAAGAATAGTGATTTTGATACATAACTGTATCCTTCAATTTGTTGCATTGTTATATCATCTTCCTGTTTATCAACCATATGCTTGCGGATCTATCTCTAGTCGTAAGGTTTTTGTAGATTAAGTGTAGAGTTGGTATGTTACTTTTGAAGGGTTTTTGTGTTGGTCTTAAAAGTTATGTGCACTAATTAATGGAGGTTTCTATAGATTGATGAGTTTCTGTTAATTTCTGTAATTCTCTGCCATTGCTTGGTTTACTAGTTCTGTTAGGCTCTCTCTTGTTTAGGTGGAGCCTTATTTTCAGTTTCAGTTCTCAACCACATTTTGATGTTTAACTTTGTCGCAGTTTTCACGAGTTGAGTTCTACTTCTTATACATTTACGAATTTGTTGTTTTGGTATGCAACTTGACGTTTATGTTGGCATTTAATCTCCATCTGCTTTCTTCGCCTTACTGGAGTAGTTGGGTTAGTAAATTAAGAGACTAAATCACAGCCTTACCTGTGGCATGGTTTGACAAATCTTGAACCAGATTTCAAATGTCTTACATGTAATGAGAATCTCAACTTTTTCCTTTGTCAAGAATCAAGATGATAAAAAGGACAATAATCAGGAGTGATGTAAGCTATCTATCATGTGTTCCTCTTGGAGTTAAGTCTTAGATGGAAAAATGGGAAAATCTTGATGTGTGCATTATGCGCTGTAGTGTTTTAGATTATGATAGTGTTTCACATGGAATGCCAATAGAAACTTTCATGAATCCTGCAACACTCTTTGCTCCCTCTAATCACATGAGCTTATGTTTTCTGGATACTGATATGATGTTCTATTTGCTCAGATTGCATTGATGATGCATGATGAATCTCAAATGAAGAGTGCAAGATTGGATGCAGTTCGAAGCAAGGTGATGAAGTGACAGTAGTCTTGTCATGTTTCGTCTTTGGTCATAAGATTCGTCTTAGATTCATGCATGCTTCAAGCAAGGAATCTTATGGAATTCTAATCGACTCTAACCCAGGAGATTTGTAAGGAATGACCAACCGGTTCAGTAACAGTTATTACTTATTAACTAAATCTGACAACTTAAACCCCAACTCGATCTTCGTTTTTTTGGTGGGTGTTGCACAATCAAAATTTCAGAACTTAAATCAAAAATGGGTATCGGAATTGCAAGACATATTTTGGACACAACTTTTCACCAATTTTTTCATTAACCTTCTCTTCAAGGACCATACAAAAGCCGAGAGGTTACAAAAGCATCCACAGCTGAAAGCGTACATACCGATAATACCAAACCCGAGATCAACACAAATCAACCGGTAGATAAATATAGCAAACTTGCAACATCATAAGATAAATATATTTAACCCGCACGGTGTTCACCCCAAAACAAAATTCATTGTGGCGCTTGATATATCACCTATTAGAGACATGGGGCCAGAGATCATTCCTCAACGACATTGACGAGCTCGTACTCCACAAGAGACAAATTGTTGTCTTCTTTAACAGTAATGTCAACCGGTTCAGTGACCTCGATGCGACCCCATTTGTCAACAGCAAGCCTCATTGATCCCTTGAACATATCTATCTTTGCATTCCGAAGATTCACAGTAGCTCCTGGTCTCATCAAGTCCACTGCCCCCACCAAAGAAAAACCAAGAAAGACTTATATTAGCCCCCCAAAAGCTAAGTGATCCATTATGAATCACCAATTCAATATCAGAGCTGAGCAGATCCTAAAGACTCTTAAAATCAACAAAATCTTCAATTGTAGCATTGTAGATAACATCAATGCTAGTTCCAGGGCAAAAGCTCCAAGTATCTAAATTGATATCTACACTGTTTTGAAGCTAAAATGACGATTTTAAAAGCATCAAAATCTTCTATCTATGAACAAATCTGGAATGTGATCAAATGGTTTATCAGCGATTGAGAGATGAAATTACAGATTCGAACAGACTAAGAAACTCCACAGGATCGTTAAGGCTCTACGAGAGATAATTCAAAAACAGAAATTACCACACAGAATCGGATTAACTCACCTTGATCGTTGCGAGCAGTGAAGAGGATGCAAGCAGTCTCATCTCCAACGAGACACTCAGAGATCCGAGCAGGTCGGAGATGAGAAGAAGCAGCTCCAGGCTTCTGAGGTACGGAATTCTGATCGACGACTTTAACGGTCAAAGTGTGGCCGCTCGTTCCTGGTTTAAGCTGATCTACCTTCACGAACACTGGTTTCTTCTTCTCTTGCGGCGTCTGTTGTTGTGGCTGGTTCTGAGAAGTTCGCGTTGACGATGACGGAGGCGGTGGATTTCTTCCTTGTCGCCGCGGCGGAGGTGGTCCGTTTCTTTGCCGAGGTCTATGTTGGAAATTGTCGTTGCTGGTGTTTGACGCCATTGGGACTAAACAAAATCTCGATATGTGAATTCTTCTTCTTCGATCTCTAGAAGAAAGCCCTAGATTTATAAAAGACTTCTGAGTTTTCTGATGAATCTTTTTAGTGGAATTTAACTTTTTTTTTTTTTTTCTAAAAAGGAAAAGATAAAAGTTTGAGGCAGCCACGTCAATCTAAGACCAAAGTAAACAAATTATTGAGTTTCTCAGATTAAACATTGAATTTGTACCTCTCAAATAATCTTTTTTTGATAATGTTTGTGTAACTAAAATTTCTTTCAAAATAAAAAATATTTTGTAGCAGAAATATCGACAAGATATAAAGCCAGTGATTAAAAATTATTTATACTGGTATTTAAAGTTACTCAACACCATTATCATAAAAGAATGTATTTTATTGACCCCAAACATTGGTAACTAATAGTAGCATCTGATATACCCAAATAAACAAAATCCAGTAGTTTTACAGTGTGTTTTGGTAAATATAAGTGTTCATAAAGTGAGAGAAAGCTTTGTCGAAACAATGACACATTCTGGCTCTGTAATTTTATCTGGTGACTCTGTAAGCCTACACAATACAAAACCAAAAGAGTGAGAGAGATTTCTTTTATGTATCATTAACAAAACCGGAAACATATATATGTTTATTGTTACCTTGATCTGTTTGAGCAGATTCTTGGCCCGTGCGTCTGTTTTGAAGTGATCACGAACAGGCTGCGATATTGGTTAAGGAGGTTAATGATTCTGTTGTAGAATCCAAAACTACTAAAAAGGTTTTCCAAATAATTGTTTCTATCTTTTTTTCTAATATCAAGAATTAGGGACGTGAAGCTCTAATATAAAGAAAGTTTTACTTACTTGCAAGATCTTATTCAACGCGTTCATCAGGCCTTTCTTTAGATCCCCAGGGTGCAACTCACCACTCTCATATTCAGCAGCAATCTCTTCAAAGCTTTTGTAGGTCCTAACATTTGGTAGAGTTTCAACAGCAGGATGAGTTTCACCATCTTAGCGACATTATGTAATAGGATTACAGTAATCCTTATTGGATTCTAATCCACAAACTGGGCAAGAAACTCAGGATGTAAAAGAAAAAGAGCAAGAACTCACTTGTTACCGCCATATTCTTCATTTCGCTCAACTGTGAACTCATCAAACCACGGTAGAATGATGTATTTAATGTATTCAAGGCATGGATTGCCTTGCACAATTTTTGGAGGACAGTAAGCTTTCTTGATCTTTACATTAACTTCAGCCTGAGGATGACAAAACATTCAAAACTAGTTATATCTGTAAAAGTTCTTCTCTACTTTTGTAAACTATAAAAATTGGCCAAGTTACCTCCTCATCTTCCATAAAAATGGCAGATAATGGATCACTTTTGGACATCTTTTCTTGTCCTTGTTGTAGACCAGGAAGCATATCTGCAAGTAGTTACAGCTAAAATATGATTAACAACGCTAGACCAGTTAAAACGTGGTACAAACAGAAGTCAAATAGGAAAATGCAGAGCATACGGTGTGACAAGATTATCGGTTTGTTTTTCCTCTTTATGTCATCACAGTATTCTCTCGCTAGCACGTTTACTTTTCTTTGATCCATCCCAAGCTGGCAAATATCAGCCTACAGATGTAAAGCAAATGTTTTAACCGTCCGTAGTCACAGAACTCATAAGCCAGATACACATAATGACCATTACATTGAGTAAAAACTAACTAAATACATCGACAAAATCTGCAATCATATACTGTTTTTTCTAGCCTGGAGCTTTTATCAGGTGGTTTGTCAACAATATAATAGACTTTCTGCTGATGTAACGCTAAAGCTAAATTTTTGATTCCAAGTAACTAGCAACAGAATCAAAGACAGTTCATAAGCAAACGAAACCTTAACAGTACCTCAAGGAAAAAAATATCTGCACATTGCATGCATGGGTAAAGGATCTGGGCAGCACTCAGTTCATCGGTCTCACTACGTCCCATAATCTGCACACACCTGCAAATGACAAGAAACAGACTCATTCAGGTCCCATCATTTCCCATCATTTCCCTCACATAAAAACAATGTCCCAAGAATGGAGAAGAATAAAAAAAAGTAACCTTAAGATCCTAGGCAACTTGTTTTTGCGAGCAATGTCCATAACAAGAGGCCAATACTTATCCGCCTTAGAATTGATTTCTTCAGAAGACCACAAAAACTCTACTTTATCATTGTCCATCCCAGCAGCCTTCCAAATCTCTTGAAAATATTCTCCAACCACTCTAATCTTCTTCAAGTCACCTCCCATTTTGTTGTTCAACTGAGCAAACCAATCAGCAATCCAAATCTTCACTCTGCAACCAGCTGAAGTCATTTTGTTCACATTGATGACCTTCATCACTCCCTATTAGGAAAACAACAGAACCAAATCAGATTAGCCAAAGCTTCCCATATCTAAGAAAACTAAAGTTAATTGAAACACCTCAAGAGACAACTGACCTGAGCAATGTGCATTCTTCCTGATGGTTCAAAGCCGTCGTAGCAAATCGGAGCAGCTTTCTTAGCAAGAAGATTCTTTAGCTCTTCCTCTTGTATACATTCCTCACCGATGCTCCTAACAATTTTGTATCTCTTCTCAACTTCTTCACTCATCCTGAAGAATTAGTAAAATTTCAATATCCACCAGACCAATAAGCAGATAAAAAATGCAAGCTTTTCAATTTTAAATAATCCAACCCAAATCAAATTGAAGCGCGAAACTGAGAAATTGATGATTGGTAAGAAAACTCACTGTAATCCATCGGACGAAGAAGATGCTTGAGTTGATGAAACGGAAACAGCCTCCATTTCCGATGACAGAGTTTTGACGATATCCGAAGATTGGTCCGCCATCAAAATTAGCCGGCGGCGGACGATGAAGCTTACTAGGGTTTTTTTTTCCTTCACAAAATTGCGAAATAGCAGAGGATTCTTAGGGTTTAGCAGTGACAGTGATGGAGAAAGTTAACGTGTGCAATAGCACCACTACGCTTCACGTTTTTCACGGTTTGATTCGGATCTCCTCAATTTTGTTTTGGTTTAATCCGGTTAGTATAAAAAGGCAACGATGTGTTAATTTAGGAAATATTTGGTAAATTTTGGAATTTAGTATGGGCCTTAGACTAAAGCTTTAATACTGTATTTAGGAAAGGCCCATTAGATATAAAATAGTACGGACTTTGTATCAATGGTGGTTTCGATATACCAAACGTATTCTCGGAGATCATCAGGACTCAACAGCGAGCTTCGGTCCCCGATCACGCCGCAGTATTTACGAATTTACCACTCTCTGCGTTGGTTTCCTCGCCGAAGACTTCAAGATGTCTGATTCCGACATGGACATTGATGATGATGAGGTTGAACAAAAGGTGCAAGTACATACAATTGTAAGAGAATCTGAATTGCTTGATAAACCACCAATTCAAGCTTCCAATTCCCACAACGGTTAGTATTTGAATTCGTGATTGGTTACACGGTGTTGTTGATTAATTGTGTCAAAGTTCGTGTTTTGATTGATGGAATCACCTCTCCCAGTTGGAATTGATGAATATAGGTTCTAGGAGAAAGAGAGAATTGTTAAATTGACTAGATTTAGCTCTGATTTGAGGTTCAAAGACTTGGCAATTAGATTTTCACTGAAGCTCTTTTGTAAAAATTGTGCCTTTAATACGAACTAGGCTAATTCATTACTGTTTCAGAACATCTTTCTCAAAGTTTTGTGCTTATTTCTGTAGGAAACTCTTTTGTTAATTCAAAACAGCAGTTTGGGTAATATGTCCTGATTTATAACTTGTCCCATGTAGATGTGAAGAGGCATTCTGTAACAACACCTTTAGATGAGCAATCAAAAATCATAAAGGAGCAAGCTTTTGCTCAATATAATGGTACTTTATCAAGGTATAGCAAAACAATTCTGCTGAAGTTTTACTGAAACTAAGTTAGGAGGTTGTTGAACTTCTGAATTTTATATGTTTGAAGCTTGTATACTGACAGATTCGGTTCTCAGATTTCCTGCTCCGGGTATACCGCCAAGAAGCTTTTTCCCTGGCTGTGAAGGGAATGAACCAGAACAAAAACGTGCAGCTCTTCCCTGCAAGTTTTTTGCTAAAGGGTGGTGTTTCAACGGGTTGTCCTGCAAGTTTCTACATGTGAAAGAGAATTCAAATTGCACTAGTCAACAACTGGCGGAAAATAGTATGGCTGGAAACGGTGGTATCCGGTCGGATCTAGGTATGTAGTACCATGAAATAGTTATTCTTTTGAATATTGTGATATTAGTGATCCCTATGTGGAGGTAGTTCCAACAATATAGAGGTCGGTAAATACTTCCGCGGTTTAATTGCTCTTCATGAATCAACCAATAATATATTTTGCTTATGTTTATTCAGAAAGAAGAACTTTGGACAGCAAAGCAGGTGTAAGAGTTTCCCAGTTAAGCGAAAACGGCGTGACATCTTTGCCTACCAGAGAGGATATATCTTTCATGAATCCTCAGAGAGTTTTCTCCTCCATGTCTTTTGTGAATCCCCCAGGTTCTCAGAGAGTTTTCCCGGTCAGTAACGAGATGCGCTTTATGCCTTCATTTGAAAACATAGGAAGAGAAAGTTTGAAGCAAACGTATGGTGATGTCACTGACAACAGGTCTCTAGTTATTAATAACAGCAATTCCTTCACATTGAGAAGCAGCTTTGTTCATGAGCATAGACCTTCTATCAGTTCCTATTTAAAAACAGACATGGGAACTTCTGGACCAGCCTGGACAGGATCATTATCCAGTTCTGTTCCTATGAATGAGCGTGCTTCTACTGTGGGGCATTTTGAAAATGGGAATAATACATCTGGATCTGGATCACTTCCAACGCTGCAAGGGATAGCTGTTTCTTCTGATAAAAGCGCAGAAGGCAACACTACTAGCAATAAAAAGAAAGTTTCTTCAGATGACTGGGAACCTTCTGAACCTTTTAAAGCATCTTTTACAATTCCACCTTATATACTTCCCTCGTCTGATGCCCTCTACGATCCTTTCACGGATATAGAGAATCTAGGAGGAGACAGAGCGCATAATGGTTCATTGTCAAGTAAAGGAGAACATGCACGGAAAAATTCCCGCCAGCAGAAAGATGGTGATTCTGCTAGTGGTCCCCAAGCACGGGAATGCAAGAATGATGATAAAAGCAGTTCATGCAGTCAAAACCAACACCAAGAAACTGTGGCAAGAAGGAGTTTGGAAGCACATGGAGTAGTGGAAGGGGTGGCTACTTCAGTGGTTGATCAAAATGATGCAACAACACCTAGCAAAGAGATTTCTTCGGCTGCGGCTGCAGAGAATAGAGTTGTTTTGAAAAGAAGCAAACCTGCAGGGCATGATTCTTGGCATAGAAGTGATGGGTCTTCATATAAAAAGACAATGAAATCAGATGAGATAGATGGTGAAGTGAGGTCAGATGCAGGGATGAAAGTAATGAGACAATTCCGGACTGCAGTTGTGGAAACCGTTAAAGAAATGTTGAAACCGTTGTGGCGTGAGGGCCGTCTTACCAAAGACGTGCATAACATGATAGTTAAAAAAGCTGCAGAAAAGGTAGTCAGTGCCGCTGTCCAGTTCCATCAGGTGCCAACTGATACCGAATCAGTTGATCAACATCTTGGTTTGTCTGCAACCAGAATTGTGAAGCTTGTTGAGGTGAGTTTCTTAGCTGGAAATAAAAGACACTCAAAGCAATTGCATAATCTAACAATTCTTATGTTCATTTGCAGGGGTATGTCGAAAAGTATGGTAAACCCTGAGTTATCAAACCAAATGTCACTTGGTGTTGGATGAGCTCAAATTGATGAGATTCATGTATATTATGTCATCCTTCTTTTCCTCAGTTAGGGATTTAGTACTTAGCACCTAAATTCTTTGGATCTCCATTCCTATCCTTTACCAATAATGGAATAAGGTTGGACTTGGAGCTTGGTGGAGGAAATGTGTACACATTGTAAAACTCTTCAAAGCTTAATTTATGCTTAAAAACAGTTTTTTTTTTACCATTAGAAATATGATTTAGATTGTAATCTTTAGAAATGATGTGATAAGGAATGGTTGCTTTGGAAGCAGATGAAGGGGAAAAGAGAAAGAAATGGAATAATGTTGAGGTACGTTTCCTAACTATTCGTTAAGTAATAAGCTTTGTGAAAATCAAGATTTTTCAATTTAGAAGTTAGTTTTCTGTTCTTTTTGTCACAATATAAGTAGGAATGTTCTCTGTTTTTTTTGTCATAATATAAGATGTTCAAGCACTGTTTTTTGGTTTAGGATAAAATGCATAAATTTTGTTTACAGTTTTGGAATTAGTTTTATCTTGTTCAAACATTTTGGTGCATCATTTGGACTGGTGATCATTAGGACAGCATGAACTTGTTATATGTGGTGGGTTTGTGGAAAACACTTTGATTAGATACTGTTGCTTAATATATATTTTACCTTACAAAATAAGGGAAAACGGTCAATTCCCCCCTAAACTTAGTTGTTTTATCGTATTCATACATAGAACTTTGTTGTGTGTCTATAACTACATAAACTCATGTTAAATTTGAATTTCATACACGAACAAAACAAATCCGGCCTAAACCCACAAATCGTCAAACGTCGTTAATGTTCCGTTAACAGAAAGCTGACTAGGATGCCACATGTACGATAACACAAAACGACGTCGTTTTGCTTTTTAAAAAAGGAAAAAAAAGAGGTAAACTCCCTGCAACCATGATTCGAACACGTGACCTGTTGGACATTAAAGCACTATGGTACCAATTGTGCCACTGTAGCCTGTTGTGTGTCTATAACTACATAAACTCATGTTAAATTTGAATTTCATACACGAACAAAACAAATCCGGCCTAAACCCACAAATCGTCAAACGTCGTTAATGTTTCGTTAACAGAAAGCTGACTAGGATGCCACGTGTACGATAACACAAAACGACGTCGTTTTGCTTTTAAAAAAAAAGGAAAAAAAGAGATAAAATCCCTGCAACCATGATTCGAACACGTGACCTGTTGGACATTAGAGCACTATGGTACCAATTGTGCCACTGTAACAATTGTTATATTATCAAACAAACATCTTTTTATCTATAACGATTGTCTTTTTCTTCTTTTGTGTCTCTTCCCCAAACCAAATCTGCAGAAGAACAAAACCAATTCTCCATTATCCCTTCTTTTCTATCAATTGCTTGCTTCTCTTTGTCTTACCTTCTTCCCCACCTCAACTCAGTTTCTCAAATTGTTCTCTCACTCATCTCTCTCTTTCTTCTCTCTCATTTACCATAAAGGCGTAAACGCTCTCTAATTCCCTCTCACCATCGTCGTTGTCATGTGGATCCTTCCCCGCTCTTCGTCGTGATGACGTTTTCTGTTCCGAAATGACCTCCGTTTCTGGAAACCCGAAGCTATTTTGGTGGAATTGAAGATTTGTCATCAAATTACGGAGATTTTGACAAAAAAAAGTCAAGAAATTGGAGATTAGGAAGACAATCGCAGGACTATCAATTGAAGAGTGTGAGACGAATGGAGGGATGATAAGCTCTCGTTGATTTTCTACCTCTTCCCATAAGATTACTGCTTGTAAGAGGAATAAAGAAACAGAGACCGTTATAGATAATAACATAAGTGTTTGGTATTTTACCATAAGTGTTTGGTATTTTACCAGAAGTTGCAGTGGCTCAAATGGTATTGAGTGTGCAGTCTCAGGTTTAAGATCACGTGTTCGAATCATGGTTGCAGGGATTTTACCTCTTTTTTTTCCTTTTTTTAAAAGCAAAACGACGTCGTTTTGTGTTATCGTACACGTGGCATCCTAGTCAGCTTTCTGTTAACGGAACATTAACGACGTTTGACGATTTGTGGGTTTAGGCCGGATTTATTTTGTTCGTGTATGAAATTCAAATTTAACATGAATTTATGTAGTTATAGGCACACAACAAAGTTCTATGTATGAATACGATAAAGCAACTATGTTTAGGGGGGAATTGGCCATTTTACCTACAAAATAATTAAAATATGTTTGTTGTTCATATAATACTTTTCCACGAAAGACTTGGATACTTTTGATTTAAGGGTCCCTACCACTTCATGACTCTTCGTCCTTATCCATATCTTCATCGCTATCCACCTTGCAATTTTTTATTTCCACACTTCTCCCTTACTGCTCACTCTTCTGATGATCATGGTTTGATCTATATTATAACATTAATGTTATATAGTAAGGTCATTTAAAAATTGGCTTATCCGCATCCTAATTTGCGAAGATGGTGTGTATTATTAACTCTAAACCCTGGAAGTTGCATGTTATCTTAAAATGTTGTAAAATGACATAAAAACGACATGACATATTAATAAATAACGCACAATTTAGTTATTTTATGACAGAGAATAATAACATTTGGCTAAACGTATGAATATTTATCAGTGTTTAACGAAAATTCTATTTGGTGCAGATATTTAAACTTTATTTAGTAATTTACCAATTTAATTGTCAATTACTATGTCTCTAGATATTTCATGGGTCGAATAAATAATGACAGAGCTAGGCGACAAAAGAAAAAAGATATTTTTACGAATAGTTTAAAAATGAGTCTATAAATTAGATGAAGGAAAGTCCTTTAGTAAAATTACTTCACACTTGACACAATTCTATCCAAAATCAACCCCAAACAATACAGAAGAGAAGATAAAATAAAATAAAAAAGATGTGGGATGAAACTGTAGCCGGACCTAAGCCGGAGCATGGCCTTGGCCGCCTCCGCAATAAGATCACCGCCCAACCCCTTGACATCAAAGGTATTTCTTTTTTCTTTGTCAACCATACGTCCATATTTGTATAAACGTATGATCTCATAATTATGTGATGGTTTTGGAAGGTGTAGGAGAAGGGAGCAGTAGCAAAACTGTGGCGGCAGTTGCGGGAAGTCCCGGGACTCCGACGACACCAGGATCGGCGCGTAAGGAGAACGTGTGGAGAAGTGTGTTTAATCCAGGAAGTAACATCGCCACCAAAGGAATGGGAACAAACCTCTTCGACAAGCCTTCTCACCCAAACTCTCCCACCGTCTACGATTGGTACGTACTCAGTTTTTGTTATTATTATGTGATCGGACGGTTTAGATCAGATCGAAGATGGTCTGACCGTTGTTGTGATCCTGCAGGCTATACAGCGACGATACTAGGAGCAAGCACCGTGGAGGATAAAGTGACATGCGAGTGATGTAAAATATCATATCTTTCTTCCGCCACGTGTTTATGTTCTGTTTCTTCTATTTTGGCTGTATTCGCAATCTTTTATTTTACTTCTCGTCGTTTGTGGATGTTAGTGACCGTTGATCTCCACCATCTGGGTTGGTTTTTAACTTTTAACGGTGGCTATGCGTCTTCAGTGTCTTGTAATGTTTCTACTGTTCGGTATATACTAATACACTATTAGCTTCTAATGATTTGGCTAACGTAGAATTTGACTTAAACTATGGTTAGCATAATGGAATTTAACTTAACCATGGTTGATCTCATAATCATTAAATAACAAAAACTTAACATGGGTATGGTTAGATGAATTCTTTGTGTCAACAAACAACTATGATAGTGATTTGATTAAAGTTTAACTTAACTATGGTTGTTCTCATCTCATTAAATAACAAAAACACAACCATGGTTAGATGAATTCTTTGTGTCAACAAGCAAATATGATAGTGATTTAATTAAAGTTTATTTGGGATACAATTATAATTTTTTCTTTTCTTTTCAACTGATTTAATTAAATAAGAAGGTAGGATTATACCAGCTTTCACAAAAAGAACCAACCCAAACCTGAGGGATCATCAACTCCAGATCACGCCTATTCTAAGCACATTTTCACAATACAAATTAAGGACATATACAAAAGAATTTGCTCCACCAACGAGCTTTACAAAAAAACATACAAGTTCAAAGAGAAGAAAGAAATCTCTCACCATTAAACATACCCTGCAAAGCTGCAACCAAGATAGGTAACCAAGAGCTATATATGAATGGAGCCGTAAAAGTCATTAGTTATACTTTGAGCGATGAGATTAACTCCTCTATTTGCCACTTTGGATTCACTACCATCTTCTATTCCAAATCTTTAAACTAGAGAGTATTAACTAGATAATAAATTTACAACTAGATGTCCTTTCAATTTTAAAATTCTTAAGAGTTGAATTATTAAATTTATTATGGTTTTATTAGACATTGTTAGTTTTCTGTGTATGATTTGAAGTTTTGAACTGATTATTTTTGTTGAATTTCTTCTTAGACTTGTCGTTTTCTTTTTAGATAAAATCTTTCTAAGCTTCTTTATAATCTTATTTTTGACGTTTAATATTTTTTTGGAATTCACAATGAAATGAAATCATATCAATAGAGGTATTTTTTTTTTGCTTTAACATCTTTTCATATAGAAAGAAACTCTTACTTTCTCAAGGGTATAACACTGAAACAAAATCTGAGTGAGGGATTCTAACTTTGGTTTAATTAGTTATAAACCCAAACTAATATGAATATGTCACGTTTAGACCGAAACTATCATTCTAATTAGTTTGCACCATGTCTATATTTCTTTTGGGTAATTAAATAAAATTTAAATTTAACTTTGCACTGCAATGTTTCCTTCCTCTTGGGAAGTTTTTTAGAAATCAAAACACTGTTAGAGTGTTGATAGAAAGAAGAAAGCAAAAGACACTTCCTTTTGCTCGGTGGCGTTGTAGGAATGGGAGAGAAGAAGACGACGACAGGAGAGGGCTTAGGGTTTTACAAGGAATATGTCGCCGGAATGATGGCTGGTCTCGCCACTGTCGCCGTCGGCCACCCTTTTGACACCGTCAAGGTACTCAATTTCAATCTCAATCCAAGTTTCGATTTTTTTTTTCTCACATCGGTGTTTATCAGGTTTATACCAAGTGGGTATCTGTGTTTGATGTTCCAATTCGAGGGATTATGCTTCAGACATGAATTCTACACTTAGCTGCAGAATTTTGAATTAAGGATGATTCATTGGTGTGACAAAGTGTTCTACACTGGACCATTGATATATATACTTATCTATGTGTTAATTGTTTACCTTTATGTGTTAAACTATCTTTAAGCAAATAAGATAGAAAACCATTCATCAATATATTTCAATGAGGTTTCTTGTGATGCCGTTGGGGCTTATATAGGTTTGTTGCTTATGAGCTTTCTAGGCATTCTTGTTTTTGGTTAACCATTTTTTAGATAGTGTACCACTGAATTGGCATCATTAGGAGGTAATGATTGTACCTTTGGGGTTTTGAAGTTTGTTTCTTGTGTCAGGTGAAACTTCAGAAACATAATACAGATGTGCAAGGGCTCAGATACAAAAATGGGCTGCATTGTGCTTCAAGGATCCTGCAAACTGAAGGAGTATATTTCCCTACACTCTTCTTGTTATAATTTATAAACTCTAGCATCCTGCAAACAGTTTTAGTTATTGAAAGTCTGGATTTTTCAGTGTCAATGGAAACTTACTAGATCCATCATCAACTGATTGGCTAGATACAAGTTTTTTTGCTGACTTGAAATCATATTTAGGTCAAAGGACTTTATAGGGGAGCAACATCCTCGTTTTTGGGAATGGCTTTTGAAAGTTCATTGATGTTTGGCATATACTCCCAGGCAAAGCTGTTCTTGCGGGTAACATTGCAGGCCAAACGATCTTTCACTATTTTCAAACATATTGTATTCCTCCATTTTTCAATTTTTGCTTCTTTCTTGTTTTATTGTAAAGGGAACTTTGCCAGATGATGGGCCACAACCAGAGATAATTGTTCCGTCTGCTATGTGTGGTGGAGCTATTATTAGTTTTGTATTATGTCCAACAGAGCTTGTAAAGGTGAATTTTCCAGAGAACCATTTCTTTCCCTGCAATTATTAACTTTGATGGTTTCTATGGAGTTTTGGGACATTCACTGTTTTCTTCAGTGTAGAATGCAGATCCAAGGAACGGATTCTTTGGTTCCTAACTTCCGTAGATACAAAAGTCCTCTTGATTGTGCCGTTCAGACCGTTAAAAATGAAGGGGTGAGAAACTCTCGTTGCTATAATATTCTAGGAATCGAACATTAGGTTGATGGGGATATCTTTCAGGTGACAGGTATTTTTCGTGGTTGTTCGGCAACATTATTAAGAGAGTGTGCTGGAAATGCTGTCTTTTTTACTGTCTATGAGTATTTACGGTATCATATCCACTCGAGATTGGAGGATTCTAAGCTGAAAGATGGTTACTTGGTTGACATGGGGATAGGAGTTTTCACTGGTGGTCTTGGAGGCATAGCTGTAAGAATCTATATAGTGTGTTTCATGAATTCCGTCATGAAAAATGTTGCTATTTTATATGAATATTACATCTGTTTCTATGATGCAGTGCTGGTCAGCTGTTTTGCCCTTTGATGTAGCAAAAACCATTATCCAGACCTCTTCAGACAAAGCTACCGAGAGAAATCCTTTTAAAGTGTTGAGCTCGGTCGGTCAGCCATCTTGCCTCTGTGAATCTAAACACCAATACCAAAGAGTATATGAAATATTGTTTTTGACTTCAAATCATCGCTGCAGATTCACAAGAGGGCTGGACTCAAGGGATGCTATGCAGGTTTGGGTCCAACCATTGTGAGAGCATTCCCTGCTAATGCAGCAGCAATCGTTGCTTGGGAGTTCTCAATGAAAATGTTGGGAATCAAACGGGACTAGGATTAGTCTTCCAATCTAATTTATTTGGTCTGATTTTCAGATCTCAGAACCACAAGGAGCGTGCATTTGCTTCGATGAGCTTTCTTGTAACAGAACTACATATATCAAGAATCAAAAGTGTCTCCCAGATTATTATTTTTGATAGCCTTTTAGCTCTGTCTCCTCATTTGTTGATTGCAATACAAATACAGTTTCCTGATTTAGTTTAAGATCTTGGCTTGAAATAACATTTTCTAAGTTTCAACATACACATATTCCTTCAAGCATTTACATAGTCCAAATGCATTTATTTAATCATGTCATAGGTTTAGCAGATAGCTTTGATTGCAGGTAATATGGAAACAGAGAGATACACAGAGGATTACAAGGAGCTAATAGAGACTGACAGAAGAGAGTAAGCAAAGACTGTTTCATTAACCTTCAAATTGGGATCTCACATCTTTCACCGTCTTTATTCAGTTGTGCTTTTCCGCCTTCTCTCGTTGTGTCCAGCTAAGCGTCTCCTGCAACTCCGCTTGGCTTCATCAAACTCACTGAGCTGGTGAAACCTTAAAAACCAAAGTTGAAAGGTCTCTTATTTCTTGTTCTTGTTGCAGGAGTTTGAAAAAGAAGAGAGAAAATTACCTGCTGCATTGTTGGCAGAAACGTTGGTGAAGACCATAGATCCGAACAAGAGGAGCTTTGGCATGAAACTCGCAGACTTTGTGTCGTTTGTGGTACTGTTTGGCTTTGCTCATATCCGCGGTACAACTCTCGACCTGACAAACTCCACTACTACTTGTAGCTTTAGCTTTCTGCTTCTTCTCCAAAGCCTCCTCTTCTTCAAAAGTATCTTCATCTTCCGTTTCTTCATCTTCCTCTTCCTCACTCATTTCTCGTAAACTCCTCTTACCTTCCGCTTTGCTTCTTCTCATACTCATCTGCGAAATTCAACTCTCTCTCTCTCTCTCACATGAAAGAGGGAACAAGAAGAGAAGAAGAAGAAGAGGAAGTAAAAGTAAACATTGGAAGAGGTATAAAGGAGCCCCAAACAAAAGTGGGGAAGGATCTTAGGTTCTTAAGTTGTTGGACCACTAAATTTTCACTCCTAAGGTATAAAAATTATTAGCATGTTGTGTAAAAAAAAGTACGAACAAGCTTTAGTGCTCTATTATTTTGTATATGCATACATGCATACATATGTATCCTTAAAACCTGACGAGGACCCAGGCTTTGTTTTGTTTTGTAGTTTAAGTTAATGTCGATGCTATTATGTCACAAGATTCACCACCCGGGTTTATTTTCTGGTTTATCATGTTAGTGCTGATGCTATTTCACTATGCGGGGTTCAAATATGCATGTTGTTTGACAAGAAAATACAGAGAAAGTGAAACTGAAAAACACTGAAAAAGATAGGCTAACATTTTGTCGCGAGAGTGGAAAATACATGTGAAGAATATGCACTAATATAGTGATTGGATTGGACAAGAAAGATTGAACAGTAGTAAATATAAGTTTTGTGGTAACAAGAATTTGAGATTCGAACTAGAAAACAGACCACATATAGCACATTGCGTTCTTATGAATCATTCGTTTTATTTTCTTTTAATATTTAACGTTTAATTATGCATTGAAAAAGAATAACATATTTGAAAAGATCATTCCGAGTGTACTATTTTTTTTCTCTTTTGTTTTTGTTTTCGCGCAAACAATTTAATTGGGACCAATCAATCATGGAGTGAGTCAATAATTTATCCAACGGTAGGTTTGTAAAAAACGTTATTGTTTAGGAATATGTACACTAATTTGTACATAAATGTGTCGTAAGGATAATATTTGGTTACAAAGAGAAGAAGTTCTTTCGATTTTTAGTATAGGGCCACCACTAAATTAATTTGACAATTTAATTTCTTGTTTGGTGTAGATGATAAGGTCAATCAAATTAGCCATTGGGGCCACGAAGCCAAAAGTGGACTTATAAGAATGGTCCAAACTTGAATGTATTCATTTTTCAATTGGTAATGTGTTAAAGAAAATATATTAGCATAATTAAATGGTAAAAACAGCAATCTCTTATTCGAGATATTTTCTTTTCGATCTTGTACTCAGGGTACACTCAACACCACAAAAATCTCGATGAAACTCTGAGAACTAGAAGCAACAAAATAAAAAAGGCTATTCTTGACGTGAACGGAGGCTTTGTGGCTCGCGCGATTTGAAGATCATCTCTAAATTGGTTGGTGAACTTTAGTTCACACCTTAAAACCAACACATATACTAGGTTATGTCATCAGCTAGATCCATGCACATCCACAGACCACATATAAAAATGCGGAGGAGCGTCTTCAAATGATGCCAATGCTAATCAAATGTTAAAAGATTTTGCCGTGTTATTATGTCACCAGCTAGATCCATGCACATCCACATAGTATATTACACATTTAGAAATGGTACAGCTATGCAAATGTTTACTTTATATTTCTTAGAGGCTATGGGACAAAATCTATTTTATGTCACCCTCCTTTTACTGTTTACGAAACAAAGTCACCAGTTTACTATTTTCACAATTTATCCATATTTGTTTTTATATCAATTGATCTAGTTAGCCCTAAAATATTTTCATAAAGTCACCTGAATGAAAATCATAATCAGTATGCCGAGGCATAACATAAAATTGAGATCCACGATACTGACATAAAAAGAATCGATCAATCAATGTAATCTAGAATCCGATTTATAAAAGGAGGTAATTGTATTTGATATATATGCACTAATGGTTTATTTTCTACTACTTCCTTACGTTGAAATAATATCATAAGAAAAAAATGGACAAAAATAATTTTTTTTTTGGCTACAGACTGCAATTCCCCAAAATAATAACGTCAAGATTGGGCAGTAGACTCGTCAGCTGTCATGACACTACTTATCATTATTGTACTGCCTGTCAATTTTTGATTGTATCTTTTGTTCAGCAGCATCTCATTCTCCTTCAGTCCTCTTCTCTTTTTAAAATTTTTTTTTTTTCTTTCCTCATTAAACCATACAATTCTACGGTAAATATGATGGATTTGTATACATACTCTCTTAACTGTTTTTTGAGTAATATAATGTGTAGTGTAGCTTAGGTTAACTGTTTCTTGTGATTAGATGAATAAAATTTATCTTATAAAGTTACGACTATTAGATTATCACGATTCAAACTAGTTCTAAACTTATAAACGTAACAAAAATGAATGACGTTTTTACCAAAAAAAATAAAAAAAAATGAATGACGTTTGCAACTACAACACTGAACATAATTTAATGACGTTTGCTTTGATGTGTTGGTTAAATTTTGGAATGGACAATAAAAAGAAAAAGAGAAGTGGTGGGGGAACCTTAACTTCCCCACGTGACACCAACGTTAATTGAATTTTCAGTAGGGCCTTTTTGTGTAGTACACTCATTTATTTTTGGTCAGCTTTTGATTAATTTGTAAATCATACTTATTAAAATCATAAAAAATCAAATAACGTTGCTCGTTGGTGTCATAGATGATTGTAGATAGTATAATCGATCTTAATTAGGGAAAATCCATATTAATATGACCAGAGTATGTAAATAAAAATGTTGAATTAGCATGGTTCGTTGGTTACTGATCTTTTGTATATTTAAGATTAGTAAACCTAATTGTATGTATCCTAGTGATTCATCATCTTTAATCCATTGACATAGGTTTGATGTGGGTACTACTAGTTACTCTTTTATGGGTTTGAAGAAACTTTATTGGGCTACAAAGCCACAAAGGGGCCCAAATTTGAACAAAAAAGAGCGGAATAAAAAGTTACGAGGGGTTCAAATGTTATTACGGAAAATATTGTGGCCAATTTGTAAAACACGAGAAGAAAACAATTACTTTAAAAGCCCCCACGAAGTTTTCTTTTCAGTTTTTCACCAATCTGGTGCTGGATAAGCCTTTTGCTTCGTTCTCACTTCCTTCCTCATCCAAAAAAGAGACCTCCATTTTCAATGGCGACAGCATCAGCTCTCTCTTCACTCTCTTCACTCTCACTCCACACCCGAACCACCTCTTCTCTCATCTCCTCCTCCTCCAAAAAACCCATCGTTTCCTTCTCCTCCTTCCTCAACCGCCGCGTCTCATCTCTCACTCTCGTCAAAGCCTCATCGAACGAAACCGAAACTTTCTTCTTCGAAGACGAAACACCAGAAGTAACCGCCAATGTCGTATTCGACCCACCAATTGCTCCCGAAGGATTCGTCGCTCCTCCTTATTTCGACGAAGGAAGCGACGAGACAGAGGAAGAGATCGCGACGGCTTTTGAAGAGCTATACGGTCCTGCGTATAGTGGTGAGAGTATGCTTGGGAAAGACATTTATGTGATGGATTCGAAGCATAAGAAAAGTACAGGTATTGGTGGAAAGCTGAAGAAAGATAAGATTAGAGATGGGTTTGAAGAGAGAGTTGTGCAAGTTAGGAGAGTGACTAAGGTTGTTAAAGGTGGGAAGCAATTGAAGTTTAGAGCTATTGTTGTTGTTGGTGATAAGCAGGGGAATGTTGGTGTTGGTTGTGCTAAGGCTAAAGAAGTTGTTGCTGCTGTTCAGAAATCTGCCATTGATGCTAGGAGAAACATTGTTCAAGTTCCTATGACTAAGTACTCCACTTTCCCCCACAGGTAATCAAAGTTTTGAATTTGATGTTTGTTATGGTTGGAGAATTGGTTTTGGATGATAAAAGGTCTTACTTGGTGATGAACTAAGATTTTGGGGGTTGAATTTCTTAGTATTTTGCAGTCATGTGTTGGCTTTGTGATGGGTTTGTTTGGTTTAAGGATTGGTGTTATGGTCTTGTGAAACTGATGTTTGCATTGTGCACAAAAGTTAAATCTTGAATAGTGAGTGCCCTAATGATTAGAAGAATCAGTAGGCAATGAGCTAAGATTGTGGGGTTTAGTCTTTTTAGCATTGTGTTGGATGTGATGATTTGTTTGGTTTAAGGGTTGATTTATGGAGGTTGTTACTAAGAATTCTGGTTTTATGAGATTGATCTTTGAGTTGTTCACAATCATTTTAGAAGAATCGGTTGGTTGATAGGCAATTGAGTTATGTTTTGGGAACAATTGGCGAGGGTTTATGTTTATGAATGTTTTGGTTATGTTTTTAGAAAGTTCGTTTGGTTTTTTGTTTTATAGATCAGAGGGTGATTATGGAGCAGCCAAGGTGATGCTTAGACCGGCTTCACCAGGTACTGGTGTGATTGCTGGAGGAGCTGTCAGGATCGTGCTAGAGATGGCAGGAGTTGAGAATGCATTGGGGAAACAGCTCGGAAGCAACAATGCTCTCAACAATGCGAGAGCCACTCTTGCGGCAGTGCAACAGATGAGACAGTTCCGCGATGTTGCTCAAGAGCGTGGAATCCCAATGGAAGAACTCTGGAAGTGAAAACTCATCTTCGCTTTAACCTTTTCATCCTCTTTTGTTGAGATTCTTGTAAAATCAAGAGGCATGATTTGTAATTCATGAGAAAAATATGTTTATTTTGAAATAGCAAATCCTTTTCTTCTTCCACAAAAGTTCATATTGACCGATTCTATTACAAAATGCTATAGTCAGAAGGCTGAATCTGAAATAGGCTGCTAAACATTTAGAAGAACGCATATACTTGTCCGAGACATTTATGTTAGTCCTACGAAGAGCCCATCAAGCCCAATTCAGTACTTATAATCTTTGACAAATTCGATAGCTAAGATTTGTCGTTATCATAAACCCAAAAAACTTGGCAAAGTTCGTTTCGTGTCCCACGATTTAGGTCAAAAGGGTACAACGAGTCATCTTCGAATCACAACTTCTAGGGTTTACTTGCGGAAGAATATAGGAGAAACCCTAAATGTTGTGATTCTTCGATTTCGTTTCTCGAGCTTAATTTCATCACTGAAAATAAAGGTATAATCCCATCTTTTTTGTTGTTGAGTTAATTGCAAATTGGCTAATAAAGAAAGTTTACAAACCCTAATTGCTATTTTCTTATCTATAAAGGTCGTTTTTCTAGTTTTTGCACTTTGATATTTTGACTACTAGGGCTTGGATGGATCTCATGGATGCCAAAAAGGTGAAATGTATCTCTATAGATACAATCAACTCGTTTCCAGATGAGATACTTGCTAAGATCATATCCTTTCTTCCGACAAAACGAGCTGCTTCTACATGTCTTGTCTCCAAAAGGTGGAGGAATCTGTTTGCATTGATGTTTCAACTCTTTTCATCTCAACATCATTTAGATTTAGACTACTCAGATTTAGTTTATCCCGAGGAGGGTAAAAGAGAGAGGAAAGATGTCGAGAAGAGCTTCGGGGATTTTGTTGATAAAACCCTTTCCAGTTACAATTCCATAATAAAGAAACTCTCACTAAAATGTCCTCGTAGTTGCGTTCATACCGAAACAGACCAATGGCTAAGCCATGCCCTGGAACGAGGAGGTGTCGTGGATCTTGATATGCGTATTCCAATTGGTTTCACTCGTGTGCAATCAAAGTGGCCTAGTGTTTTCACAATCAAGACGCTTGTTAAGCTAACATTAGAGATAGAGCGTGGTCCAGAACGAATATCATGTTATCCACTAGTGTTTCTTCCAGTGCTAAAGAGTCTCTTTCTCCATACAGCTTGGTATACATGCGAAGACTTGTGCTCTAAAATGTCTTCTTGTTTTCCAATACTTGAGGAATTATCCTTACAACACTTACGTGGTCTTCCAGTTAATTATCCAACACTTAGAAGACAACGTAGAGACAGTAAAGTATACTCTATATCCCACAAAACCCTCAAGAGACTCACGTCTCACTACAATAAAAGTCTTGACAACTGTCGCTACATGCGATTCAACACACCGAGTCTTGTTTACCTTGACTACTCTGGTTTCGCTCCTACTTCCTCTTCAACTGCCAATTTCTTGGATTCCCTTGTCGAAGCCAAACTAGATGTTATCTTGGATTCCAATTTACATCACGATGTTACTTTGCGACAGATGGATGGAGTTTTAGTGGATCTATCTACGATAATGAATTGGATGCGCAACGTTAAGACTCTTTCCCTATCTTCTGCTTCTGTTAAGGTCTGTATCTTTGTTTTCTAAACTCTCTTCTTCCTAATCTTAGTAATCATGACCAATAGTTTGTTGATTACTGTCTTGGTCTCAGGAGATGTATTCAAGATGTGGAGGATTACCTTTCTTCTCAAACCTTGTTAAGCTTCGTTTTGAGAGTAATACAGAAGAAGGTTGGGAAGTGCTTGGGCGTCTGCTCGAAAAATCTCCAAAGCTAGAAACTTTGGTGCTCAAGGTGTCTAAATCTAAACTTAATATATAAGCAGATAACTAATCCACATGCTTGCGCGTCAAGTATTACGTACAATCCTAACTCTGTATATATGTGCCTGCTTCAGGGCTTGCACTGTGTAAGTAGTCAGGGACTCTGCATTGATCGAAATGAAGTGAAGGTGTTGGAGATATATGGGTTTAGTGGACGTGATAAAGAGGTCAGACAAGTGACGTGCTTTTTGCGGGAAATGCAGTTTCTTCAAGTGATGAAAGTCGAAATTGATGCTGATGATGGTAACAAGAAACTGCGACTCATCAATCACCTTCTTGCTCAGCCCAGACGTTCATCTAAATTACAATTCATGTTCTTGTGAGATTCACATTTCCTTCTAGATTCACATTTGTCTGATCTTTGAGATATAAATGATGCATTATGTCTGCGGCAAAAGCATTTAAAATAACGTGGGCAAGATGCAAAAACATTGGGCTGTGGATGTGTGTTATCTATTTAGGCAAAGTGGTGCAGCGAAGTCACCATCAACACAGACGATGCGATCTCATTACAAGCACTGCAAATGGCTCCTGAATTGAATTACATTGTACATCTATCTTGACATTGCAACATACATACAGCGTACTTGAAACCACCGTAGAGCCGCTACAATAGACTAAGTTAAAACCTATGTTCATCGTTTGGAATAGTGTTTGGGATGAAAAGGGTGGTTGATCTCTAAGGGTGACTCGGCGCATTCCATGTGGAGATAGAACTTGCACTGAGGGAAAATAGTACCCTTTTATGTCATTTTTAAGTTTCAGAGCAACCAAAACAATCAAATGGAAACACTGAAGTGTGTATTAAATAATGGTGAATAATGAATATGCAATTTCTGTGGCTTAGAAGTTCCATGACTTTGGGTTAAAGATCCGCCTATATGTTAGCCATAGCTAATGTGGAAAGTGGCTAGTGATAAGCGATTTGATAAGATGTTTGATAAGCTTTAACTACAATTATATATCCATATCAATAACTGAAGCTTTTTATGAGCCAGTCATAACAATAACATTGTAAAGGGCAGATATAGATGTTAGCTAACTTGTGGTAAAGCCTGCTAAATGTAATTATTATTTCATTACAAACCAAACATAAAAGAAAATAAGGTTCATATTCATAATATTCAAAGCCTTGAAACACTACTTGAGATAAGAGTGTTTTCTGCTGGGAAAGTAAACTTAGAGAAACGTCTGGGTGGCTATTCAAAGTAAAAGGGTTTTTTTTACCTTTCTAACGTCAAAGTGAAGAGACGTTAATCTTTCACTCATCAGGTGGGAATTCTTCATCAGAAGCTTCGTTCTCCAGAAAAGAGCCGAGAGTTTTCCTCAGTATGCTGAAAGTTTTGTCACCCTACACCCAGATAATTCGCGGTTCAGTCGTATAACAAGATCAAAGAGAAAGAGTAATGTAAATGTAAGGCTTTTATTTACCCGTTTCTTTTTCTTCAGTGACTCTTCCAATTGAGCAAGCTTTTCAGCGCAGAACTTCTCCTGTTCTGTTATCATTGTCTTCTCCTTCTTCCCTATATGTTATTTACAGGTGGAAGTGAGTAAGTGTTGCCATCTCATAACTGTGGTCTCATTATAAGGGGTTGGTTTGCTTACTTAGCTGCTCATATCGCATGTAGAGCCTCTCCTTGTCCTCCTCAAACTTTGAAATAGTGTCTGTCAAGCAGAAACACATGTTCATCAATTTTGGTAATATCCCACTTAGCTAATGAAAGATTTTTACACTTTTGACACACAACACTACTGAACATAAGAGTAAGAGATGACAAAACCAGAAAGCAGTAGAAAGAATACCTTTCAAACCCTGTAGATGATCAGCTTTGTCTTTCACGAATTTTTTCTGAAGCTCCTCAAACTTGGCAGCTTCATCCTTCAAGATATTCTCACACTGCAAGTATGGATCAGGTCAGCTCATTGTACATTTCTAAAGACTCAATTAAGTTAATCATCATCTTGGGATTTTTGTTCAGACCTCCTTTGAACTCTTTGAAAGTGCTTTGGCAAAGTTTTGTCTACAGGTTGTTAATCAAGGACAGAATTCATTAGCACATTTTCATTTATAGCTTATCTTGCAAACCAACATACAAAGCATGGAATGGAAGATCAGACATCCATCCTCAGCAGCATAGCATACCTTTCTTTCTCAAGTTTTGACTTCAGCTCGTCAATCTTTGACTTCACCTCAGTGGAGACACTGCCAGAAAGATACACAAGGATTAAAGCAAGATTCAACTATCAAACAAACGATACTTAAAAAGCATTATAACCATGGAGTTTATTTCATCATCTTGTGGAGAAACTGATTCCAAATTAATGATACAAATCAAGGGATTGCTTCAGAGTTGAGTATCAAAAGTCTGAACATCTAAACGTTCTGTATCTATGAAATCAAACGAGCTTCATATCTATCAATCAAACATTTGCTTTCTAGTTTAAAGGATACAAAGAGCAATATCGAAACCAGTTGCACAATAGATAAATGAGTGCTTCAGAGCTGAGGAACAAAAGTCTGATCATCTAAAATTTCTGTATCTATGAAATTAAACAAGCTTCATATCTATCAATCAAACATTTGCTTTATCGATTAAGCAATTCAAGAGCATACCACAACCACTTGCACAACAGATCAACCAATATCAAAAAGGCTAGAACAAATGATCGAACACTTTATCTGCCTAAAACTAGTTGATAAATTTGGTCTGCGATACAAGATCCAGACTAATCCACGTACAAACGAGCTTGATATCTATCAATCAAACATTTGCTTTCGAGTTTAAGCGATACAAGAGCATACAACAATCAATTTCACAACAGATCAACCAATATCAAAATGCTATAACAAATGATCGAACACCTAAGCTTCATCTATAGCTATATCTACTTGATACATTGATTTGCGATACAGGATCCAGAAAAATTCATGTACCAACGATAACAATTAGAAGAAACGCTCCATCAACAAATGCACATGATCGATCGACATGAATGTCTCGATAATTGCATAGTGAATGATGAAATCGAAGGTTACATAACCTAACCGGAGAGAATCATGTAACGGAGAGATATATCACCTGGAAATGCTCTCTTCCTTCTTCTTCCGGCCATCTTCGTGCGCTTTCTCTCTGAATTGATGCAACGCCGACATGATTCCTTTGAGATCGCTGCACGATCAACACGGAAACACAATCGCGACTCACAATTGAGCAAAAACCAGAAGAAACGAAGAAGAAGACGGAGCAAAAAACGGACCTAGAAACATCGACATCCAATTCGTCCGGGAGTTTTGCTTTCGGTGATGGCTTCTTGAGCGATTGCGGCGGCTCTGGCCGAGTTCTCTTAGTGCCTCTTCTGGTAGACGACATTGCAGACGAAACTTAGAGAGTGTGAGAGACGATGAAGCGAAATCAATAGCTCTGGCGATTATCTGCTCTCTCTCTCTCTCGTATTATTTGAATTTGAAATTTGAAATTCTGTTTCGTTTGTTATAGCTTGTTGCCTTCACAGTAAGTAATATATAGCCCACATTACCTATTGTGGATGCCGTCGTAGCTGATCACGTACTCTCACTATTTTCATTTATTTTTTCTCAAAATAAAATATTAATTTATGCATCTAATTCTTGAAATTATGGGTAACAAAAATCACTGTTACTTCTAATTACGTACGTACATCAATTTTTAACACAAAGGACTTAACCACCCACCTGAAATAGGAGTATGAGACTTGGGGCCTCTTTTTTTTGTCAAAACATCATTGGGCCACATGGCTTAAGCCCAAATCTGTAATATGGGATTCGTTGTAGGAATTTGAAATCAGTGGACTACCACCATTAGCCAAATCACACTTATTTTTTTTTTAAACCCCACTTAAATTATACAAATATGTAGTAGAAAAAAATTCGGCGATTAAAGGTACAAATAGGATCATTTGATTAGGACTTTATGAAAATATATGAGATGGTAAATTCGGGTATCAAATTTTCGGATAGTTTGGATTATTAGATCGCTATCATATCATCTAGAAAAAGGAAAAAAAAAATTGAGTAATTTTAATGAAATTTTTTGAAGTAATCCTAGTGTTATTCTAAGGGTATTTCTCACTTTTTAATCATATATACTTTGATCCATTATTTAAAAAATAGTTTTTATCGACAAAAGAAATTCTGGCATGCAAAAGTAGGCATTAGCCGGTTCATAAACCGCTCAATTAAGCCTTTTTTTAATATAAAGTATCTCAATTAAGCCTAACAATTTAGAACCTTAGCTTGGTGTTTAGTGCGCTTGTGTGAGTCGGTTTAGAAAATTATTGCATGTCGATCTCATTGTTATCTTGAGATTGAAGTATAGAGACTGTCACCCCTAGTTTATGGGTTACTCTAGCGTATATCTCTCCTCTCTCGAAGCTTAAGGGCTTTAATTGTATTCATAAAGTAAATATTTGGGTTCACTCCTACAGATGAACCCTTCTATTAAGTTAAGGCCATAAATTGTGTTTACGTTTATGTATTTTTTCACGCTTTATTTATTTTTTTGGTTTTGGTTAATACCAATCCCAAAAACTAAACACATATAGCCGTACCATTTAACATTTTATCAAGTTTTATAAAAATCAACTTACAAGTTTTAGTTTCTGTGGTTCAACACTCTAAATATTACATGTGACGCTACCTTACGCTTGCGAAGCTTGGAAATTTTTTAAAGTATTTGATCTCACATAGCTTTATTGAGAACCTCCAAAAAATGCACGTATAATCTGCAAGGCATTGTATATATAGTTTAGGAATTGAATCTCATGCATGACGTGAAAGTATAAATCTTTTTGTAAAACACTAGACCAAAAGAGTTTCCACTATTAACATCAATTTTTGATAAATATTTTCCTGATTTGAGAATAATTACACGGGCATTGTTTACCAGTTTCATTAAAATCTAATTGACTTTTTAAATGTATTTTATCTTATCCTGATCTAAGAATAATTTTATAGGCATCGTTTTGCTAATTTCATCAGATTGGAAAACCAAATAAATAGAATAAGAAGTAGTGTAGATATTAATTGAACTTTAAATATGTGTAATGTGTTGAAGCCGCACCAGGCGCATCTTGTTGCCATGCCCATGTTAAGGACCACAAAACATGGAACATGAATGAAAACTCATGCACTAATACAATATCCCAGATATTTGCATTGAAAGTTGCACTGTAATTTTACATATAGTTCAATCAAATTTGTAACACTACATCTATTCTTTATTACTACTAACTCTCATTAAATTCACAAACTATAAGAAATCATTACATATACATGACTATAATGTTCTCATAAAACTCTCAAAACCGGGAAGTGACTGTATTACAAATTAATATCGAGTTTCTTGCTTAAAGTATTAAAACCTGTTAAGAGATCTAAATCTAAATTTTTAACGAGACATCGGAAACTTCTCACCAGTTGTGCACATGTGCTGTGTATGCCTCTGTTATCTATATGAATTATACAAAATTGTAGCCCGAAATCTCCTATAAATACACCCAAGTCACATCAACCCAAACTCACACACATAAACTGATAAACAGAAACAAAAACAAAAGAAAAAAGATGGGAATCATTAGTAAGAGTGTTTCTCTAACTCTCTTAGCACTTTTATGCTTCACTTCATCTGTTTTCACCTTAGGAGTGAATCAACCTGGTTCATCAGATCCCTTCCATAGCCATCCCCATCACCTTCCCATACCTCCGGTCACATTACCAACTCTCCCACCGGCCAAAGCTCCCATCAAACTACCAACACTCCCACCGACCAAAGCTCCGATCAAACTACCAACTCTTCCACCGGCCAAAGCTCCCATCAAACTACCAGTCTACCCACCAGCCAAAGCTCCGATCAAACTACCAACTCTTCCACCAGCCAAAGCTCCGATTAAGTTACCAACTCTCCCACCGATCAAACCTCCAGTTCTCCCACCAGTTTACCCTCCTAAGTACAACAGGACCCTAGTGGCCGTTCGAGGTGTGGTCTACTGCAAAGCCTGCAAGTATGCGGGCGTCAACAACATCAAAGGCGCTAAACCCGTTAAAGGTACTAACTATATATACACATGATATGAAAATTATCCTTAATATTCACACATGTGGTATACTGGTATGTGAAAAATTCACACTTCACTTCCCATGCATACTTCATCCTATACATTTATTTTAGGCATATATATCCATAATATCATTGGCAATTGTTCAAAACTTTTTTGTGTAAATTTTAACTATATGCTACCAAACGAGATTAGTTCAGAGCCGGTCAGAAAAGTTGTATCATTCGCGTCCTTTCACGAATTGATACACATTACCATGGAAAACTTAAGTAAAAACAATGAACTTATTTCAATGTTTTTGTGGTTGTGGTTACTTTTAAATAATTAATAGGTTTTTGGTTAAGAGACCATCTACTGCAGCGAACCCTTGTCATTGTTTTCCCTAAATTTCCTATAATATCAAATGTAGCTCAACTAGTAAAAAAAGTCTCGTTCAAGTCATGCCCCCAAAGTTCTTAAATCAAAAGGGTAAAATTTACCATAACAAATCTAAACAAATACTATGAACTGGTTGGAACGTGTTCATATGCATAAATAGGGTTTTGGTTAACACGTACGAGCTCTCGCATTTTAAAAAAAAACAACTTCTATATATAACAAATCTATCCAAGTACTACTTTTCACTTTTTATTTTGTTTGTGTTATCTGGGGATACAGATGCGGTGGTGAGACTTGTGTGCAAGAACAACAAGAACCCAATATCGGAGACAAAGACGGACACGAAGGGATACTTCATGCTCTTGGCCCCTAAGACGGTGACCAACTACGATATCAAAAATTGCCGAGCTTTCCTCGTGAAGTCGCCGGACGCCAAATGCAGCAAAGTGTCAACGTTCAATGGTGGATACAAGGGCTCCGTTCTAAAGCCGGTCTTGAAACCAGGATTTTCCTCAGCCATTATCAAAAAGTTCAAGTACGGTGTTTACAACGTTGGTCCATTCGCATTCGAACCTACCTGCCCCAAATGAGATGGTTTTAATAGCTACTTATACTTTTATTAATTAATGTTTGTGTTGGATGCATCAGCTTGGGTTCTTTGTATGGGATTTTGTGTTAGTGTCTTTCAAATTTGCTTCTTAAATAAAAAAACGGTGACGATTTCATTATTAGGTTTTTCTTTTTTAATCCTTTATACTATATCTTCCTGACCCCAAAAACAAAAACAAAAAAGAAGAATTTGCTATATATATAAAAAAAGAGTTTGAATATGTTTAATGGCTGTTTACAAAATAATCTACCAAACGAAATGAACAGAACCGTTGATATTTTAGCCTATTAATTCATTAGGAATCGAAATGACAAAATTTATCTCCATCACCATCATATCAAAACAATTATTTTCAAATTTATTTCCCCTTCTTCTCCTTAAATTGATATATTTTCTTAGTTCACGAAAATATTGACAAGTGTTGATAAACTAGTACAATAATTTTCTTTCATAATGTTGTACATTTGTTTCTTTTGTACGAAAACTCTGATTTAAAAAATTTACCATATACAAAAAGTTATCTATGATTTCGACTTACGAACCGTCATCTTGTAATTTTGTCATTATTGTATAGTGAGTTAAAAAAAAATCTTTCTGTGAGATTAGTTAAATTTAGTAAAAGTATACCTCATATTATTTTTAATAATTTAAATGTAGATCTCATATGACAGAAGAGACACAAAAAAGGATCTCATATGATATATATCATTATATCTTCAATTAAAGGATATATAAAAATTAATTAGGCAATTTGGGAAAATATATAAAGTTTATTGACTTTGTCAAACTTAAATATATATTTTTGACAACACATATATCTTTTGGCAAAAACATGATAAATAGATGGGTTGGTATAACTTAATTACACTTTACAATCTTTCAAAATCACCCAATAATAAATTACTTACCTATAACTTCATTCCATAACAATATCTCATTGGATTCCTTTTTCCTATATATTTATACAGTATTCAATTCTACTAGATCTCTTAGTCAATCCTTATGTATATTTATAGTTTTCTTTAAAATCCTTGCCAATATTTACCTTTGCAAAACTATATGTGATTTGAGTCTAAAATATGAGAGATGTCATCAAAAGTTTTTTTTTATTTGTTAAAAAGATGTCATCCAAACTTGCGACAAATGATGATCATCTACAAGAGCCGCCATCACTGATGAACTCACTTCCCGATGATATCCTCTTGGATTGCGTAGCACGTCTACCAAGATCTTACTATCCAATTCTCTCACTCGTTTCAAAGCAGTTTCGGTCTCTCGTTACATCTCCTGAGCTATACAGGAGACGATCTTTTCTAGGTTACGAAGAACAGTGTCTCTATGTTGCCATCTCTGAGAACATCGAAACCTCTAATATCCATTGGTATACTCTTGCTCGGAAACCCAACGACAAGCTTTGGTTAGTCTCTATCCCTTCACTCCCTCCTATGCCTTTACATGGAAGCTATGTGGTCAAAGGTTCGAGTATATATGTCATGGGTGGATTTCACCATTGGCAGAGGGGGTTGATCACACCGAGTGTGTCACGCATCGATTGTGTATCTCACATGGTGGAGCCTCTTACTAGAATGCCAAAGGCTGTCGTTGCCTCGGTCTCCGCACTCGTAGATGGGAAGATATATGTGATTGGAGGGTCCGATACTCGTTCCCGACAGTTAAAGTCAACGTCTAAAAGGATCATGGTGTTTGATACCGTATCACAAACATGGGAGGTTAGGAAAAGGCCAGATTGGGAGGTGGGCCGGAGGTGGTTTAGTAGCGTGGAGATAGCGGGTAAGATTTACATGAAGAGTTCTCGGAACAGCTATGTGTATGAACCAAAGGAAGGTATATGTGAGACTGACCCGATCTTGCACTTTAGGAACTGGTCTAATTCATGTGTTATAGACGATGTGTTGTACTATTATGATGATCGTAGTAATTTTTTAAGAGCGTATGATCCAAAGGAGAGGGTTTGGGAAGGGGTGAGCGGTGTGTTAGGACTATGTCATGACGGTTCATGGTCACACACAACGAGTTATGGTAAAAAATTGGCTGTGTTTTTTCATAAAGTAGACTTATTGAGTAAGACAATAGAAATTTGGTGTGCAGAGATTGCGCTGGAAAAACGCGAAGGAGGAAAGATGTGGGGAAAGGTCAAGTGCTATGATCTTGTGCTTAATGGAAAATCTCGCATTATGAAATGTTTAGCTGTTAAACTTTGATGTTTGAACCATGTAAGGTAGTTTAGTAGTCATTATCGTCTTGTGGTTCTTGGTTAATAATGATTGGTTTTACTTCAAGTGCAATAACTTCTCTAGATCATCATTAAAAGGAAAAGGAAAAATATCGATGTTTGGCTTTGTTTTGTGCTTCAAAACTTCTCTAGTTTCTTAATAATTATTACTCTTGACGTTTTGGATAGTATTCCTATTGGGATGGATAAATGGATTTATGTTTGGAACGTGTTAGCTTACCAAAGATTGTTGTTTTTTCATTGGCATAGGGCCTGATTGGCAAGTGCTTTAGAGTCTTTACAAAGCAAAAAAATTTCTAAAGCATTGAAATAGATCCAATCAAGCTTTAGAAGCTTTAGCTTTCCTTTTTTTTTCTCACAGCCAAAATATTTCCATAATTATTTTTTTGGCTGTAGAAAGCCTTTTTTCTAAAGCATACAATTTTTAACTTTCCAAAATTTTAAATGTTACAGCAAAAATACTACAGCACTAAAATCTACAGTCACAGCCAAAACATCTACAGCCTAAAATCTACAGTAAAAAATCTACAGCTACAGCCGGAACCAATCATGCCCATAATAAATTGTTGATACCTTCAAGAAAGAAAACCTCATAAGCCCAGTTCAATAAGCTAAAGCCCAAACAGATGACTCATATCTGTATTTTTCATCTTAATCGAATTATGGGAAGTTGATGAATGTATCTGCAGTATTACCTTCACCAAGATTTTGTGGTCAAAAACTAGATTTTGTGTAATCAATGTGTTGACTAATAATAATCTCATATCTATGGTTAGATACTCTTTTTTGAGAAGGTAAATGTGTTGACTAATAATGTGTTGACTATGAAAATCTTAAGTCAACAGGTCCACACACCAACCAACGTTGCCAGTTCCTAACTTTGACGGTGGCGCGTGACATTGTATTACAATTCTACAAAAAGCTATTCCTGGTATTTACCCTTTAATGGGGTCAATAATCAATATGTGCCACTTGTACATTTCTCACCAAACCAAACAAAAAAAAAGAAAATTTCTTTCCAAAGATATTAGTTTAAATTTAAAAATATTCAAAGTCTAAAACAAATAAAATTTACTATTCAATGGCAAAAAATAAATAATTTACTATCTTACCATAAACATGTTCAAATAAAGTTGAACTAAATTATTTACATTTTATTATATAAACTAGAGATTATATTGCTAGTAAAAGATAAATATATTTCCATTGAACCTCTCTTTCTCAATACGTGCTTCAATGGAGAATTCACCAAGATACAGAGATGACGCAAAGAACTTGCTTCCTTCACCAAGCAGCTGCACCACTACTCCGATCCGACTCTTTAGATCCACCAACATGGTTGACACCACTTTCATCCGAACCGATCCTGCTTCCTTCAAGCAAGTCGTCCAACTGCTCACCGGAATCCCCAAGACCCAGCCCCACCAACCCGACCCGAGATTTTCTTCTTTTCACTCAATCCCTCCGATCAAATCCGTGCCCAACAAGAAACAAGCTGCTTCCTTCCGCCTCTACGAACGTCGCAATTCGATGAAGCATTATCTCAAGATCAACCCGACCCATTCCGTGTTACCCGAGACTCTCTCCCCCAGCATCTTGGATTTTCCGGCTCTGGCTCTCAGCCCTGACACTCCTCTCTTGCCTGATCTGTTTTCTCGATCCGGATCTTTGAGTCAGACTCAGAGCCCTAGTGATCCGAAACCGAGCTCCGATGATGACGAAGAGAGAGCGATCAAGGAGAAAGGGTTTTATTTGCACCCATCACCGTCGACAACTCCGAGGGATGCGGAGCCCCGACTTCTCTCTCTCTTTCCGGTGACTTCGACTCACTCGCTGCCATCACCTCATGATCAACCCTAGTTTTGCCTTTGTTTTGTTTTGATGTTGTAAGATTTTGTAATGCTTGGTGTGACAACAATTGATTAATGAGAATTCTTACAAAAACCTGGACTTTTGCGAATATTCTCGTTAACTAAAATCATCGGCTGGCTAATGGATATGTTGTTTCTTTCTCCTTCGTAAATATAGTTTTATAGACGTGTTCAGGTTTTTGATAGATTTATTGCAATCTTAACATGTGTAGAACAGTTTGGTCTATAGATAACTAAAATTGGTCCTAAATTTTCATTTGCATATTAATTTTCAAGGATCTGTGAAACGGAGTGAAGAATACTAAATTTCATTTGCAAACTCATTTTCATTTACATGTAAAACACTATGTCTCATAGTATCATCCATAAATTATCTCTTCTCGAGTAAGTTATCTTTAGATAGATTGTCCTATGGATCAATGAAAATCTCATATAAGTCATGGTATGTATTAATTGTCACTGACATTGATTGGTGACATATGAACTAATAGAGCACAAGAAATTTTGAAGTAATATAAACGCGTATACTGGTGCTTTACGCGCCAAAATTTTAAAAGTTAGAGTGGTACACAAGACTATATTTTTTGGGCTTTACAGTGTATCAGGCCCGACCCTGAGATAAAACACATATGCTGGTGCTTTACGCGCCAAAAGTATATCATTGTTTTTATGACATCATCTATGGAAGAATACATGTAATGTAGCGACATAGCTTAAATCTTTGTATGCCATAAAAGATGGTTTTTGTGAATTTTTTTTGTATTTAAGTGTTAATGGGTGAAAAATATACTATGTTTTAGACATCTCACCACTTTGGGTCGGCACTCCATCTTTTTTATCTTGTAACAATATATAAGAGCATTTACATTGGTTTTAGAACTCCTCACAAATATCTTAACATCAAAATATTACTCCCTCCGTATTTTAATAATTGTCGTTTTAGGATTTTTATTTTTTTGAATTGGATGTCGTTTTCAAATTTCTATGCAAAATTTATTACTTTTTAATGTTTTATGACATCATAAAACATTAAAAAGTAAGAAATTTTGCATTGAAATTTGAAAACGACATCTAATTTTAAAAAAAAGAAAATCCTAAAACGACACTTATTAAAATACGGAGGGAGTAGTATTTTTGTATAATTTAATTGTATATTTAAGTTTTAATTTTAAAACCAAACATAAGCCAACTAAAACAAGACAAGTGTTAAGAAGAATTATTAATAAGAGATCATGATATCTTTTCATAGAAAATATCGTGTTAAGTGATATCTTTTCATAGAAAATATCGTGTTAAGATACTCCCACTGAAAATGCTCTAAGAAGTATTACACTTTATACCATCAACTTAATATGCTACCAATCAAAGCCGTAATTGTAGATGTTAATGACAGTTTTGTCTCCCTTTCTCTTTCTCTGTATCCTTTGTAGATTGGTTATTTTGTGATGTTTAACATATTCTCAAACTTTTTGAAAACTCATATATACCCTATGCCCTAATTTTATAATTTATTTTTGTATTGTAGATCTTTGGAAGAGACAATTCAATGGTGACATCTCGTGAATTCACTCCATCTTCGAAGAGTCTTGGCAAAGCATATGCAAAAACCGAATTATTCCATATGTTAAACCTGATGTATATTCTTACAAATTTTGGTTCATCTCTCAGATTTTATGAGTAAAGTTATCAAAACAGGATACTACTTGCAAGTTGCAATCACTTGATGAGATAATAATAATAAACAAGTGGTCGTATTGGATTATGATATCAACGGTCGTATAAATTAATACAATTGTAACGTATATATGTTTGAAGATACAATGCAAACGTCGATCGTCAACAATTCCAAATTCTTTTTCCTTTCAAGTTCTGAACAAATTTTCTTGATACATACAAAGTTTAATATTTAACACATAGAACAAGGTATGGAAACAATACTTAATTATAGACATAAACGAAATACATACAACAATTTCTGCACAAATATAAAAGAAGAACAACAGATGAAATGAGCGTATATATGCATCATGATCATAAAAATAAAATGAAAAAGATGATTAAAGATAGTTAAGAGGAACAAAAGGGGCAATATCAAGAACCATAATACGTATAGAAGAACTGGTATATATATATATATATATTGTATGTATTCAACTTTTTTGCATTATTTGCCCTCTCGCTTCTTCAATCATATTGTTTGTATAAATGCTTCTCGAAATTAAGAAGTTTGCCTGTAGCAATGCGTGATTACGCTGCAGCCACGCCTGTAAGGGTTAGCCCTTTTCCTCTTCTTGCAATCATAGTAAGACCGGCCACGTCGGCTGCAAGGCACATTGTTCTTCCTGAGAGCACCGTAACTGATGTAGCTGCGCCTCGCGGCTAGTTGGCGCCGGTTGGTCTCCGAATCCATCAAGTAGTCAAGCTCACCATCCTCTCCAATGCAACCTTGGCCATTGACACAAGATTTGGTCAGGGTCCATGTGGCATTGGCTGACTCGGCGACTACGGCCAGGGCCAAGAGGCCAAGAATCAACAAGATCTTAATACCCATTTGGTTTTCTCTGTTTTGTTTGATGATGAAATTTAAATGTCTTTTTTTTTTCTGGTTATAGAACTATTATGGTGGGTTCTTCTACGCCCTTCCTTGTGAAAGGAGGGAGAAATAGAAGTGATATTGCAGAAGAACAAATGTGGGATGCTTTTGTTGGGGATAAAAAAGGGCAAGACAGAGTGTAAGTTTTTGTTTTATTTTTGTGGTTGTTAATTTTGTTTTTTAAGTGTTGGCCCTTTTTTTAGGATAATTTTTTTGTTGATTCACGTCGTTCATTTCTTAGTTTAAATCTGTTAATTTTATATGTGGCACTCCTCTTCGATCGGGTGTCCAATTTTGTAAGGAGAGATTCAATTAATTAATAAAATGTTCGAATTAGCTTGTAAGCCCTAGGGCTAATTGGGGAGTTATTTCCTGCATCTGCTGTATCGTTTTTACACAGTTAAGTTCTTACAAGCACCTCCTAATAGGTATTCAAGCAGAGCATTTGATCTCCTTTTATTTTCCAACGATTTATCTCATTACACTTTTTATAAATGAAAATTCTTCTAAAAATAAATTAAATGCCATGAAATCTCTCGTCTAAAAACATGACCTTGTATGTATACATTTTCCAATTGTTTGTATAATACTAAATTACTCTTGCGTAGACATTAATGATTACTTGATTAGTTCTAAATTCTTGTATAATAGCGTAAGGCCTACGTTATTGAATAAACACAAGAAAACCTTGTTGTTTACTTGACATAAACTTCCTTTTTAATTTCGAGTAGTTGAAAAATAAAATGCTATTCGTGGATTGCCGAATCCATTAAGTATTACTGGTAGAGCATTTGGTTTTTTATTCATTTTGAAAAGTTTTAGTTCATTTTTCTTTGTTTTTTAAGTATCTCCTTTATTAATAATAAAGAAATTTTCAGAAAACACACAATTTGAAAGCATAAAACCCTGCAAACTCTAACATAAATTAAACAAGATCACTACGATAGTTTATTGAATAAACAAAGTACATAAATATATTAATCTATCCTGATGTGAACAATCATTTTACATTTAGAAATTATGATTCTGTATGCCCCAAATAAGTGGTATGAGGCATCTGCTTATCAAGGGAGAATCAACTTAGTTGGAAAAGCATCCAAAAGGCAGAAACGAATAAAGGAAACCCAAAAATAATTCTGAAATTGGAATTACAAAAGCATAGTATCAAATATAAAAGGCAGATATCGAAGTAGCACTGTTGATCCATTCCAAATCAAGATGAAGTTTTTGTTTCAGCTGCCTTGTTGTTCATGCTTCTGTTTCGTTAAGCCAAAGAAGGGAAAACACAAGGATGGAGAGACAAAGAAGGAGTGATCTGAGATCGAAGGCGTTTTCAAAGAGAGAATGGATCTTTTTCAAAGTCGTTTGATCTTTTTGGTGTCAATTTTTCTGTACTTGTGTGCCGTTTCTGAATATTTTTTATATTTATAAAAAAAATAAGATCATTTGTGATGTATCCTTCTCTGGATTTGCATGTATCATTACTTCGGTAAGCCTTCTCTTGATGATGTGTACAAATAAATACTCAAATATACTAACGGTTGACAGAAAAAAAGACATAAAAAAAAAGTTCTACCTTCCTATAGCTTATCTCATGCATAGTAATTTAGAACATCTTCGTTCGAAAATCATCATTCACTTTTCTTCTCCTCCTTTTTTATTTTTTTGTGGTTCAGGTGATGCTTCTTCTTCTCTAAAACGATTTATTCATATACTATAAAGTACCAAAGTAGTCTATTTTTAAGTAGACTCCGTAAGGACAACATAACATGATCACTGTCAAAATCATATTTTTAAGTAGCCAACAAGAGTTTAGAGCCCAGACCGACCAAATTTTCCATTGCCTAAGACCCAAGTTATTTTACAAAAAGAGAAGGCCCAATTTAAATTCTAGGAAATTATAATCAAAGATAATAAAGTGAACAGAAGAAAAAAAAATTACAAAATAAGGGTCATATGTTGTAACGAAATATATAAGAAATTTAAATGTAAGTCCAGTGATGTAAAAATAAACTCAATTAGAATCGAGCCTGTTTAAAGCATGAGCATTTGTTACACATTTCAGGGTTATTTTTCATTTTAAACCTTCAATAATGCAGTGATATCATCGAGCAGGTCAAGAGAAATTAATTGAAAAAGAAACGAACTTCAGTGGCCAAACAGTCGAGTTCAGGGAGTCACAAAAAAAAACATTAATCTTCTCAGGACCATATAAATTAGGTTGATTATTCATGAAAATAGAGTATTAATAACAGCAAGATTTCATGTGCAGAACCATATAGTTACAAATATTTGAATCATGAAAAAAAGTTAAGAGATATATAATGGAAATAATTAGAATAGTTTTTGCCTTTTTGGTAGTAAAGCAATATTGACGGTCCACAAAGTCCAAGTGGTGTGGGTAAAGAGCTTTACCACCAAAGTAAATAAAATAAATAAATTAAACAGAGTTTGTGTCCATTCAAAATGGCACAATTATAAGAAAAAAGTGGTAATATTAAAATGTGAAAACTAAAAAAAAGCTTCCACTTTGAATAAATCATTGTGCTAATGGAATCTGTTGTCATAATAGTTTCTCCACTTCCTTCACAATCTGCCGCACTCTTATTATTCTATGCACTTAGATCTAAAGATGTACACATACTCATATATGTAATGTAAAGCAAAAAGCATGGCTGCTGCTGAATATTATTGCTGCATTTTATGTGCAACTGTTCCTTGCATTTTGGAAATATTAAGACATATGCATTTCAATAAGATATGTGAGTTGGCCCAGAACAAATCTCATATTTGACTTAATGTTTAAGTTCAAATGAAGGATCGATTATCTTGTGGGATAGTATTTGGCTAGACCTAGACGGTAGATCAAATAATCACAAAAATGTTTATATCTTGACAATTGTTTATGGTAAAAACTATAGTTAATAAATAAATTTCATAAAATATAAAACGATAATGGTATAAAACTTGTAAGATCACTATTTTTGTTTTGTATTGCTAAGTTTTACCATCTTACTAATTTTATCCTCTCAGAACGTGGAAGTTTTTAACATATGTTTCTGATCTTTTGTACTAATCTCTCAATAAAAATACATAACTGGCCGTGAGAATTCTTAATGTTTACACACGCACATTTATAAACTAGAACTAGATCGCGTCATATGTTTTTAAGTACAAGGTTATCTTAGCAAATAATTACATTGACATCATCAATCATATATAATAAAGTTAGAGAGGGAGTGTTTTGTTTTTTCTTTTGTGTGTGTGTGTGTGTGTTTCACAACTCACAAGAAGTGTTTGCTTTTCTGAAGATATTTTTCATAAAATAATTTAAGCAATAACGCATGTTATCATATATATTGAGGTTTCCATTATTGATCTTTTTTTTTTTTGGTATCAATGTTAAATTATTGATCTCCGTACTTCTTGCTTCATTTGTTTACTTCTCTTGTTTATGAATTTGTTAGTTTTTAAGAAACCCAAAACAACTTCTTGAATTGTTTTAGATTTGTATGTTACTCCTTCTATATCGATCCTTCAATATTATATTCTGTATACATGTGATTTATCGAGAGCTTTTATAAATTGTATACTTCATGAACCGTATTTGAGCTTCGTGAAAATTAGAGTTTTCAATATATGTAATGTTCCAAATATGATATCCATCGAGGTGATTTCTAGTGAATATGTGTTGATAAAGAAAACACTTTCTCATTCCACGACACGTATGATTATCTTAATCAGATACTCTTTCGGATGAGCACAAGGGCACCAATTAGGAAGAGGACGACATAAGAGTCAAGTGCGTAAACAAAAATAGCACACTACAAAAAGCTAAAAGCAAGAATATCAATTTGTAAAAAGAAGTTAGGAACAAGTCATTTTCCTAAGGCCCTTCTCCCAAAATAGTTAATTATACTAAAAGGCACTTTACAACTAGGATAAACATGTTCATCAGTCGTCCACTTTTCCCATTTTATTCAGTTAATAGTTTCGCAATCTTAGAAGTCACACTTTGTAACCATTTGCTTCGAGATTAACACAATACTGTTTGGTGTCGAATAACTGACTATGTATATGTTTTTTTTCTTTTTTCTTTTCAGTTTTCTATAAATATTCAAGTAATCGGAGTATCGGACCAAGACGTGGTTTGGCTCAAGACCTAGCTAGGAGGATGCACAAGTTTGCATAGAGAGTGGTACGGTAGCTAACGTGTAACGCACGTTCACAAATTATCCAGATTACTCTAACAAATATAAAAGTCCAGATTTACACGTGTCACATTTAACAATTGGTCTACAAAAATCAAAAAGCACTAACCCTAAAGAAAAAGTCGCATCTTGTCACAAATCAATCAAATTTTTCTATTAGCCACTCACTTATGTTCTTTGACCTTAGAGCTTGTTTAGTAGATTTCAAGTCATGTTTCTCTCACAAATTGTCAATGCATGCATGTCGCAGTGGCACAACTATTTTTGAAAATGTAATTTAAAATTTGTTAGCTCACTTTACACAATTAGTTGTCTTATAAGTAAACGAATTAACGTATATCATGTGTACATTCTTTACACAATTAAAGTCGCAATGATAAACTGGAAAATCTCAATGTTGATTATTGGGTATTTCAAACAATTATGGTTGTTGCTTGTTCAAGCAAAATAAATAAATAGAGAATATAATAATAATGATTGTTCATGGAAACATATGTTTGCCATCATCTCGTTGACTTATGGCTCGGACAGAAAAATGTACATCTTCTGTTATTCTCAAAGGACACGTGACAAATTCTATATTTAGAATTATATCAAACACGACTGTTGTATATTAGGTTGGGGATGTGAACCAAAATCTAGGTAATAGATTTTTATAAAATTTTACGTTTCTAAAACTAATTTTTTTTTTTTAACCTTGGATAAAAGATTTACTACAAATCAAATTTGAGCCTTTCGGATTTTTAGATAAAATAAGTTTGTCTTTTACACTGTTTTTAATGTTTTCATCTAATAGATCTGATTGGTGATACAAATTATTACAAATTTTTTAACTGATAAAAAAAGCGGTAAAAATACTAGAATAGTTAAAATGGGTACAACATACCGGTAACTGTAAGAGACAATCGAAGATTATATAAATTGTTTTTTTTTTTTTTTGTGATGTGGGTGGAAAAGGAAAGGAGAAGAGAGAAAAAGGGGGAGGAAGAAAAGGAGTGATGTAGAGTTGTGTTGTGTGTGGGATACTTTGAGATACTGTTGGTATATTCTCTTCTTCCACCGAATATATCTTTATCTTTGCCTCTACCCTTCCTTCGATGTGATACCTAATCAACCACTCTCAACACCAACCAACCACCACCAGAGCACAGAAACAGAGCAGAGAACGAAACAGAGCAGAGAGAAGCAGAGAACGAAACAGAGAGCGAGAAGGAGAGAACGAAGCAGAGAGCGAATTGTGTTCGTTTTGCAATGGTTTGGAGGTTCGTTAATGGCGTCATAGACTCGGGAGACTAAGGGAGAAGAAGTACTCTGCCACTTCTGGATTTCTCACTATTTCTCTTCCGCCAGAGGAATAGGTGAGAAATTGAAAAAAGGGTTTTCTTTGTTTCGTTTATAAACGCTTCTTATGGTACGTTCCTCCTTCTCCAATTGCTTTGATCGATCTCTTGTTGAATTACCTTGCGAATTACGAAAGGGTCTTCTCAAATTCGTAGCTTTTGCTGTTTTTCTAGAAAATTCAAGAGTTATTTAGAATGTAGAAAGCTAAGACCTTTAAGATTCTGCCTCTATTTTGGAGTAAACCCTTCACTTACCAAACTCGATTGATTCTGTTTAATCGTAGTTTCTACTGTCTAGTTTGAGTTTTTGTTTTGACAAAGTTTATGTCTGTGATAGAAGCTGATCCGGATTCAGATATATTATGGATTGGTGTGTTCACTTTAATCTCGATGCTGTTTTCGAATGTTCAAGTCCATCTTTCTACTTCTTTTGTTTTTGATTTAAGTAATCTCTCTTAGGCTAGAGTTTTTTTATCTGTGCAATGAATGATGGTTTTCTGAGCTCTAAGAAGCACCATTGTTTCTCTTCTGTGATCTCTTATTAGTTCAAATTGCCAGATTGGTATTTTTTAGCAAGAATGTCGTATACTTCCTTCTTTATTTGTTTTTCAACTTCTGTTACTCTCAAATTCTGTGATAAGTAAGAAACAAATGACGCTTTTGCAGGTTCGATGGAAATTCTTAAGTGATGGAGGAATATCTGGTTTACTTCGCATGAGCAATTAACGAAGTTTCATGATGATGGTCTCACTGTCACACTGGTGGGAGTATGCGTGAATGATTGTCAAGAGACCGATCTTGTTTCTCACTTTGTTTTATTTGTTTGCACTCTATCCTGTTTCCCATTTATACTTCAGATTCTAGCTCCTTTAGGGCATATCTCCTTTGGCAAAAGTAACAATTAAGCAGCAGCAGAAGTTAAGTTTCTCCCGCTAGGTGGCTTTGAGCTTTCAAATTTCTTTGAAGTTTGAAGCTTCACCCTCATTCTGGGGCATATCTCCTTTGGCAATTGGAACTCCAATCACATCTTGGGTTCCTCTTTGAAGTTTATCCAACTGGAAACTTCAGTCCATTCGTTGGGCAAATCTCCTTTGGCATTTCGGAGTCCTCAGTTGGCTCACCTTTATCTCTTGTTCGAGCAAATCTCCTTTGGCATTATCCGAGTCCGCAGTTGACTCACGTTATCTTTCGTAGAGCAAATCTCCTTTGGCATTATCCGAGTCTTACAGTTGACTCCTATTATCTTAGTCGAGCAATTCTCATCACGGTCTGCAGTTTCAGTTGACCTTTGCTGTCAGTCCATATCAGTCATCTAACGTGAGAATACACGCTCCTATCAAAGTAACTGGATCTGTTAAGAAAGCTACACCGTTTCTCATCAAGGTCAGAATAATTCATATCTTCCTGGCTGTCAGCATTTCTTATATCGTTTGTTTCTGTTTGGTATTTGAGCACCTGACGAAAATCCAGTTCCGTGGCAGGCATCTAAACTATGGATATGTCCCTTACTGACTCTGATTGGGATAGCTCCAGCGACAGTGGTAGCAGCGAACACGAAGAAATCGAGTTTTCCTATGGTGGGCGGGCTCAGAACATTTTCTCAAACCTTGAAGAGACCATTGGCAAAATCGATGAGTTCTTGTCGTTTGAGAGGGGATTTATGTATGGTGACATTGTGCGGTCCACAACTGACCCATCAGGACAGAGTGGCAGGGTTATCAACATAGACATGTTTGTCAATCTTGAGAGTACTCATGGGAAGATCGTAAAGGAAGTTGATACCAAGAGGCTTCAAAAGTTGCGTTCTATTTCACTCTGTGATTATGTGATTAACGGACCTTGGCTTGGAAGGGTTGACAAAATAGTTGAGCGTGTCTCTGTCACCCTTGACGATGGGTCCAATTATGAGGTTCTTGTAGATGGTCAAGATAAACTTGTGGCCATTCCTCCAAATTTGCTCGAGGATTCTCAATATTCTTATTACCCAGGGCAAAGAGTTCAGGTAAAGCTGGCCCATGCCCCCAGATCAACTACATGGTTATGCGGGACCTGGAGGGAGAATCAGGTTATGGGAACTGTTTGCGCTGTAGAAGCAGGGCTTGTCTACGTCGATTGGGTTGCCTCCATCGTAATGGGGGGTGATCGGAATCTAACTGCACCTCAAGCTTTACAGAATCCTGAGAGTTTAACTTTGTTACCTTGTGTTTCTCATGCAAGTTGGCAGCTTGGTGACTGGTGTATACTCTCTGGCTCTTCCCACTGTGATATAGCAGAGCGACAAACTCCAAATGTGGTTGCCTACAATCTCAACGAATGCCATAAGGCATTTCAAAAAGGGTTTAACAGAAATATGCAGAACTCTGTTTTGGATGAGCTTTTTGTTATTACAAAGACAAAGATGAAGGTTGATGTTATGTGGCAAGATGGTAGCTGCAGTCTGGGAGTTGATTCCCAACAGCTGCTTCCTGTTGGTGCTGTTAATGCTCATGATTTTTGGCCCGAACAGTTTGTTGTGGAAAAGGAAACCTGCAACAGCAAAAAATGGGGAGTTGTGAAGGCTGTCAATGGAAAGGAACAAACTGTGAAGGTACAATGGACAACACAGGTTGAGAAAGAAGCAACATGTTGTGTTGGTGAGGTGATGGAGGAAATTGTCAGTGCATATGAACTGCTTGAGCACCCTGATTTTGGATTCTGTTTCAGCGATGTGGTGGTCAGGTTATTTCCAGAAAGAAAAACTGATCCAAATGCAGACACAATCGTCTCTACAGTGACGAAACAAAACCTACTTACAGAGAGTGACTACAGTGGCGCATATTGTTTGTCAAGTATTGGTGTTGTTACAGGTTTTAAAAATGGTGGCGTGGAGGTGAAATGGGCCAATGGTTCTACTAGTAAGGTATGTATTATGCTAGTTATATTTCCTTAACAACAGTGTATTGCATGTGAATTGCTATTTGCTATTATGGTTGAAAAGTGTGTAACTTAGTTGGGTTCTTTTTATTTTTTCGTGAACCAAGCGTGGAATGTGTACTTCTACAGTCCTCTTCACTTAGTCTTGTTTTGCGACCAGTAAATCGCTCAAAAGAAGTTTGCATTCGGCATTTATATACTGAATGTTTACTCCATTGAAGTAGCAGTAGGGTTTATATGCTGTTAAATAAATTTTCTGAATATATGTTTTTCAGGTTGCACCATGTGAAATTTGGAGGATGGAAAGGTCTGAACTTTCCAACTCTAGCTCTATAAGTTCGGAAGGCAGTGTTCAAGATCTAAGTCAGAAGATTAGTCAATCGGATGAAGCATCTTCAAACCATCAGGAAACGGTAAATCAATAACTCAAATAATCTGATGTGTCTTTTTATAAGTTAGAAGTTCTTAGATATTCGGGTGTCCATGATTTTTCTATATACTTGAGTGACTTATATGATACCTGTATGTTCAGGGTCTGGTGAAGCTCTGCAGTGTTGATGAAGGCTGCAACAAGAACATTCCAGAATGTAGTTCATTTTTCCTTCCAAAAGCTGCCATTGGATTTATCACAAACCTTGCATCAAGCCTTTTCGGCTCTCAGGGTTCCACTTCGGTTGTAAATTCACATTCACGTTGCAATGATTCTGAAGATCAAAGTGACTCTGAGATCCTTGTTCAAGAAGCCGCAGAATCATATGACAACTCTGAATCAAATTCAGGTGAAGTGGATATGACTCTGATGGTCAACATACCTATAGAAGAAAAAGGAATTAACAAGACACTGGATTCAACTCTGCTAGAGAACAGCAGGAAACAAGTGGGATTCAGACAGTTTGATATGGTTAATGACTGCTCGGACCATCATTTCCTTTCTTCAGATAAAGGGTTGGCACAATCTCAGGTAGGACTACATTTTTTTGATAACCCGATACTTAACATTCTGACATCAGCTAAGTAACCCTTTTTGCATTTTCATCTCTTATAGGTCACAAAGAGTTGGGTGAAGAAAGTCCAGCAAGAATGGAGCAATTTGGAGGCAAATCTTCCGAGTTAGTTCTTACTCTTTCTATTTCTATATTCTCTGTTGATTTCCCAGCCATGCCGCACCTTTTTTGTTTTCGCTTTTGCCAAATGATGGTTTACAGTTCTGATGTTGTGGTTGATTATAAAATCACTGAATTTCAGTTTTTGTGATGAACAGACACCATATACGTGCGTGTGTATGAGGAAAGGATGGACCTTCTGCGTGCAGCCCTAGTTGGTGCCCCTGGAACGCCATATCACGATGGGCTTTTCTTTTTCGACATAATGCTTCCACCTCAATATCCTCACGAGCCACCGGTGAGTTTCACTGCTTTAACTTCTCTATCACTCACTCTCGCTTTTAAATGTGTTTCTTGGGGACCAGTCAGTCGGACTTCTGTTTCTTGCCAATTCAAATCCTTAGTGCTATCATGTGGTCAAAAAATGCAACTATTGTTGTTCAAGAGTGTTTTGTTGACTAAAACAAATGACATTGTTATTTTTTTTCTCCTTCTATGAATACAGATGGTACATTATCATTCAGGTGGGATGCGACTGAATCCGAACCTGTATGAGTCAGGAAGAGTTTGCTTGAGTCTGCTTAATACATGGAATGGGTCTGGCACTGAAGTATGGAACGCAGGGAGCTCCTCCATCCTTCAGGTTCTTCTTTCATTTCAGGCTCTGGTTCTGAATGAGAAGCCTTACTTCAACGAAGCTGGCTACGATAAGCAGTTGGGCCGAGCCGAGGGAGAGAAAAACTCAGTGAGTTACAATGAGAATGCATTCCTCATCACCTGCAAATCCATGATCTTGTTGCTTCGCAAGCCTCCAAAGGTATGCTTCTGTTGCAACAATTCAACACAAAATGAAAATTACCAGGAGAGAACTTTTTTATCAACTCTTGTGTTGTTGCATTGTAGCATTTTGAGGTGCTTGTGAAGGACCACTTTACGCACCGAGCCCAGCATGTTCTTGCTGCGTGCAAGGCTTATATGGAAGGTGTCCCTGTAGGATCATCAGCAAACCTGCCCGAGAACTCAACCACAAATTCCACCGGTTTCAAGATCATGCTCTCCAAACTCTACCCAAAACTTCTTGAAGCATTCTCCGAGATTGGAGTTGATTGCGGCCAAGGGATTGGACCAGAATCATAAAGATCGGTAATGTTCTGATGTCATAACATCTCCCTAACATCCAATAACTGCTGTATAATATCGGTTTGCGAGGTCGGTAATTCCCTCCCAATGTAGAATATGTTTTGTACTTCAATGCGTGAGAATAAAACCACTGTAAAATAGGCTCATCTTGTATAATATCAAAGGCTTGTAGTTTTGCAAGAACAATGTACCATCTTTTGTAATAAAACACTTGTGTTTGTATCTTGTTCTTACCAATAGTCCAGACATGAACAAGAACCATTTTGAAAATGGTGGAACCGAAGCTTATCACGCACTATGATATGCCTATTGGATACAATAGAAATGTACTTGAAAGCAGAATGACAATCCTCACAGATGCGCAGATTCTTCACAACTGTAATCGCTACATCTACTGTTTTCAACAACCCGAATGCTACAGCAAGCTTCTCGCTGTGGTATCTAAGTGCAAACTCCTTTTCCTCTTCCTCTACTTGGTGCATCACTTCTTCAGAAACCGGTGCATACCCAATTTCTTTGCACCGGCTTATCAAAGTTTCCAGATACCGATAGATTTCTCCAGTCTCTTGATGAGACTCATCACCCATACTAAACAGATATGTCTTGTTTTCGACTTCAATTATGCTATAGCCGACCTGTTTTCTAAGGTTATTCCTCATCATTCCATCTCTTATGTGTGATACTTCATCTGTTTTGCCACTCAAGGCATAGATATTTGAGAGCATGACATGATGACCAGGATTTTCTGGCTCAAGGGCTATGAGACGCTTGGCGATTTCTACACCGAGGTCATAGTTCCTGTGCATCTTGCAAGCTCCAAGCATCGCTGTCCACAATGCTGGAGCAGTTGCTTTCCCTGTAGCATCAAGCTGATGTATAAATTTATAAGCTTCGTCGAGAAATCCAGCCCGCCCAAACATATCTACCATACAAACATGATGTTCCACTCCTGGGATCAATCTATAGCTCTCGGTCATTCTCTTGTAGACCGAACGTCCAATCTCAACGAGTCCAGCATGAGCGCAAGCTGATAAAACAGCTACAAATGTTACATTATTAGGGATTGGACCACAATCATCCTCCATCTTATTAAACAGGTCTACTGCTTGCTTGCCATATCCATGAGTACCATAAGCAGAGATCATTACTGTCCAAGCAGCGACATTAGTTTCCTTCATCTTGTCAAATACTTCCCGGGCTTTTCCAACGTCACCGCACCTAGAATACAAGTTAATCAACGCAGTACCGAGTTTAACATTCAGGTCAAGACCCTCACTGACAATGTACTGATGTACCCAAGAGCCTAAACTAATCGCACCCGTTTGTGCACAAGCCGAGAGAAGGCTCACAAACGTCGCTGAATCCGGTTCAAACCCCGATTCTCGCATCTGATAGAACACCCGAATCGCATCTTCCGCCAACCCATTTTGCTCAAACCCAGAAACCAACGAATTCCACGCGACAACAGACTTCTCAGGCATTCTATCGAACACTTGGCGTGCAGCTTCCATATCGCCACACTTTGAATAAAACGTCACCAAAGCAGCCTGAACATAAGTATCCAATCCAAACCCAGAAACCACTGCATGACAATGAACACCTTTTCCGATTCTCAAGGCAGAGAGATCAGCGCAAGACTTGATAACAGAGGTAAAAGTGTAGTTACTCGGAGAGACGTTAGAAGATATCATACGACGGTAATAAGCAACGCAATGCAAAGGTAAACGCAACTTAGAGGTCGATTTAATGACTGAATTGAAGAGGAAGTCATCAGGAAGAGGAACAGAGAGGAAAAGAAGATGAGTATAAGCGATGGCTCGAGCGGAACAAGCTAAAGTGATGAGCTTTGTCAAGAGACTACGGCTACGACCATAGCCAGTGACAATGAGATGAGCATGAACTTGTTGAAGTTGCTTTACACGAGGACCTGCTCGAACTATGGCTTCGTAAGCAGCAGAATTTGCTGCTACTTTGGTTGTCATTGAAACTTGTAAGATTCATGGGAGATACGTAGATTACTTTAAATTTGGTTTATTTCCGATATTTAAATCAAAATCAAAAGCTTCTAGACCGGTCTGGTTCAGTACCAGATGATTCTACCGGTTTGCAAAATTAGGGATGATCTTGTCCGGTTAAAGGCTACAAACGTTTAACGTTTAATGTACACCTATTGAATTAGACAATCAATGACACTGATACTGGTTAGACACTAACACTAACAATAAAAATAGGTTTGTTCTAGAAACGGTTAAAGGTTAATTATCCCACCGGTAATGGTTTTAAGAAGCTATCAAAGGCTAAGTGCATCCAAGAACTAAAAGCAACATGCACATCCTCCAAGTTGCCAATGAAGGGAGTTTCTTTAGTAGCTAATGAAGGAAATGGCTAAAGCTGCTAGATATAGGATCCCAAAACACTCCCGAAACATAGACCATGGTCTGTACTAAACCGAGAAAAGCCAAAGCCTCCTTGAACATAATATATTTAAACGTGTATAAGAGTACATTTTGGCGAATTTTGTGTCTTTAAGTCTTACAGATTATTCACGTGCATAAGGTAAGGAACAATTTGACTCAAAATGACAATAAAATGGCGGCGAAGGAGTTTTTTTTTTTTCATTATTTTTTCAAAGAATGTAAATGAACCGATCCAAATAAGTTTCAAGGAAGAACTCTACATTAGGTAGACGGGGACTGACTTTTTTTATAACCTGTTATTTATATATGTTCACTTCACTAAAACTATTTTAAACTTTTAGTTATATGAACATATCATATCGAAAAATACACTAGTAAAATTGCTTTTTTTTTTTTTCTGAAAATAAACACGCATAAATGAAAATAAACCTAACTATTTTCTGTTCGTGGCAACTTACATCGCATAGTATCGGACTCATCCAAAAGATAAACGGATTAAATAAAGGGTTATGACCACCAAAACTTTTATTTTCTTAGGTTCAACAAAACTTAAATAAGCCACTAAATTGCCCTATTTCCTTTTTTTTTTGTCTTTTATATAAAAATCAACCTACCAATAATTCTTTCTTTTCGGATTGCCATTTTCATTGGACTGGTTCCATCGAATGAATCTATCGTGCCAAACAGTATTTGAAACCTATCTCCTAAACTAAGCAAAAGAAGTAAGAACTATATATGACAAATCTTTTGTTTTGAAAAATATATGAGACAAATCTTCCAATATTATTTTAAAAATATGTTTATTAAGTGATAAGACAGCTGCCAAAAGACTAACGATGCTTCGTCATTTATCTTCTGCAACTTGACCAGTTTGATCGTAGAATGTGACGATTGTTAATTTGTTATTTATGGGTATATGTTGTAACAACTTTTAATATGATGGAATTGGCTGAAAAAGTTGGGGAATTTTTTTTTATTATGTTATACCATTAGAATGATTTGAGGAATTGGGCTGAAAGGATGTATGGAATATGAGAAATCAAATAAAAAATGTTGAATTGAACAAAAAATAAGAAAATTGATCACTTTGAAAAATTTAAGAATTGATTCGGGATCCATGCAAAAAATTCGAAAACTCATCATTATAAACATCTGGTTTTTCGTATGAAGGTTTACAAGAATATGAATCCAGGTTCTTAAGGAGAAGCAATGTTAGCCATCAAAGTTTTATTAATTGACTCGCCAAAAATGGTTTGCGTCTTTGTCACAATTTTCTTTTTAATTGTGAGGATAAAATAAAAATTTCTCTTCTATTAGTGAAGATTATCTAAGTCGTTTAAGACTAATGTAGAGCTGACATGTTAGCAAAATTCACTAAGAAACTTTTCATAGAAGGATGTTGTTCTTTTCATAATATGATCTCATAGCAAATCATCGATTTTGATATTGGATATTGAAGTGGACATAAAAATATTTTTTGTTTAAATATAAATTTATATAACGGAATAGACCTTTTTTGAGAAATTATGTCTATATATCAGACCTTATCATTGACTTTTTTTTTTTAATCAGATACCATAAAAAGCATATAACGATAAACTCAATCAGGTCTTTCTTTTTTTTCCAATTTAAGAAACTAGTTTGAACATAGTTTTTAATTACTGTGTAGTTAGAAAAAAAAAATAGTTTGAATATGTTATTGTTTTTGCAATTTATACAGAAAAAAACAGCGATTGCTCACAATCACCACTTTAAACAATTACGAAAGACAACCGTTTTTTTTTTTTTTTTGGATTTGGTAGATTACAATTTATTTGTTAATTTTCTCTAAGATAAGATTTTATATGAAATTATATAAATAATAATAATATAATAAATACATAATGTAAAATAAGTATATACTGGTCGGATACATATATAACCTTAGCTTATGATTCAACCTGAAGTTCTCAAGTCTTTTTTGATGCGAACCAAGACGAAAACAAACACATAATTGATTGAGCAAGAAGATGATGATGAATATGAAGACCGTTCTTGTAATCATAAACTGTATATTCCTGGCCATTGGAAACTGTGGAGGCCCTCTAATGATGCGTCTCTACTTCCAGAACGGTGGGGAAAGGATATGGTTCTCAAGCTTCCTCCAAACCGTTGGTTGTCCTCTCATCCTCTTCCCTCTTCTCTTCTCTTTCCTCCGCCGTCGTCGCCGCCTTGAAGAACAAGAAAATACTTCATTTTTCCTCATGAAACTTCCTCTCTTCATGGCCTCTATCGTCGCTGGTCTGCTCATGGGCTTTGACAATTACCTATACTCTTACGGATTAGCTTATATCCCTGTTTCCACTGCGTCTTTGATTATCTCTGCGCAATTAGGCTTCACTGCTCTCTTTGCTTTTTTTATGGTGAAGCAAAAGTTCACACCTTTCACTATAAACGCCGTTGTTTTGCTCACTGTTGGTGCCGTTGTCCTTGCCCTTAACTCTGATAGTGACAAGCTTGCTAACGAGACTCACAAGGAATATGTTGTTGGGTTCATCATGACCGTTGGTGCAGCTCTTCTCTACGCGTTTATATTGCCTCTGGTGGAGCTCTCTTATAAGAAATCTCGTCAACGAATCACCTACACGCTTGCCCTCGAGTTCCAAATGGTCTTGTGCTTTGTTGCCACTTGCTTCTGCCTTGTGGGAATGCTAGTTGCAGGCGATTTCAAGGTAAAACATTGTCTGTTTATTTTCAAGAATAGGGTTCTAGAATCAAGAATTGGGATCTTTGACTTTCTTGATCTAAAAGAAAGATTCTAGCGTAAAGATTGCTTTTTAAGCCTTTTAAACCAAGTTCCTCTGGATTGTTTATGAAACCCTAAAAGGAAGATTTTTGAGTTTTGTTTGGGATCTTTGAATTTCTTGATGGTTACCTAAAAGGGATAATGTTTTAAATTGGCAGGTGATAGCAAAAGAAGCAAGAGATTTTAAGCTTGGAGAGTCTTTGTACTATGTGGTGGTTGTGTTCACGGCCATAATCTGGCAAGCATTTTTTGTGGGAGCTATTGGGTTGATCTTCTGTGCATCGTCTCTGGTCTCTGGAATTATGATCAGTGCTCTGCTTCCCGTGACGGTGATCTTGGCCGTCATTTGTTTCCAGGAGAAGTTTCAGGCGGGGAAAGGTGTCGCTTTGTCTCTCTCCCTCTGGGGATCCGTCTCTTACTTCTATGGACAGATGAAATACGAGGAGAAGACTAAGGCTCAGGAGACACAACTGTCTCAGCTTCCAGTTACTGATTCTGAAACTTAAAAGCACAACATGTTACAGTTTGGTTTTATTAATGATGTCTGTAACATCAACTGTCAATTTCTGAAATACTTCAAATCTATGAGTTGTGAGTTGCTGATTGAATCAAAGATGAAATGTATAGAACTTGAATTGAAATCTTTTAAGCAAATGTCCATCCATTATATGGAACAATGTCATTGTTTGTTTCATTTGACGACCTGGTCCAGTATTACACTTCACACGTTTTATCTTTAATACAGAGGTTGTTGAAATGTAAAAGAAACCAATACTACAAAGCCATTGACGATGGACAGCTACGAGATCTCAGTTCCTTGTACTGTTTTTCAACCATTCTAGATACTTGTCACTCCCACCAGTTATCGGCATTGCAATTACTTCTGGCACACTAAAGAAACAAGTAAACAATATTCATTAACTTAGCTTGTGCGATTGCCAAAGAAAAGACAAGGCACTTGATCAAGTAAACTCATGTTCTTGATATGCAAAACACTTCATAGAACAATGCTTACTCGTATTCGTGATTTGCATTGACATGCTCGGTTAGAGACTCTAGAAGAGATTGCCTTGTTTTGATTATTAGGAGCTCCTCGGAGTCACTCTGAACCTGAAGCCAGAGAGATTGATTATATGCAATGTATACAGAGATCAGCTTGCATAAATAGCTCAGATTCAGGATGATCAATGTTCGAAGCCAAAAAAGGTAGTAAACATCGAATGTACAGACTATGTCTTTTATGGATGGAAAGAGGGTTAATCATCATTTGTAATATTTTTGAAATCTTAGGAGTTTTTCTAGGTCTTCCTTTATAGCTCAGAGATCTTTGTTTAACTATTATCCATGGTAGTCCTCAAGATATGATTGAGATAAAAATATACTGCAGAAAGATTTGCACATATCATTCTCTACTTACCTTCCCCTCCCATTCGTACACCGATTCAATGCCTGCATCCAAGCAAACGAACATAAACATCTACTAGTTACAGAGCTAGTAATATTTAAAATCCCAGAAGATGCAAGCAAACAAAGAAGTAAATGCTAAATCGACAGAGTATAAAGCACTGACAGAGCATTGATTGGCTAAAATTAGCTTCTAGTCTTTCTTGAAATAACTTTGTTCTTTTTTCTGAATAGCAAACGCATTCAGACCACCAAGTGATTACGCTAACAGAGAAGGTTTTCTATAAAATCTTGCTGGCAAAACCCAATTGGACTAAATGTAAATGGATTCCACCCATTTAGTCACTTACTGAAGTTCTGCCTGGAAACAAAAAAGCGAAAGAGGCTAACACAAGAAAGCGGAAGTACCTGGCACAATGTTCACACACGCTGCAAGCTTTTCTTGGACTATGCTGTTAGCTAACTTCTTTCCTGCCAATGTAACAAATAATAAAAATTAAAAAGAAGTAAAAACTCGTCTCAGAACAACATGTCAGCATCTAGCATTGAGAGAGAAACTGATCAGGATACAAAAAAAAAGATAAGACAAATAATGATATTTTGATCAGGGATCATAGTGGGAGGAAAAATCCATATCTCGATAGTAAATGATAACAGCAAACATGGTAGAGAGTATTCAACTTGAGAGGTGGTTCAATTAGTTTCTTGAGCTTAAGAATACAAGTTAACAAAGAGTTTCCTTAGGCTAATCCTCTAAGTTCCAGATTTGGCTACAAGGGTCTCAAGTTCCCAATATAACTCAAGAAACTTGCAAAATCTTGTACGTTGTGCACTTGTCCAAAAACAGATTCTCTTTCGTGTTCACATTCATAAGAGGAAACTAAAGCTCCATAGTTGTTATCATTTTCTAACCATCCAAAAAAATGTGATTACTACTGTCAAAAAACAATCAATGCTCTTCCTTTCGAATCCAATAACTACATTCCTAGAAACACAATAATATTCTCCTACCTAAACTACTTCATGGCCAGTTGAAATCAGCTGAAGCAATTAGAAATTAAAGCAAACACAAAAACCTGCTTCTCTGTTAGGAACAGTGACATAGACAACAATGCTTGGCACAGTTTTGCTGCTCTCCTCCATTCTGATCGACGAAGAAGAAGCCTTACTGCTAAACTTAGACCTATAAATTTCCAATTCATGATATCTATTAACAAAACTGAAACAAAAAAGATCGACATTTATTCGAAAATGCTAACCTTAAGAGAGGAACAACAGAGAAAGACTGTGCACAACCCGATTTGAAGGAAGAAGACGAAGAAAGAGAAGAGATTGAGAGAGTTGAGAGCACGCAAAACGCGCCGACGATCGGAAAACTCCGTCGAGATCCGATTATCGCCGATAATCTAGTGCTCAGAGACGAAGCCATCGCTGTGTATCTCACCCGTTTCTAAATGTTTCTGGAAGCTGCGAAATGTCTTTAATTGTAATAACGTAATAGTTTTGGGGTCTGAATGCAATTTCTTAATAAAAAAAATTGATTCTTTATCTGAAGCTCCACAGTGACGAGAGGAAAAATCGTGAATTTGAGGAAGCTTGAAATCGTTTGTTCGCAGTGGAGAATGTGGTGTTCCGATTGGGGAGACGGTCATGGCTTCGATTTCTTCGATTTTGAGGATTACAAGGTAAGCAAAAAAAAAAACAAAAATTTGACAATTGTTTGGTTTTGAATTTGTTAAAGTTTCGGTTTTTGGTGAATTGGGTGTTGCAGGATCACTATAAAGTTCTTGAATTGAACTGTGACGCTTCTGATGATGAGATTCGTTCCAGCTTTATCCGTCTTGCACTGGTTTGCTTCTCTTTTCCACTTAATTTTTCCTTAATTTGGGACAATCTCTGGGTATGAGTTCTTCAGTGATGAAGTTGGAGTTGTGTTGCAGAAATGGCACCCGGACAAATTTAAAGAAGAGGATTCTGCTACTTCTAGGTTTCAAGAAATCAACGAGGCTTATCAAGGTTTGCTTCTCTTGCATGTAGATGTAGTTCATGTTTGACTACAGTTTGTTTGTTGAGCTAGGCTTTGAAGTAGTTAGTAAGCTTAGAAATGGAGAGTTTTGAAGTGAATTTGTTTCATTTGGTCTTCTTCTAACTATGTAATGCAAAATGTATAATTGAAGAAACAAGTTTACTAGTTTAGGGGAAAGGATTCTGTGTTCATTTAGACATTGATTCTGTGATTAGTTTCTGTGGACTTTAGCAATAAAGATTGATCATTTGTTGAACAGTGTTGAGCGACCCATTGACAAGGCAGGAGTACGACAAGAAAAGGATGCGTCGTATCTATGAGAACAACATGGTAGACGAGAGTTATTTCGTTCGAGAGTGCGATTACTTCCAAAGCTTTTGAGTTTTGATAAGTTCCCATGTATCATCTGTTGCAGGAACTATTGAATGAGTACAAGGAGCTCATATTGACTTGCAATGGCCTTGGGATGAAGCATTATCTTTGGTAATTGCTAAACTAAGATTAGGTGATATGTATAGTTTGTATGATGGATTAGCATTTTAGCAGGGTTGAATTTAGGGACATTAGCATATAAGCAGGGTTGTGTTTTGAGAGGAAAAGAGCATCAATTAGCATCAATCAAGTTTTTGTTTCTCTGCTTCCACAAAAACCATTTTGTTGTCTTCCTAGCAATCATTATATTCTAAAACATTGATATTGAAGATGATTGGTTTCGGTTTAAGTCCTAATGATGAGTGTGCTGAGTCACTTCAAGCTGAGTTCTCTAACCCTTGACAGGGTTTGTAATCTTCACAGAAGTGAAATCTCACTACTCTACATTAACTTATCTTCTCTGTAAATGAAGCATGCCCACAAAAATACATCAAACAATTTGTTGGAAATAAAATAGTGGGTTTTACTTTGCTGTTGAAATTTTAATTCCACTAAAAAAAAAAATTTAGATTTGAATTCGTATTGCAAAAGCAAAACTTATGGGCCTCTAAAACCATAGGGCCTATTAGATTGAGAATTTGCTAGATTGGGGGATTTTTGGAAAAATATAAAAGGACGGGAAAAAGTAGAATCCAAGTGAAAAAGAAATCAGAGCGAGAGAAGAGAAGAAGACGGTTCTAGGTCTTGTTTGCTTTCCCCTCCTGCTATCGACCAAGCGAACAATCTCCAGCCACCTACCGATGAAGCGATCAATCAACGAAGTCGTCGGATCTACTTCCGTCAATACTCTCGATTCCTCCGTTGGTAAGAAGCCTGTCTTCCTCACCAAAGCTCAGCGCGAAGAATTAGCCCTAAAACGCCGTCAGGATCAAATCTCCGAGCAACGTGTCCGCCGCGAGCAGCTAGGTCGCCCTGAGCCCGAGACTGAAGATGTCTCCAATGGAGATACCAATCGGGATAAGGATCGAGATAGAGATCGGGACCGTGACCGAGAACGTGACCGCGATAGGGAGAGAGATAGAGGGCGAGATCGAGACCGTGATAGGGATAGAGATAGAGATAGAGATAGAGAGCGAGAGAGAGACCGTGAGCGTGACCGTCGTGAACGAGATCGTGAACCGGATCGGAGAAATAGAGATAGGGAGAGGGAAGAGGAGGTTAAGGCTAGGGAGAAGGCGCGGGTTGAGAAATTAGTTGAGAGAGAGAGGGAGAAGGAACTTGACGCCATTAAAGAGCAGTATCTTGGAGGTAAGAAGCCGAAGAAGAGAGTCATTAGGCCAAGCGAGAAGTTTCGTTTCTCTTTCGATTGGGAAAACACTGAGGATACTTCTAGGGATATGAACGTTCTTTACCAAAACCCTCATGAAGCTCAGCTTCTGTTTGGGAGAGGGTTTCGTGCTGGTATGGACCGTCGTGAGCAGAAGAAACAAGCGGCCAAGCATGAGAAAGAGATGCGAGACGAGATTCGTAAGAAAGACGGTATTGTTGAGAGACCAGAGGAAGCGGCTGCTCAGAGAGTTCGAGAAGAAGCTGCTGATACTTATGACTCGTTTGATATGAGGGTTGATAGGCATTGGAGCGATAAGAGATTAGAGGAGATGACTGAAAGGGATTGGCGTATTTTCAGAGAAGATTTCAATATCTCTTACAAGGGTTCGAGGATTCCTCGTCCAATGAGAAGCTGGGAAGAGAGCAAGCTTACTTCTGAGCTTTTGAAAGCTGTGGAGAGAGCTGGATACAAGAAACCTTCTCCTATTCAAATGGCTGCTATACCACTTGGACTGCAACAGCGTGATGTTATCGGTATTGCAGAGACTGGTTCTGGTAAGACTGCTGCTTTTGTTTTGCCTATGTTAGCTTACATCTCTAGATTGCCACCAATGAGCGAAGAGAATGAGACTGAGGGACCTTATGCTGTTGTTATGGCCCCTACTAGGGAGCTTGCTCAGCAGATTGAGGAGGAAACTGTTAAGTTTGCGCATTATCTAGGGTTTAGGGTGACTTCTATTGTGGGTGGTCAGTCGATTGAGGAACAGGGGTTGAAGATAACACAAGGGTGTGAGATTGTGATTGCTACTCCGGGTCGTCTGATTGATTGCCTTGAGAGGCGGTATGCGGTGTTGAACCAGTGTAACTATGTGGTTCTTGATGAGGCAGATCGGATGATTGACATGGGTTTCGAGCCACAGGTTGCAGGTGTGTTAGATGCGATGCCTTCAAGTAATTTGAAACCTGAGAACGAAGAAGAAGAGCTTGATGAAAAGAAGATTTACAGAACCACATATATGTTTAGTGCTACAATGCCTCCTGGGGTAGAGCGGCTAGCTAGGAAGTACTTGAGGAACCCGGTTGTTGTCACAATTGGTACTGCAGGAAAGACCACGGATTTGATTTCGCAACACGTTATTATGATGAAAGAATCAGAGAAATTCTTCAGATTGCAGAAACTGCTCGATGAGCTCGGCGAAAAAACTGCCATTGTGTTTGTTAACACAAAGAAAAATTGTGACTCTATTGCTAAGAATCTTGATAAGGCAGGGTACCGTGTCACGACCTTACACGGTGGGAAATCGCAAGAGCAGAGAGAGATCAGCTTAGAAGGATTCAGAGCAAAGAGATACAACGTTCTTGTTGCAACAGATGTTGTAGGACGTGGAATCGATATTCCAGATGTGGCTCACGTCATAAACTACGACATGCCTAAACATATAGAGATGTACACACATCGTATCGGACGTACAGGACGTGCTGGGAAAAGTGGTGTTGCAACTTCGTTCTTGACTCTTCATGATACAGAAGTCTTCTATGATCTGAAGCAGATGCTTGTTCAGAGCAACAGTGCGGTGCCTCCTGAACTGGCGAGACATGAAGCGTCCAGATTCAAACCAGGTACGGTTCCTGATAGACCCCCAAGACATAGTGACACTGTTTATATAAATTGAGTCGATAGGCTCTCTGGATTTGTTCTTAAATTTCCCAGTGACGTTTACCTTTTGGGATTGATCTCATGCGTGTGTTTAGTCGCATGTTTTATCTTTATGATTCGTAGTTTGATAGTGAACGATGCAGTAGCAAGTGGGATAGTTGAAACTTGAGTACCTTTTTAAAACTATTTAATACTGGTTTTTGTTCAAGATAAGTAGCTTTGATTCTCTGCCTAATTTTTCACATATATTTCTCCTCTGTGTTTTAAATTGAAAATTGACGCTCGAGAATGAGTAACTTATCGAGACGATGCTAAGCAAGAGTCAGTTTGGTTATGTGGAAATGACTTCGCGAACTCGACCTTTCCTTTATCCTAAAGCACTAAAGAATGTGAAATATTTGCTGTTGTAATGCTTCGTAGTCCCTTTGTCTACAACTACTATATTGCATTTTAGTGTGGGATTTTATTCAGTTTATGACGCTGCAACAACTAACTCAATTACTTTTTCCTATACACATAAAAGCAGGATTCTTTATTAAAAGTTAAAACATAGAAAAACCACATGAAACCATAAAAAAACAACATCACTTATACTTACAATGAAAACACCACATGATACCATAACACCGAGACAACAAAAAGACGAAACAACACCAATCACTTGTTTGACGATAACATTAAGAAATAAGAATCTCTCTGCAGACATTGCCTCCATAGTTTGGTCCTATGGATTTGGAGGAAGAGGAGCTGAATCCATTGGTGCACGAGAAAGCACACAAAAATGAATCTTAGATTCAGAACGATCCCAATACATTCCAATCACATCGCCTTTCTTCAAACCTCTCTTGGTGACAAAGCACGTATGCCATCCGCTGATGAGAACAAAGCATGGACACTTGGGCCATTTCTTTAAAAGCAGCTTGTGCGTAGAATCAGTGTCGTGATCATACACGTCGACTGTTAATCCAGGTCCTTTTTGGACCTTCATTTGATCATCCACAGGGAGATGTCTCAGAATGTGGATGTGTACAAAGCTCTCCTTTAGAACTAGACGTTTTAGATGGCCAAGACTGCATTTGGTCATTACCTTCTTCAAGGTCCATGGATCGGCAACGGTGAGGAGAGTTAGTTCTGTTGAGACGTTGTACCTCTCCTCTTGTTTTCTTGCTTCATTCGACTTAGTCCTCATCCACGCGAGGTTCATTTTTTCTTCGGACGTTGGTTTATTGTAAGCAACGTTGGGATCATGTGGCCATGTTCTGTCATACAAACACAGATCCAGGGAGACCAAACTCTCTTCAGGGTTTTCTGACGACTTGACGTATCCAGGCATATCCATGATGGAAGAAAAGTGAAAAACCTGACCAAAGGATCAAAACTCTTTAATTTCATACATTTTTAATAAATAAATGGTGCCTGAAACCTGAAAGCGTTTATTAAAATTTCAAGTTTTAAAATATTTTCATATATATGCCTAAAAAAAATCAGATCCGTATGAAATGATTTGAAAATACCCAAAACATCTATATTGATTCAAATATTAGTATTATATTTTTTTCTTTTCATATATTTTACTAGAGAGATTTTTCAAATTTGTTAAAAAACTTAGTTTGCATATGAAAATCAATAATTAAAAAACCCCTCTCCAATGAAATATCTATCAAAACAAATTTAAATTAATTCTTTTGACATATATATATTTCAACTGCAATTTTTGTACTATAGACTGAATAACACCAGACTATCAATGTCTAAAACTCAGAATTCTCAATTAAAAAATAAAATACCATCGGAAAAATACAATGGATGAGAAGCCAACCTACACCAAAAATATGCGAGGGCAAGTATGATGCGTTTAAGGAAGCGATAATCGGTTTTATATGATAAAAGTTTTTTGAAGTGTTTTATTATGCGTGTTGTAATTTATGTTTATATATACTTATTGAGTATACATTTATTAGCAAAATATAGTATACATTTAATCTATTTCCTAAGTGGTTTTTTTGACCACATATTATTATATAGCGCTATTAATTAAAATATAATATTTATTAAATATAATATATAATGTCATAGACTCATAGTATATATTAAAACAATTGAAATATAGATATATATTGAAAGTCTTTATCACATTTAAATAGCATTAAAAATGTACCAAAATTCATCAAGACCAGCTTTGATTCAAAACAAAAATAATTAATATTTATTCCAATAATGAATTCATGGTAAGAAAATTATGCGAAAGTAAATGCTAAGCCTTAAAAAGAGAAGAATAGATCTCTCTCTCCACTCATTGTTCCGATATATATAGCTACTTAGGGTTCTTCTGATCTATAAAAACTTCTGTAGGTGCACGAGAAAGCACACGAAAGTGAAGCCTCGAAGCAAAACGATCCCAAAACAGTCCAATTTCGTCGCCTTCTCTCAAACCTCTCCTACGGACAAAATACATACGCCATCCTCCGTTTAAAACATAACTATTCAATGTGGTCCATCTCTTTAGAAGCAGCTCGAGTGTAGAGTCAGTGTCATGGTCATACACATCAATCGCGATTCCTAAACCTTCTTGGATCTTTTTTTGGTCATCCTTGTTGAGATATTTGATAATGTGGTCCTCAATGGGGCCAGTCTGAAGAAGAAGACGGCTAAGTTGGCCAAGATCGCTAGTGGTTAGTACCTTCTTGATGATCCACGGATCTTTGAAGAGTGTTAGTTCAGTTGAGACACCATACCATTCGTCCAGTGCCCTTTCTTCATTCGTGAGATTCCTCATTCGTGCAATCTTTCTTTCTACTTTTGTTAATTTGTAGTCGCTTGGTATGCAAGAAACCTTGAGATCATCATCAGAGTTCAACTTCCTCTTCTTAGGGTTCTCACAAGACGACAAACAGAGAGTCGTGGAGACCAAAGGGTTCTCCGATGAATTGCCATAGAACAAGTATTGAGTCTTTGATGCAGAAAAAGGAAGAGGCTGATGAGGCATCTTCATTGCCGAGGATTGGAGGTCTAGTGGTGTTGTTTTTTGCAGATTTTGGATCATTCTCGTTCGTTTCTCAAGATGTCGTCGATAGTTTGTTTATCCTGGACTCAATTTGTGAGAAGGAACGTCGATATATAATAATTTCTTAGTCACCTTTGTCTTAAATTTTTAGGTATTTTCCTCTTTTAAAAAGGAAATTCATTTGTTATAGAGAAAAGGAAAAGGATTTATTTTTCATTTATTTTTATTCTGCGTTTGAACTATGAACTATGAAGCTGGTATTTTCCATTTCTTAGGGTTTGGGTTTCCGTTTAGATTGAGATGAGTGTGCGTCTTAGACTTTGGGTCCCAATTATCTCTATTTGCGTGAATCAATGATCAGATTTAATATGGTTGATGTTATCATCAGAATTTTATTTCAATATAGTTGGTCATTAACAAGAGATATTCAATCTAGATGAGCTTGCGAAGCCCACGACATAGCCCAATACAGCTAGTTTTTTTATTTGGACAAATAGCCCAATACAGCTAGTTTTCTTTGTTTTTATTAACTCAAAGAACAAAGAGGGAGCTTTTTCAACTTATAAGATTTTAAGTTGAATTTGTGAACCAAATGTGGTAAATATCATTGCAAGAGTGATGATGACCAACATGAGCAAAAATCGTGTTCCGGATAAATCTGTCCATAATTTGCCGATTCAGAATCCTTATTGGTTGGGCGAACATATGTAAGCGACTTTATCCATGAAATATTTTGTGTAGCTAGGCGTGTATCCAGTCCACGCAAAAACTTATGACTATATTGGGGATATTTTTGTAGTATTCATTACCATCTGTCAAGAAGTATAGCTACCGATGATCTGTTCGCTAGTAGTGGCCATGGATATTGACTTGGTAACCAATTGTAGCTAATCACAACATAAAGTTTTGTAACAATTCATACGTAACATGAATTTTCTCATAAACATCCAATACCAATAGAGAGCTGTAAAAATGCCACCCTCACAAACTGTATATATGAACTGTTCTATAACTTGCTACATAAAGTAAACCAATTGAACCCTAGCACAAGTTACTCCAAAAACAATGACAAAAATATTCCCGATCAAAGCTTTCTGACTAGAGCGTTCAGATCAAAATTAAAGTACTGTCGTAACTAAAACCATACGTAATTTATTATATATACTACTACAATGTGTTCATCTAATTGGATAGATGGCATATTAAGTAATTAAGATGAATGCAACAATGTATGTACATAATTCAATAAATGACATGCTAAATAATCATAAAGAGCTATAAATACCAATATAATACTAGGTCAAAGTTGGCCAATAAGAATAATTCTTTTGTGGCAATCATTTAGACTACGGCATGGTCTTATGCTATTGGTGTGAGATTGGAGTTGATTTGTTCGTGCGAAGTTTGCTCTGACTATAATATTCAAGGTTGACCACAAATATGTAAGCCCATACGTCATCTAGGTCTTTAAATCAATATCTTATTTCACACACTTTTAGATTCCCGATTTGGTCAAATGTTTTATTAATTTAGCAAGTTAGTTTATATGTTTCAGGTTATGTTTTTGTTTGTTAAGTATTGTGTTTTTTCTACAACCACAAGTTCATATGATTGAAAAATGATTCATCAACATCATGCATGTAATGACAATATTTTTTTGTTTTTGTGTTTTCTGATAAGGTGTAATGACAATATTTTACTCCCTTAAAAAAACCCCTCAACCATTTTTAAAATTGCACGAACAGTCCAAATTGCTTATAATAGAAATAATATTACATTAGAATCCACAATCAGAAACCACATATTAAAAGAGATTCATCGCATATTCCATTCCAGTTTTTTTATGATGAAATGTGGAGAGTGTATTCCGTAAAACTATATGTAGCGAATAGAAACAGGATTTGTCTTTTAATTTTGAATATTCATGCTAATAAAACCATGAGCTTTTGTAAATTACTTAAAACAATTTCAAAAATACACTCAACTGTCTTGGATATGACATAAGCGACTTTTGAGAAAATAACATGTAATGTAGCAATAATAATATGCTATTTTATTTATGTGATAGATTTAGACAAAGTACCATTGATTTTTTGTTTGGTGTCACGAAATCACATCGATTTAGAGAAAAAAAAAACGTAATTTGTTCATGTCATTTATACAGTACGTTGTTTGTTAAAATAAAATGATTGTGCGAAAATGCATATATATTAATGTCAAAGGCTAGAAAGATATATGTAATATGTTTGCCACTTGCCTATTTACCTAAATAATTAGATGTTCATGGTCATTTAGGTAAATTATTAACCCTTTAATGTTTTTTATAATTAGTATGAGATTTTTCCATAATTTCAAATTTTCATTTGATTGTGGGATTATATTCAAGATGGAAATAATATAATTATTTAAATCCACCACATAAATAATCAATAATTAGTTTTAACATAAAATTATCATCTAAATACATAACTTAGCAACTTAACTTAAATATTCTTGGAACATGTTGACCGTTGAAAAGACGAGATTCATTTCGTGAAACAAAGTCAGAAATTATTTTTTTCATCACTTCACGTTTCATATATAATACGTTTACGGTAAAATAAACATATTTTATAAAATCACTATAATTTTGTGCCAAAAAAATCACAAATGTTTTGAATTTTTATCATAAATAAATATTAATATAAAGTAATTTAACACATAAAAACAAATAGAAACTCAAAAAGAAAAATCAAACTCTTACATATATTAGACTTGCATTTCTGATACGTAAGAATGCTAAGAGTTTGATTTTTCTTTTTGAGTTTTTATTTGCTTTTATGTGTTAAATAACTTAAATTACTTTATATTAATATTTATTTATGATTAAAAAAGGAAAAATTCAAAATTATAGTGAATTTTTTTATACGTAAGAATGCTAAGTCAATCAAATTCTAAGCATCAATAAAATTGTTGGATCAACAATTACTCAGCGGCTTGAGCGAACCAAGCCTCCCCCATTATTTCAGAATCTCCTTGTTGAATTTTGGAATAACATGTACAGTCGATTTTTTCTTTAAAGAAACTATCGATTTTGAGTTATTGTTATGATCTAATCGACTGTGTTAGACCAAAATTCAACAAGGAGATTCGAGATGTAACGTTTGTTAAGGTAAATAAAAGAGATGATTACAAAGTCAAAGAATTGTTTTGAAGGAACAAAAAAGTGTGTGTAAAGTTTATGACCAAAATATCCTCTAGGTTATACAAACTCTCTATAGTATTGGTCAACAAATACATGCGTGTGCGTCTATATATAACATAGATGCAGAGAATAGACATCTTTGCTGTTTCTTTGGCTTGTACCCAAACCCATCTTTGACTTCAAAAATATAATAAAAATAATCATAATTGATATCATCGGATAATGCATAGTGGGAAGAGACCTCTTTCACCAGAATCAATGGCCGGAAAAAGAGAAGAGAAAAAAGAGTTGTGTTGTTGCTCAACTTTGTCGGAATCTGATGTGTCTGCTTTTGTCTCTGAACTCACTGAACAACCCACCCCACCATCCATGGATGATGAATCTTCGCCGCTTACTCTTCAAGGTAATCTCATCAGATCCTTTTCCCAATAGTTTTATTACTATACTTTATAACTCGTGTGATTGTCTTTTCCATTGGATTTTTGACATTGTTAATCCCTTAGTGGCTTCACCATATGCCCTTGATCAAATAGAAATATAATCGCATGTATGGCCACAATGTATTAGTTCAATTTACTATATGATTTTTTTTTATGAATGTTCATGGTTAGATTTTCTTCATGGTTAGATTTTCTTGAAAAAAAACCGTCGGTTTTATTGGTTGGACAAAATTGATCATATTTGATTTTCATCTTGGATTTTGCCATTGGTATAATCCATTAGTGGCTGCACCATGGCCTTGATCATCAAATGGAGATAAAATCTTATGTATGGCCACAATTTATTAGTTCAATTTATTATATGATTTTTTATGAATGTTCATGGTTAAATTTTCTTGAAGGACAAAATTGATCATATATATAGTTGGGTTTCCGACAAATAAGCTTAGCTAGACTTGGTCGCAATGGTCATATTTTGGTTGAGATACCTAGCCAGACAGAGTTTTAGGATTGTAACATAGGAAACACGTATTTAAAATGATCACACTTATTTTGTATCCTAAATCATAGGAGATACTTAGCTATAGTTAATTAACAATAAAGAGGGAGAACATGTATGTAGGTTTATATTTCATAAGTAGATGTAGAAGAGGGGAAAATAAGTTAATGTAGATATTGTTTATATCATATGATTCAGACGCCCTTTTAATAATTTTTACGAAATGCCTATTCATAGACACGCATGCACGCTCACCTTTAAGTCACCATTTCCCCCACAAGAGTGAACTTACAATTTTCTTCATTTTTTCTACAGAACAAAGTAACTCGAGGCAACGAAACTACAGAGGCGTGAGGCAAAGACCATGGGGAAAATGGGCGGCCGAGATTCGTGACCCGAACAAGGCAGCTCGTGTGTGGCTTGGGACGTTCGACACTGCAGAAGAAGCCGCCTTAGCGTATGATAAAGCTGCATTTGAGTTTAGAGGTCATAAGGCCAAGCTTAACTTCCCCGAGCACATTCGTGTCAACCCTACTCAACTCTATCCATCAACTGCTACTTCCCATGATCGCATTATCGTGACACCACCTAGTCCACCTCCACCAATTGCTCCTGACATACTTCTTGATCAATATGGCCTCTTTCAATCTCGAAATAGTGATTCAGGTGCTAACTTATCCATGAATATGTCGTCTTCTTCGCCGTCGTCATCTTTGAAATATCAAGGACATAGACCAAATTTGGAGGATGGTGAAAACGTGAAGAACGTTAGTATCCACAAACGAAGAAAATAGCATAATCGCATAAAATGCCTCTCCGTCCAAGTTATCAAATGCATTGACCGTTGATGTAGTCCGGCTTTGATCCTCTTAGGCGCTTAATCTCTATAAGACTTCATTTTGGTAGTCTTTAAAGAGTCTTTGGAGTGGCTTTAGCTAGGAATCAGGCCTTATGGGATGAAAAAATAAAATTTTGGGACATGGATATGCAAGAATGGGGATGAAGAAGACTTGGAAGAAAAAGAAAGATGTCTTGGACAACGTCCTCATAGGTTAAGACGACCAACCTGATCGACCGATCAAATGAGATAAGAGTGTGGGCCAGTCGGCTCAGGTTGGGTCGAGTAGATAAGAGTGTGTGCTTTATGTCTTTCCACTCCGAAGTATAGCTTGCTAGAGAGTACGTATACACATGATCAGTGTGTTCGAGTTTCCAAAACATAAGCTAATTTTTTAAAAAATATGTACTTACATATATATCTAAGCCTTATTATCCAATGCACATATATGTTTCAACACGTTGAACAATGAAATTGCTGGTAAATAAGAAGAAAACTAGGTAACAACCCGCATGTGTAGGATGAACAATTCAAGGTAAATTATTATGGGTAAATTATTATATAGGATCCAAGATCTGCTAGTCTAAAACAAAACGTGTAGTAAAAGTTTTTTTGTTCTATTCAAATTTGCGATTATTTTGTATAAGAATATGTTTCACCCGTGAAACATTTGAACGGAGAAGAAAAGTTCAACATCATGGAAAAAATATTCATGAAATGTTATCATTTATGGCAATATGCCTTTTTGTGTTTTTAAAAAACAAATTCATATATGTTACTATGTTTTATCGAGTAATCATAACCATTTAACCTGTTTTTTACGGAGAAAATATATTTCACGTAATTTGATGGACCAGTCCACGAAGAACCGCAGTCATAAAATTAACATCAAAACTAATATGCACCATCATATGATTGATTACATGTGGACACTATTAAATGCTATGTGTTATCGAAACATAATAATAACATAAAGATTAATTAAAAAAAATAGTATATGAATAGATGATATCATAAATTGCTATTGTTTTTATAGTGTTTCTCAATTAATATATAAGGGATATGAGATTTTTTAAACAATCAATGATAATAAATAATATAGGTATAAAATCGAAACATTTTAATTACAAAATCATTTGTATGTATTAACCTCATAAAAGAGGAAGAAAATTATCCTAATATATTAAACCCAATTTAGAACACAAATTACCCCATAACTCAGAAATCACAACAATAAAAGAAAAATAATATATATATAGAGATGAACTCAAAGAAAACAGCCTTCTTCTTGATTCTGTTCCTTGTATCTGCCTTATGTGAGTTCTTCACTCATATACAAATATATTATAATTCCTTTTAATCATATATCAATATGTCAACATGTATTACAATAAATTGTATCTGATTTGATGCGGTTTTAGTTTCAGATCAGTAATCAACTATATTTAATTGGCAAAGCAGCCATAGTTTATTCTATTAGATTATAATTCTATTTTGGTTTTTAGGATATATAAAACTAAGAGCATCTCCATCAGTAGACACTATGAGAGTTTCTCAAATAATAATAAAAAAATACAATTTAATTAAATTATTTGTTTTTTTATTTTTTTTAATACTTCAACCAGTAAATTTGTGACATGTGGGCAGAAACTGTGTCTCAGAGTTTCTGGGCAGAGAAACTGTGTCTCTCTCTCTTCATTTATTACTTTTTTTATTAATAAATTTTGGCTAGACACTCTCCTCCATCCCACCGATGGAAGTGCTCTAAATGTTAACAAAATTTTGTATGGATTTTCATATCAGTTTGTTTTGTTTAATTAGGTGGTTCAAACACATTTGGTTTATCTAAATTGAACACTTACAATTTTTTGAATTGTTATTGTTTTTTCTTTTGGATAATCTATTTGAAGGTATGACGATGACAGAAAGCAAAAAATGTCATAAAGACTCAGATTGCAAACACAAAATACCATGTGCAATTCCTGTTGCCTGTCTATATGGTGGTTGCGTTTGTACATTAATGGCATTTGCAAATCGGTCTTTCTCTGCTTGTAAACTTATATGTGCACAGCTGGGAGAAAACACTATAAGCCATTTTGATTCTAGTCATTGTGTTTGCGGCGATAAATAAGAAAACAAACATATTGTAATAACAAAAGAATTTGCAAAACTTGAATTAAAAGATGAACATCTTTGTGTAGCTTTGGTATTTAAATATTGTATAGTAACACTCTAATTGAAGTTGCTAGAGAAACTTTATATATTGTATCTTTATGTTTGTACTGTATATCTTCCTTTTGTGCAGATTCTAGCTTTACATAAGTTATACCGTGTTTGCAATGGTCTATTTAGTTCATCTACAATCTCGAAAACTGAATTCTTTAGCCCTATTGTAATGTGGTTTTCACCAATGGATAAATGAGTAACATAGATCTCACCAAAGACACAATTTGCAAAGTCGCATATCGCTCATGAAAAGAAGAGTTTAGAAACATAAAAGCTTAAAACTTAAAACACCATGGCTCACAAAATATTGTATGAACCAATAAGAAAAGATGAACACCATACGAAAGAAAAGAAAAAATATAGTAATAAATAAGATAGCGACTGTGCTAAGAGCCCACTATCCTAAATACTTGCCATAAGCTTGAGATCCTCAACGTGGTCGAAAAAGACATAAGCTTTACCATTCTTGTAAGCTTCCATTCCTTGGATTCCAATTCTAGTGATCATAGTGTTCCTCTCGGGATTGTAGTAGACAATGAAGAAAGAGTCCGTTATATATAGCGGGGAGAACATAATTTCACCCGTGGTAGTCACTCCAACAAAACGTAACTTAGTGCATGCAATTTTAGACAACCAAGGAGAAGGCAAAACGTAAGTGTACCTCGACCATTGAGGTTTCTCGGCATCTTCTAGAACCCACAGTTTGATCATACTAGAATATGGGTTACTATAAAAAACGGGCTGAAGCATAGCTAATTTACCCTTGTATTCAATAAGCTGTCCTTCCATTCCTTGAGCTTTCTTGATATGACTGAATTTCTCAGATCTAATATTAAAGCAAATTATCTCAGGGAACCAGTCATAGTACCCGTCCATAAGCGCTAAATAATACAAAACACCGTTGATGCATATCACGTCGTATAAGTTACTCCGATCAGTAGGACCCATACGGGCAGCCAAATGTGGTATATCACATTCGATCAATCTCCATGAAAAACTTTTCCCAATTCCTAATGTTAGAACTTGATGCTCTGCAAGTTTAGGGGTACAAACATTTAACTCAGTCATGCACCATACTTTGAGTTGTTTGTCAACTGGATCGTACCCTAAACAGCTTTGCACTACATACCAATCCTTTTTCACGTTTGGTAATTTTAAGAATTGTCCTGTGCTAGGGTTACATATAAATTGAGCAGGACAAGACCGTCCGTACACCAAACCACGAACAGGACGACAAATGTAGGAGAGACAACCAATTGGGAAGCTCATATGAAAACTTGCGATTATAGTAGTACTAGCACACGACGAAATTTGAGGCTGTGGCGATGAGAAGAAGAACGTTTTGTCGTCTAATAGACAAGTGATCAATAGCTTGGGGTGAGACGTAGAAGACGATATGGTTAAGAACGATTCAGTGAAATATCGACTGCGGAATGTGGAATCCCATAGCTTTGATACGCAACGAAATCTCGCTATAGTCTTTGCCGGCAATTTCAAGAGTATCTCGATTACGAGATCGAATGGGATCTGTTCGAATTTCTCTCCTTCATTCATTAGATTCGAACAAGCTCGTGTCTTCATCATGGTAGAGAGTAGAGACGCTTCTCTTAAACCCTAAAATAAAAGTCTCTTCTTTTTTTCTTGAAACAGAGCAAGGGTTTGTTTGATAAAAGGAATAATATAGGGGTCAAAGTGAACAGTACTAGTACTATGAGGGCCTAAATGAGAATAATAAAATTATACCTATATATAAATAAGTGAAGAAGAAATTCTGATATATTTTTAAAGAAAGGAATGTGGTGGAACAAGTTAAAAATTATTTACAATGGGATATGCATCCATCTAAAATCTCAATGGATGTTGAATACTACTAATACTGGTAACAACATACTCAGATCACAACATGTCAATAAACCTGTAACACTCTCTAACTTGGCAATAGTCTCACAAAGTAACGTACAACACAACATACTCATGGGTAGCCATCAAGCACGCCTTTGAGTAGGTTTAACCCTTCCGCAGATATGCTCCGCCTCACCCGTGACGGCATTCGGATCTCTATCCTCTGTGGAGGATCCGGAGAGAAGCACACAACAATCACTGTTAAATTGTCACATGTATTCCGTTTAAGGGCCTCCCTCACAAGCTCTCTAGAGCATCTCTCTGGATCATTATGAATCATCAGTTCCTTCCTAGCGATTGTCACAGCGCACTGACTGCTCATCACATCCCACAGGCCGTCACATCCCATTATCAAGAACTCATCGTCTTCACTCAGGTCCGTCTCTTGCAACTCTGGCTCTGGGCTTAGTGGACAAGCAGAGCCTTTGGGACCTTTCATGTGCCAGTCTCCAATGGCACGTGCAACTGATAGTTGCCCGTTGAGGTAGCCATCATACACAACTCCACCTAACTTTTCTATTCTTACTTTCTCGGCGGTGCAGTTTGGTTTGTGATCTTTGGACAACTCAATTGCTCTACCTCTTCTCCCCAGTACTGCTCGGCAATCACCAGCATTTGCAATTATCAACCTCCTGTAAAGAAAGAAAGTAGCAATTCTATTCAAAACCAAATCAAAACTACAAAGAAGAATGGTAAAACAGCCCATTACACTAAGGGTGAAAGTAACCAAGTACACAAACCGCCTTATTCTTTATCTTATACACACATGCAACCTGATAAGTATTGATGAGTTTACAGGTGATAGCATATATAATTTCCTAAGTTCATAAATATGAATTTAAATGCCCTTACCTTCCAAAAATAAAAGCTGTAAGCGCAGTGGTCCCTGAAGAGATGTCAAGAGAAGAATCATCTGCAAATTCATAATCAGCTTTTAAGAAAGCACTCTTAATTGCCTTCTTAACGCATAGTGGGAAGGAGGAGTCCTCTACAATGAATCTCAGTATGTTCTTTCTAACAAAGTGTGCTGCATCTGTGCCACCGTGGCCATCAAATACCTGCCAAAGGACACACAATCAACAATGTTAAAGACTTTTTGAAGTAATACCTCTGATGTCGTACTAGTACAAAAGAAGAAAGAAGAATCAGGCTTATGAACTACTTTTATGCTTCTTTGAGGTAAGATTTGAATATACACTTACCCCATAGAAGGCTCCAAGAGAAGAGCATTGAACAGCTGCACCAAGATGATTAACAAGATCATCAATGCAAATGTGTTCATCTTCCATGAACTGTTTTGCCCCTTGCTCAGCACAACTTCCTGATCGGTATACAGGCAGAAACTCCGATTTTTCATCAAGTGACTTCATAACCAAATTACAAACATCCACATCCTGCGCACAAACAGAAACCAGTTACATCATTCGAATCCCATTGCAACAACAAAAGAAGGAAAAAACAGAAATTGCAGTATCAAATAATTACCGCATTGGCTGAAAGCTGCAGCCTATTAGCACTGCTTGTGAGATGCCTCGGAGGTTTTCCTTTACTTATCTGCTTAGTGTCATCTAAGTTCTCTAACGTATCAATTTCTGTTGCAGAAGAAGCATTGTCCTTGTTGAAATCTCCCTCAAGAACCGTTAACAAAGGTGAAAAATCCATACTCATCGCTGAGTTCTTCTCTGAATCATATAAATCTATCAGCAATCCAGAAAGAGAACAATTCCTCGTGTGATAGCGTTTTCAAGTCTGTTGCTTTCCAAGGACTTCCTTTATAGATCCAAGATCAACAGAGACCAACTTAAAGGATTAAACTTTGTGAGTAACAAACTTCACCAAAGACCTTGACAACTACAGCAACCTTCCTTCCGAAAGATCAATTTCAGATTTTGATAAAATACCCAAAATCAGCAGATCCTTGATCTTGATCAAAACGGTAGTAGCAGACTCAACAAATGAAGAAAGTGAAGAAATCCAATAACCCACCACACCAATTATCCAAAGCTTCTACAACTTTATTAAGTACCAAATCAAGCTTCCAAACACAACTCTGTTATAGAACCAGCTCTACTCAAAGGTTTTTACTTTTTCTCAGGTCAGATCAAGCAATCGATTATCCAGAAATAAAACCAAAACCCAGAAGCCTATTTCAACAAAACCCACCTTGCAATTTCAGAAACCCCCGAAGAATTCAGCTTTTAGACTAAACCCCAAAAATTTGATGAAAAAAATGAAATCTTGAAGCAGGTAGAGAATTCAGAAAGGTAACAAAATTACAGAAAAAAACTCTGAGATTTCTCACAGATGACAATGATGATGAATCTTCTTATTCCCTCAGAATTTTCCTTTTCTCTTACCGTCAGATCCTTTTTGAAGAAATTCTCGAGAAACCCAGAAAAAAGTTATAGCGTTTAAAGAAGAAGAAGAAGAACAGAATTTGACGAAAGACAATTTCCAAAAGCTTTCTTGAGAGAGAAAGATAGATAGAGAAAGAGAAAGCTTGTGTCTCGTTCGGTATTTGGTTGGCCACCGGCGTTTCCAGGTAATCTCTTAGATCGTCTATCTGTCAAACCGGAGCTATCTTACCGACACGTGTCTATAAATCAACGGCTATGCATTACTTTGACCGGATGGTACCGTCACAGAGTCCTAACCGTTCGATCTCTAAGATAGAAAATCGACGGTCAAGATCTCTTCCACGCAAATCTCCTTTTTGTCTTTCCCAATGGCGAGAGGTTACCTCCGATTAAAATAATAAAGTAGCGGCGTCAGATTCCCGCCATCCACGTGTCGTATAAATATTGGTTGCAGTAATGTTTCGGCTGGGTTCACATTACAAATAAATTTGTTTCCGGTTCAGGTTCATCAAAACCGGTAGAAATAAAATTGGTAGTTAGTTGTTGGACATCATAATTCATACTGATGGAATAAGCATATTAATCTTGTAATTATCATTTAGTGACTTTTATTGCAATTAAAAGTATAAATTGGTTATGATTAAAATTTAGAAACTTTTGAAGCCTAAGAGTCTAAGACTAACAAACCTATGGTTATTCCACAGATGATTATGGAGTTGAATGTTCCATTTGATGATTGTTGAGATTTTTATTTGTCCTTTCTAGTGGAATCGTATTGGGATTAATATCTTCTTCTTCTTTTTTTCGCCAATTTAATATCTAGGGATCTTTTCATTGTAAGTAAGTTTAGCTTTGTGCATTGTTTTAAGTGTTTTTTTTTTAATTTATTTTCTGTTCATAATATTTTAACTTTTAATTAGAGGACTAACACTTTCTTTTTAATGAATATTACATTTCCGTTTGATGAAACATGTTTCATGTTTGAGTGGAGAGAGTAAAGATTCCAATGTGAATTCTTGAAACTTCTATTCAAACATGTTTGTTAATTGTTAGTAGTTGTTAAGGATTTGACTTTTAAGGTACATTTATATATTTTCTAATATGCTATCAATTAGTAGGTCAAACATGTTTGTGCTAATAAGATGTCGCGAAATGACGTATGAGAGTATTCTTCACAAATTCTGTTGTTGTTTTTCAAAGAGAGAATGCATAACGTGGGTGTTATAATGTTGTAAGATGGCCAAAATCCCTTAGACTTAACATCTATTTAATTATTGATTTAGATTGGATCATAACAATGGATAAAAAGAGAATAAACAAAAACATGTCAATTATCACAAAGCGTCAAATAAATCACATTGGAGACTAATTAAAAACGGTAAGCAAGAGAAACATTTTGTTATGATATTGATTAATTTGTGAATAAATGAGTGGGTTGATCACTTAATCACTTCTTAGCTTTTTGGTTAGCGGAATCTATGGCGGAGGGAGCACCACTACCGGAGAGGGTCGGTGCGTCGGTTGTGCCACCGCCTTGGCCAGGCTTAACGTCTTGGTGACCGGAAGTTCCATAAGCATTCTTCTTGTAATCTTCTATATCCTCATACTTTGTGTACGGACTTGTTTCTAGTGGCAACTCTTGTTTCTCTTCTCTCTTCGACATATTTCTTGAATTTAATGTTTATCTTCTTTTCTTTCTTCTTCCCGTCTGAAGACAATAATATATTTTGGAAAAGAAAAAGAGAGTTAATTACTTATTGGAGACGTAAATAACTTTTGTCCAAAGAAATTGCACAAAATTGGCCATCGAACTAGGGAGTGTCCTTGACTAGGTAATTTCATCATTTGGCTAAATCTCAATTTCTCTTTATTTCAAAGCTCTAAAATCTAGAGCATGCAAGCATTGTCTAAAAGAAATTCGCAATGTCACCAAGTGAATAATCATTTGGTTAGCAAAATAATAACTATTTGTGATACATTTTCACATTACAAACCTAAAATTAAAAACCTATAATATAAAAGAATACAACAGGTTATATATCATGAAAGAAGTACATAATTGTGTTCTTCTTCTTCGACATAAGACAACAAAGTTACGAATCCTTCTTCCAACATCTGTCTACTAACCAAACAAACAAGATCCTTTGTCTCCTCAATCATCGGATGCATTGTATCTCGCACAACAAAAACATGCCACTGATTCTTCAGCTCGATCCAACTGCAACCCACTTCTTTGCTCACCCCGTTTGTTCTCATGAGTTTCCAAACCCGTTCCACATCTCTCATCCGCCCTAGAGCCGTGTAAATGCCTGCCAGTTGCACATACGTTGATGATTCTCTAGATCCAAGGGCCATGAGCTTCTCTCCTGCATAAACTCCTAGCTCACAATTCCCATGGTTCTTACATGCGCTTAATAGTATCCGCCAAAGGCATAAACCGTGATCAATACTAGCTGATTCGATGAATTCTTTTGTCTCTTTGAGCTGTCCTGCACGGCTCAGCACATCAACCATACAAGCATAGTGGTCAACTTTTGGATCAAGCCCAAACTGATCAGACATCATATGGAAATAAGACCAGCCTCTCTCTACAAACCCTTTATGGCTGCACGCTGATATAATGTTCACAAAAGTGACATCATCTGGTTCTGTTCCTTCTGCTAACATCTCCTCAAACAGTTCTAAAGCCTCATCTCCTTGTCCGTTATGGGACAAGCCTGAGATCATCGCGTTCCAAGACACAACATCTTTATTGGGAGTTCTTCTAAAGACGAGGTTCCCATCTTCTAAACTCCCGCACTTTGTGTACATTGTAGAAAGTGCACTTCCAATTGGAACTTCAAGCCCAAACCCGTGCTTGATTGTGTGGCCATGTACTTGCTTTCCGAGCTCCAAGGTAGCTAGAGAGGAGCAAGCTTTTAGAACACTTGCCATGGTTGGGTCGTTTGGGATAATACCTGCTGTTTTCATTCTGCGGTACAGAATCAAAGCCTCTTCGTTATCTGAGTTTTGAACATATCCGCTAATAAGCGATGTCCAAAGCGCCACATCACGTTCTTGTAGGCAGTCAAAACCTTTCCTGGCATCTGCTAGACAACCGGCTTTTGCATACATGTCAACCAAAGCAGTAGTTGCAAATAAATGTCTTTCAAATCCCAACTTTAACAAGAAAGAATGAAGTTGTTTCCCTTCTACTAGATAGCAAATGTCACTGCATGCATTTAGAACCCCAACAATAGTGTATTCACTGGGCTTGATTCCAGCAGAAAACATTCTCGAGAAAAGCTTTATTGCTTCAAGTGATTCCCCATTCTGAGAATAACCAGTGACCATTGCTGACCATGTAATTGAATTTCTGTCACCAGACGAGTCAAACATCTTGCATGCCTCATTCAAGCTCTCACACTTTGAATACATTGTAACGAGCGCATTACTCAAAGCTACAAACCCAAGCAATCCATTTTTAACTGTGATGCCATGGATTTGCCTGCCTAGTCCTACATATACGGTTGCAGCCAGCGAGCTAAGAACCGCAGTGAAGACATAGTCACTATCACTTCCTTTCTCCTTCTCTCTAAGAAACAAATTGAAGACTTTAATTGCCTCTTCAACACGTCCTCTTGTAGCATAACCAGAAACCATAGTAGACCATGTATAAGTATTTCTTTCAGGCATAAAGGCGAACACTTTAAGTCCATCCTCGACCAAGCCCCCTTTACAGTACATGCCCACCAACGAAGTGTCAACATATATATCCCCAAAACTTGACATTTTGACCACAAGTGCGTGAGCCTGCCTCCCAACTGTACAACTTTGAAGACTTGACTCAGCCTTAAAAATCCCGGCAAGGGTATAAGCATTTGGTAGTATATCTTGTGCTCTCATCTCCCGAAACAGCTGCATAACAGTGTGGGAGCTGGAGATACCGCCATTCTGAGAATAGCCAGTGATGAGACTGTTCCAGGACACAACATCCTTGCAGATTATGGCGTTGAAGATGGAGTGGGCTTTGGCCAGTTGTCCACATTTTGCATAAAAGTTGACAAGGACATTGGCATGTTGGGTGCATGTTGATGTACCCGTTCTGATGATCTGTGCATGAACTGCACGTCCAGCCACGAGGTTCCTATGCTGTGAATGATGAGTCAGTTCTTTTAATAACGTAGAAGTTCTACTCATACCTTTTCTACATATGCCTTACTCAGAGAAAGCAATGCTCAGAGAAAACTCATTTAGTTCTGTCCTACACATAAAATGGCATAAACATGAGCAGCTTATCATAGTAGCTAACATGAGCAGCCTATCATAGTTACAAAAGACTGACTGGTTCTTAAAAGTTTTGTAGTTTACATGATTAGACCAAGAGGCTAATAGAAGAGACTACCAATTATGTGAAGCTTTTATGAAAAACAAACCAATTCTGTGAGGCATTTCATCAAACACGTGGTTGGCATCAACAATTTCAAGCTCTAAACTCGTCAAAACCATTCAGTTGTTAATTCATAAACCTAGTAATAGCAACAAAGCACTTCTAATCATTCAAAATCAACAAAGCACTTCTAATAATTCTCAATTCATTACACTAAGAACAAAACGAGTGAAATATGGACAAACCCACAAGCTGAAATATGAACAAAACTCAATGCTAAGATTGTTTCAGAAATTCACCTGGGACCAAAAAGGATAAACACCAACACGATGATGATGATTGTTGCTCATACAACAGAGCTCCAGTTCGTGATTGTTGCTCAACACGATGATGATGATGATGGCGATTCTGAAGCCGTAAAGGAGACAAAAAGAGATTTAATTTTTCCCCCAAATTGAATAACCCTAGTTTTTAATGAAACTGGGCCAACCAATTGTCCTATGGGCTAGCCCGTTATGTCCATGGACAAAATTGGTCTTTAGACCAGATGACCCATTTTATTTATAGGCTGACCACGGACCGTCCATAATATTTCGGAGTGGGCTTAGCCCATGGTCGGATGACCATTTGACAGTTCTACGGTAGAAGTATGAGTGAACGCGTTGAGTTCCGTTTGAAAGGTACTTGGATGCTTTGCTGTGATTGGTATAGAACATTGTTGTTTGTCCCTGCACAAAACGCGCTGATGATAGTAAGGAATGAAATATTCATATTATCAGACACTAAGAGAAAAAGTTCTACTGAAAAGAAAAAGTACTCACTGAGTGGTCGTTCTTGATTTGTCTAGACCAGAGTGCTCTTCCAACCCAGGTTTCTGTCTAATCCCTAAACTCTGATCATTTTGAATTAAAATCAATCTAAAAGATAATCAAATACCATAAATCAGATATATATATAGGTATTTCTGTACCTCTCTGTCTAAAGCAGTGAAAAGGCCAATACTTCCAACTCCGTAAATATCTTTCTCAAGTTTCTTCTTTATTGCTGTCAATTACACAAGGAGAAACTTTCAGAAACCAAATTACTTACAGAGCGCATGAAAAACCAACCACCCACATTAAGCCTAACGCTAATGTTTACAGCCCCATGAATCTCATAGTCATCATTTGCTGAGAGTTCAACAATTTTTAGAATAACAAAGATAATGAACACTTACACAAATTCTTAGACATGATTGCTTAAACTATATGCTATTTTTAATTCCTAGATCCGCATATGCTTCGGCTTACGTAAACCATATCCTAAGTTTCAAAATTGCCATTGCGAGCACCGCTCTGATAATCCTTGAAAAGCTACGTAGCACGGAATCGCCGGAGTTGTGTCGATTAAGCGACGGGGGTGTAATTGGAAGCGTTGCCGGCGTTAGGAATGTTAAAAAAACCAGAAAAAAGTGCAAGAGGCAATTAGGGATTTGAGGGGAGGAAGATGACTCGTCGAATAAAATTACTAGTTTACCCTTATCCGTTTTAAGTAAAACATAACCTTTTGCGTTGGGCAAGGTTCGAACAGTCAACCAAAGACTAAGGGCCTGATTGGTAACAGCTGTAGCTTTATATTTTTTGCTGTAAAAATATGACTGTAGGTTTATTTGCTGTGGCTGTAGATTTTATTGCTGTAGTATTTTGGCTGTAGAATTTAAAATTTTGGAAAGTTGAAAATTATGTGCTTTAGGAAAAAAGGCTTTCTACAGCCAAAAAAATAAATTAAGGAAATATTTTGGCTGTGAGAAAAAAAAAAGGAAAGGTAAAGCTTCTAAAGCTTGATTGGATGTATTTCAAATCTTTAGAAATTTTTTTGCTTTGTAAAGACTCTAAAGCACTTGCCAATCAAGCCCTAAATAAAAACCTCTATTGCCACTATACCACTAATAACTTCACAGTTAAATCTAATTATAACGGTAAAAAAAAAAATCTAATTATAACGTTATATAACGCTAAGTTTATAAAAACTCAAAGAATTTATTCTTTGTTTTTTAGGTTTTAAAATTTCGTTTTTAACTAATTTATTCTTATATGATTATTATCATGATTGTAATCTAATTTATTCTAAATGATTTTATGTTTGGTATTTTATGATATGTATATACATATATACGCTTCCAACATGTACCCGATTCCTAAATATTTTTAAAAACTCGCTTCTACGCTTCCGTTTCTGCGTACCCGCTTCCGATTCCATGCAGCTTAGTTGAAAAGTTGTGCCTTTATTAGTAAGTTCTACAAGCTTCGAAATGACATAGCCCGAAATCATTCCAAAAGAAAATGCATGACAAAGTTTAATAGAAGTAAACAAAATTTACCCTTTCTGGCAGGAGCTTTGATCATAGAATTCAACACCTTTGTGGGGCAGCCTGAACATAAGATTTTCAAAATTATTGGCGCTAGTTAAATTGAATTTCAAGTACTTAACATTGTTCTCTGATTAATACTTCAAACTACTCAACAATGTACTTATATTTCAAAGCAATCTGATACTTCAATACTTCAAAAACCAACTGAGAAACTTTCGAACAAAAAATAATCAATCAAATAATTTAACAAGGCATTATGAGTAACTAACCATACCAGAGAAAGATCGGTACTTTTACCTTATACTCAAGAACAACAAAAAATATACACTCTAAGCCTTTCTTCCATGAATTTTATAGACGCGAACATGGAACTACTACAATAATCACAAACAGTCAGAAACAAAAAAAAAAAAAAAAAAATTGAGTGAAAAGACGCGTCTTATATAGCACAGGTATCTCTTAGACATTTTATCGAACAATTTGTGTGCAGAAAGAAATATTTTTAGAAAAAGAAAGAAATATCAACCTCTTTCAGTTTAGCTCAACTTGAGGCGGCGACTAGTAGAAGGAGAAAGTAGCAACGGCGGTGGCGGCTGCGAAATGGTGACGACGGCGACAAACTCAAGACGGACGACTCGAAATTAGGGAGTAATTTTTCAAAATTTAAGGTTTTATAAACTGACTGAGACAATTGAACAAAACCCGATTTAACCGAAATAAATTGAACCAAAAAGTTGGTCGGCGATTTTGGTATTGTCCATTTACCAAACCTGACCCTATAGGCTCGTGTTTTTTTGTAGTAAGTCTATTTTGATAAGCTGGTGGTACAAAATTGAACTAATTGTGATACACACAACAAACAATTACATAAATAAATGATTCAAAAAACCTATAATTTGAAAAGAAAATTTGTGTATTAGAATAAGCCGGTTAAGTGAAAGTAGTGTCTTTGACCGGTTTGGTTTTTTAGGGACCGCTCAAGAGGTCTCGAGGTTGAGATTGATCACTTTCTTTAACATCAACACTAGCCGTGATATTGGCCGGAGAAGCAGACTCAATATCGCCGCCGGTTTTAGGTCGGAGATTAGGCAATGGAGACTGCATTGGACCTGAAGTTTCGCTCTTTTTCTTTGCATTCTTATGCCAATTCTTTAATGCTTTTGACGTTTGATCATCAAACACCGATCGCTTCATCGTTGATCCCATCTGAAAAACATGTAAAATCTCTAGAATGATTACAATGGAGACTTTTTACTCTTGTTGGAAGAGAAAGAATGAAGCATAGAACTTTTGACATGCCTGAGTCACGAGAGCGTAAAGAGGAAGTGTGATGTAACTGCAGAGAAATTGTACTCCCACTCTGCATTGTGAACTCAAAATAAGATTCTTGCGGCTCAAGAAAACCAAATTTCACAAAAGAAGATTCTTGTAGCTCAAGAAAACCAAATTTCACAAAATAAGTGGGGAATTGTTGATGAATGTAGTACTCACCCGAGAGCAACACGTATGATTATGAGGGCGAAATGGTGATGAAAACAGGACCGTAACCCGAACTCATACTGCAACAATGGAAGCAGAGTGAGAGAAGTAGATAGAGATCATGAGAAAAGAGAGCTGTGTGTTGTATTTATTTACCCATATCCAGAAGAAGTAGGTGATCTCAAAAGCATTCTGAACATTTAAGTAAGCTCATTAAAACATCAATGAATCACGAAAACATACTTTTTTCTATTGTTTCATTTTATAAGCGGCGATTAGTTGTACCTGGAAGAGAATGAAGTGGATGATATGGAGGACTAAGGCGGGACGACTTAACCAGAAATGTCGGTCAGAGACATTGACAAGTGGCATCCCTTGTATCACGGCGTGTCTCTCCTGAATCTCTAACGCCATGTCTGATATGATGGCTTGAAGCTTGGTTCCTATGGCTAATGTCAACTTCAAACCAAACACAATTAATCGGTTTTTTTCTCTATATAGCTCTTTCATGGAAAGCAAAAGCTATAAGGTAGATTGAATTACTTACAACTGGAGGAATCATGGTGATCACAGCAGTAACATACCATCCTATACCGGTAAACACCAGAACAATTAGCTTCTAAGCTCCGTATGTTGAAGAATATTATAACACAAGATATAAAAAGACTAACCGTGAACATCAAAGAGTAAAAAGAGCATTACAAAGGCCCAAAGCTCGGGACTGCATTACCGGAATGATTGTGAAATTGCATCAGAAAATGATGAAGAAAGGATTATTAGTGTAAGAAGAAAAAGTGTTAAGCTGTACCTTATTCCCACGACTACCTTGAAGTCGTCTTCCAATGATCTTTTGATATATTTTTGGAAATTAAACTTCATACCGGGTGCCAAATGGACCTAAAGTAACAGAGGATTTTGGTAACCAATCTCAAACAATGTTTTGGGGAGAAGTTAAAGATTAGTTGAGTAATTAATGTCAAGGAACTCACACTTATGAACCCATGACGCATCGTCAAATAATCAGATTTTCTGACAGATCTCAGCATTTGACGAAAGAAACACATCTACAAAACAGAGTAACAAGGAAATTCTCTCTTGCTTTAGATACATAGAAAGAAGAGATGGAATAAAGAAAAGCACACAAACAGAATCTTACAACGTAGAAGGAGAATCTATTTTTGGCCCAAGGATTGACATGCTCTCTAACAAATGATGTCTCATGTGTGAGCCTAAATCTTGAAGGATCTGTAAATTACATCAAAGTAAAAACAAATTGATTTTCTGGTTTAAATGTGACTGAAATCCGAAACTATAAGCACAATGATCTAACCATCCATCATTTCGTGATCATTTATGACTTCTTCCTCCCAAACTTTCCATCCACGAATCTGCATAATATATGACTCCAATCCAACAATCAAAATCTCACAAGCACATACACTGTCACAGCCTTAAATTAAACACTGTATACAAATATACCTTTGCTCTTCCAAGCATCATGGTAATAGCACTATAAATGACATGAAACACAGCCAAGAAAAAGATGAAGATATGCACTTGATGCAACGCGTTGAGTGATATAAGCGGCACATAACCCTGCAAACATCAAAAACACTCTTCTTCAACAATTTCAAGATTTTTCTCATTAAAACAAGAAAAAGAAAGAAAGGTTGAAATACCTTCTTGCACTGAGCTGGAGCAGCATCAGCCAAAACACGGCGTTGTAAGTGGTGGGTAGTCTTTGGCTTCTTAGACTCACCACTTGGACCATCGTACGGACCACAAAAGGACATCGCATGGCCGTATCTTGTCGCCACACACAAACTTGCTATGTAGTTTTGTCCAAATGTTAATAACAGAGAAATGAATCCCAAAACCATAAGCTCTGCAAAAGCATGCAGGAACAAAAAAAGTTTTAAAACTTTTAACCCACGCAAAAAAAAACAAAAGCAATTCGAGGGTTTGGTACCGTTCTTGATCTTTTGAAGTGCTTCGTACAAAGCTTTCTTCCTTCTTTTGGTGAAAACCTGAGAATGAACAATCAATGAATGATGTTATCAAATTAGAAAATGTAGAGGAATCTTTGGGAATTTGTGTTAGATTTGATTACCTCTCCGATTTTGTGAATCATGAGCTCTAGAACGATAGAGATTAAGATGATAACGCCACAAACAGTGGAGACGGCCCATGTTGGTGTCTGATCGAGCTCTCGCGGACCTTCTCCAGAAGTGCTACCACCTCCTCCTCCTCCAGCCATTTTTTGTTAAAACGGATTTTTTTTTTTTTTAATGTACCTTGTCTTATATGGTTTTTTTTATACGACCATCAATTTTCAAATCTTCTACGGCCAAGAAACGGCGGGAACATGCAAAGAAGGAAGATGTCTCCGTCGTTCCGCTAGACGGATTCCGGTGATGGTGATTTTCTGGTTTTCTTATTTATTAATTTATTTGTTTTTGGGTTTTTTTTTTCTTGTTTTGGAAACTTTTGCTCTGTTTGGTCATTGTGTAGCTCTAATGGTTTTGAATCGGAAATGTAGGGAGATGAACGACTTGGCGGATTTATGGGAAATTCAAAATATGATTTTATTTTTAAAAAATAATTTATGCAGAGTTAAAAAAAAAAAAAAAAAAAAAAAGACGCCGTTGCCGGGGATCGAACCCGGGTCACCCGCGTGACAGGCGGGAATACTTACCACTATACTACAACGACCTTGTTGTGACGTTAATCTTATTTACTTATTTGTTTATTTAGTTGTAGGTGTAAACAGAGAAGTCACGTTAATCTTATTTACTTAGGGGGGTGTATTGAATTAAGGATTTTAGAAAATTTTGTTTTTTTCCTAAAATCACATGTTATTCAACTAGTGATTTCTAAATATGTTCTCAAATCCTATGTTATTGGAATAGGAATTTATGTAAAATCATTCCAAATCATTTACAATCTCTTGTTATTCAAATAGTAATTTGTAAAAGTCATACCAAATCTACTGTTATTCAAATGTTAACAAGCCTTTTTTAAAAAAATATTGAAATGGATTTTGAGAGACTTTTGATACATGTTTAGTTGAAAATTAGGGCTGAGAAAATCACACCTTTAGAGGTGTAATTTGGATGGATTTCAGAAAAAAAAATATCCACATTACAATAGCACAAAAACTCGCTCATCATTGTTTCGCCTCGTTATTCAATCTCGAAAACAGTGATTCTCGGTGAACGTCGACCTTCAGTTTCAGGTATGAGAAACGTTGAACCACTTCTTCTCCATATCGTATATGCTCCATTCAATAAGATGATTCAATTGGTGGAGAACATTCGGAAAACTTTGCCGAACAAAGCAGAAAATCGACCGACAAGACGAACGGCGTCGGCGGAGGAGGAGCTGGAAGATCTGCATGTCCTGTCATGGAAGTCACTGTAATTGATCGTGGTGTCGCTAACTCCACCACTGTTGATTTCCTGATCTGATCTGAGAAAAGTTTACTAGGTTGTAATAGATCACCTAGTACCATGGTTGTGTACTACCCGTTAAGCAATCAAAATCTTCCATAAATGATAAGCTTACTGGATTATTCATGGTACTAGGTAAACAGGTGATGAACTGAACATTAGTGGAGGTAATGAAGAACAAGATGAAAGACTACACGTAGCACAAAAAAACGTTGAACAGAGAATTAATAGAGGTTAATAATTACCAAAAAATAATTTTGGGATGTCACACAAAATACTCCAATATCTTCTCAAATTTCATAACAAATCTCACCAAATGACCATTACAATTTTCTTTTTAATTATAATAAATCTTCTTAAAATTCACCAAATCACCGGATATTTTTCAGAGTCTCCTCAAATCTAAAATCCACCAAATCTTCCAAAATCATTAATTCAATACACCCCCCTTATTTGTTTATTTAGTTGTAGGTGTAAACAGAGAAGTCAATTCTCTGAGTGACTTTAGAGTTTAGACGTGAGATAAAAGAAGAAACCCTAATTCTATTCCATCGATCTTTGTTGATTCTTGAAACCAAAAAGAAAAAAAACAATGGAGAAGATGTCCGATCTTCCAAGGGAATTGGTGGAGGAGATACTCTCTAAGGTTCCAGTGAAATCGATGAGAGAAGTCCGATTGACTTGCAAAAAGTGGAACACTCTATCGAAGCACATTGGTAAAGCAGCCCCGGCAAGGGAAGGGGAGTTTCTTGCGATCCGGTTAGCAAATTTTAGGGTTTATTTAATGAGCTTCAGTCACAACAACTCTGATTCATCTATAAAGCCTAGATGTAAACTTATAAGCCTAACCGATCCAGATGATGTCGATATAGTAGTTGTATGTTTCTGCGAGGGTTTATTGTTATGCACCACTAAAGACATGTCTAAAATTGTGGTTTGGAATCCGTATTCCGGCCAAACTCGGTGGATTTGCGTCGAACCAAGATTCGTTCACAACAGAAAGCTCTTTTTTGGTCATGCTCTCGGATACGACAAGAACAAATCCCATAAAATTTTGAGATTTTCTTATTCTTGCTCTCAGAATGTGCACGAGATCTTCGAGTTCAAGTCTAATTCATGGAGGGTTCTTGATGTCACTCCTGACTCGTATATAGAGTATTATGAATGTGGTATATCTTTGAAGGGAAATATGTACTGGAAAGCTACATATAAGACTTTAGGAGAAGGAGTCTGTTTTGATTTCTTACTCTGTTTTGATTTTACTAAAGAGAGTTTTGGACCTCATTTGCCTCTGCCATTTGAGTCTAATTATGATGTTGTGACTCTATCTCCTTTTGGAGGAGAGCAGCTTGCGGTGTTATTTCAGCCGCGCCTTTCCGTAGCTATGGGATGGAAATTTGGGTTACGAATAAGATTGAGCCCAATGAGGTGTCGTGGAGCAAGTTCTTAGCGGTTGTTGATATGAGACCACTATATGATGGGAGTTTCCTTATTGACGAGGAGAAGAGAGCCGTTGTGGTTTTTGATCGAGATGAAAATTTAACAAACCTCACTCGCTACAAAGCTTACATCATTGGAGAAAACGGATACTTTAAAGAAGTGGATCTCAGGAAAGTTACAGAAACAAAGGGTTTCTGGGCTGCGTGCTCTTATGTTCCAAGTTCAGTGTTTGTTTGACTCTCGGATTATTTACCTAATGATCAGATTCAAGATTCATGTAATCTCCTTTGCAAGACCATTAGCTAGCTGGCAAGTGATCTGCAACATCACTCAAACAGATTTTTTTCTCTTGGCGACACCATTTTCTTTTTGCTATTTTGAAGAATTTCCGGTGAATTATACGGTCTTTTAAAGTCTTTTCTATCAGATATGTTACAAATTAAGTCTATTCTTGCTGGGTATCTCTATGGCATTCTTATATCACAAAAAAAAAAAACCACAAATGAATTTTCCCATAGCATCACCGCAACTTGAGCTGTGTCTAGTTATAAGAAAGAACCAAGTATCCGTATTAATCAGCCCTTGAATTACTTAACAACACTATAAAATTTGTTCTAGATACTATTATATTTATCTCATTTTTTGGATGGTTAATATGTTAATAAGCTTCAATCATTGAATTCAAGAATGTTGAAAATCATGTCAATTATATTTAAAACAGTACTTGGCGTTTTGGGGCATTGCGTGATTCATGTTGTGAGTATAATTAAGCGTTGCACATAAATACAAAGTCTTTCTTGAGCTTTTTTGGTTCACTTCATTTGATGAACTCATGTTCTTTGACAACTTGAAGCATACGTGTTTAATCTTGTTGTTTTGTATCTCCCGGAGAGCACTTAATGATCAAGGAATGCTTCATTTGAAGAAATTTTCCTTGTAAGTGAAGAAGACTAAGCTAAACCAGTTGGTCAGAAATAGCAAACCGAGTCTGTCCATCGTTCTAACTTAATTATGTTTGTTGCTACTTGCACGTTGTGACTTGTGAGATTGAATCATCCACCATTTTACTCTCTCGAAAAACAATATAGTAAATTAATAGAGTAGTCCTCAACAAAGATTGGAGATTTCATTCTAAAATCTGAATTATTTGTAAAAGTGGTGTGTATCTTCTCGTGTTTTGCATTCTGATTTATGAACAATCTCAAAACAATTTGTTTTAAAACAAATTCTAAGCAGGAAAAAAAAAAGACACCGATGCAAGCCGAGATCCAATCCTAAGCCTCTCACGTGACAAGCAAGAATACTTAAAAATGCGTCTCTGAGACTTTAAGAGAAATAAGAAGAAACCCTAATTTCATTTCTATTCCGTTTTATTCTTGAGTGTCAAAAAAAAAAAATGGCGAAGATGTCCGATCTTCCCCGGGAATTGGTAGAGGAGATACTCTCTAGGGTTCCAGTGACATCTATGAGAGCAGTGAGATTTACTTGCAAAAAGTGGAACACTTTATCGAAGAACCTTGGTTAAAACAGCAGCTACTACAATGGAAGGGAAGTTTCTGGCGATCAGGTTGGTAAATAATAGGGTTTGTTTAATAAGTGTCAATCTCCATGAAAGTCACAACAACTCTGATCCATTTATAAACTATCAAGGTAAACTTATTAGCCTAAACAATTCAGATGATGTCGTTATATCTCGAATATGTAACTGCGAGGGTTTATTGTTATGCACCACTGGTGACTACACTAGGCTCGTGGTTTGGAACACGTATACGGGGCAAACTCGGTGGATCTGCATTGAACGCAACTCTGGTCCCCTTTGGTATCATGCTCTCGGATATGAGAAGAGTGAATCATGCCGCCGCATCCATAAAATCTTGAGATTTGCTCATTTTCCAGGTAAGAGATCTGTGCACGAGATCTACGACTTCAATTCTAACTCATATGGAGGGTTCTTGATGTCACTCCTGACTGGTATATAGCGTATGATTACTATGGTGTATCTTTGAAGGGAAATATGTACTGGCAAGCTACATATAAGAATTCAGGAGAAGGAGTCCATGATTTCTTACTCTGTTTTGATTTTAATAAAGAGAAATTTGGACCTCATTTGCCTCTGCCGTTTGAGTCTAGTTATGATGTTGTGACTCTATCAACTTTTGGAGAAGAGCAGCTTGCGGTGTTAGTTCAGCCTTTCCGTAGCTATGGGATGGAAATTTGGGTTACGAATAATATTGAGCCCAATGCGGTGTCATGGAGCAAGTTCTTAGCGGTTGTTGATATGGGAGTATTGATTGAGCCGAGTTTCCTCATTCACAAGGAGAAGCAAGCCGTGGTTGTTTTTGATGAACATGGCCATTCAGTGAACCACCGTCGCGACATAGCTTACATCGTTGGTGAAAACGGATACTTCAGACCAATGGATCTCGGAGTAATTTCAGACAGAGAGAGTTTATCGCGTGCGTGCTCTTATGTTCCAAGTTCGGTGCTCTTTTGAGTCTTGGATCTGATGAGAATCGTTTTAAAATTTTCTTACACTTTGGCATCAACTCTGCTTGTTTTGTTTTTTGTCTTTGTAATCAGATATGTTACAATCTAAGTCTGATTCTTGTGTTCTTTTCTACCATTAACTAAACCAATAAAACTGTCTCCTTACCGAGAAAAGAAATAGAGAAATAAGAAACAAAACTTGAATGGAAACAAAGATGTTGGTGATCTACAAAATGTATCTAGTGGAATCTAGTAGATAAGTGTCTGTGGAGTTGAGAATCAGTAGGCATAAACACTGGAAGTTGGTCTCCTCTCTGTGATCTAACCTGTTGAAAATAACCAGTCAATGGGTTTCCTCTAGCCCTTCTGCTACCATCAGTCACAGAAGAAGTTATGGTGTTGAGACGTTCATTACCAAGAGAACCGCCAAAATCTGTTCCGGGAATCCGAGACGACGATACAAACCGGCCTGCTTCTGGATCCCAAACAACTGAACTCTCATCGCTTGACGGCAAGTTTCTTCTAGCTGCAACAACAGCATTTCTGCTTTCTTCCTCGTTTAATGGTGACTCGTTAGCTGGTGATGACATGTACATTGGGTTGAAGTGATCTCTCGTCAAACCTGGACTACTAAGGCTACAAGACTCTAAATCAGCTTTGCCTTTTCTAGTGTGATGGGTACTTGTGGGGCTGCTTCTCCCGCTTACATTGCTGCTGGTTTTGTAAGGGTTTGGCCGCGAACTTACTGGAAGAAGCACTGATGAAGATGCACGTGCTTTTGCAGCTGCTATAGATGCTTCTTTTGAGTCGAGTTTTGCCAGTTTCCATGGATTGATCCTTACTTGTTGACGCTGAGGTGGCTTCTTCTGTGAAAGTGTGTCGGGGTCTATTGTGGATCGTACAGGTCCAGGCTCCAAATGCTGGATAACATCGTCCTGGCAATAAAATAAAATATTATACAACTGAAGGAAGCGGAAAACATAAAAGATTTGGTTTTTACCTGTTGGTCCATGAATATGTTTGGAGGTGTACACAAGGAGACACCACGGTATTGAATGCTCAATCCGAGAGAGCTTCTAGCACTCGTGGCTGTCACAGCTGAGCTTGCGGGTGAAGGATGCTGGCTTGTTTGGTCTAGCTCATCTACAGATGTTCCAAGTGGTTCAGTTTGCGCTCTCAGGGCAACAACATATTCATATGTTGTGATTCCCTGCAGCCACAAAAGTGACATCAAAGGCGTGTTTCCTTGTGCTTTGTCAGTGGAAAGTAGAAATTCAGCAACATGGTGCAAGAAAAAATATGTATAAAACCTTTCGGATCAAAATAATATGGAAAAAGAAAAGTTCCCCAAGAGGTATCAAAGCCAGTAACGAGAGAGTTGTACAAACAACCTGCAGAATGAGAAAGCAAGCTCAAGTTGGAAACTAAGCATTGATAGAAAACAGAATAAACCAGTATTTTCTTGAGAATACTTACCACAACAGCGGCAAATGGAGGACGGGAGAACCCAAGCCCAAGCTTTTCAGTTATAAGATGTTCCATTGCCTTTTGGTCCACGAAACATCGAACAAATACAGTAACACCAACTCCAAATTCAGCTATCAGCTGTCACCATATTTGCAAAGCCATATCATATGGATAGGTTAAATATTATACAATGAGATACAAGGTAGGCAGAATCAACCTTAAAGTAACAAACTTTGTTTGAAACATACCCAAAAAAAGCTTGCCGCCATAAGACACACAAAGCTGATGTAGTTTTTCTGCCCCACACAGTTATTCAGCCACTAAGGCAAAAGAAACTTAACATATCAGTTAAAATTGCTAAGCCAGAAGAAACCCAACGAAAAAGGTTACAATTTTCAAATTGCATACCCGGCAATGATGATCAAACCCATCGACACACTTGCCACAACTTCGACAGTGCTTGCTAAACATACGTACCTTCGAAAAAAGAATGTGCTGTTACTGTAGAAGACGCAATGAGAAACTTCTAACCAGAAAGCAAATATACGACTATACCTCAGCATTGCACAATGAGCAGAACAGAGCTTCTTCTTGTTCGTTCAATTCCTCTTGTTGAGTATCTCTACGGCAATCTTGTATTACTAAACAACCACAAATGAATCTTCCTATAGCATTACAGCAACCTGAGCCGTGTCTAATATATGGCCCACCATCAATTGCTGAAGCATTATCTGCAACAGAGACATCACTATAAGAAAGAAGTATCCGAATTATGTAAGCCCTATACACAACATCATCGGTAGAGCACGTACCAGGCAAATAGTTACTGTTCTGTGACTTATGAGCTGGAGTGTTACCAGCCTTCACAAAGATTCCAGGATCTGCAGGATCTATACCAGTGCATCGAATGTAAAGAACTAAAACCGAAAACGCCTGTAAAATCATTATGCAAAAGAGAGATGAGAGTTGTGAGATTCGAGAGCTTATATAGTGTTAGCAATATTTCGTTTTAGTTCTTACCAGGAAAGAGTAAACACCAATGGCAATATATTCATAGAGTTTGTTTCCAAGAAACGGAGCAAAGAAGGCATAGTAAGCTACAGTTAGCAAGAAAAATACAGTTATAGCAACAACCTGCGCAGCAACAAGAGCAACAGACCGTGTTAGATAAACATTTAAATTCAATGTAATGGATCTTAAGAATGCACATGAACTATACACATATACATATACTCAAATGTGTGTTAATCCATAAACACATAAAGAAGAGAAAAAATAAGAGATTTTGAAAACGATGTGAATATACAATCACAACAAAGTAAAACTACCAGATACCAACAAGACATTTTTATGTCATTTTCAAAAGGATTAGAAAAAGGAACAAACTTGTCACAATTGCAGATTACGACATGAATTTCACAAATCGTTCAAACCAAAGTCAAAAACAGAACCCAGTCAATACTCTCTGTCAGTAAAGTATTGTAAGAGAAAAACCTGAAATGTGTGAGCTGGAAGTTGCCATCCATGTCTTCTCGCCATTGCAGTGAAGAAGAAGCCCAAAACCCTAAATACTTATCTCGGGTTACCCGAAAAAAAGCCCTATATCACTCGAGAAAGATTCCTAAATCTAAAAACCTTGAACTCGTCCAAAAAATTGAAGATCAAAATGATTTTCGATAATTCTTTTTTCCCCTACACTAACATCATTTAACATTTGGAGCTTGACCCGAGTGTAAAAGCACTTGGTTAAGTCGACTAGTGAGGAAAATTTCAGGACTTGAAAGATTCATCGGCTTGAATTTTATCGATCAGAGTGTCTCTCGGGGAAGTAGTAACAAGCAGTTAGAGAATTAAATGAAGAATAATAAGGACTCGGCTAGACTTGTTAATATTATTAATAACAAGAATTTCCCCCTATAATATCTGAAACTCACAATAATTAGACTTGTTAATATTTATTTTTAATTTAATAAACTTACATGGATAATCTTAGGCATGACCACGGTTACGGTTATTGCGGTTACGGTTTATTAACCCCCGATTACGGTTATAAATTTTCTCTAACCGTAACCTTAACCGTTATATATACGGTTAAAACGGTTACGGTTACAATGGTTACGGTTAAATACGGTTACTGTTATTTAATTATTACGATACGGTTAATATCAAAGACAAAAGCTTAGGTATTTTTAACCTTTAGAATAAATTTTTTAATGATGATATATCAAATAATATTTATTTTACAATATGTAATATATGTGATTATGTACTTTAATATTTATAGTTAATTAGCTATTTTGTTCTGTTAAGTAAACCAACGAATAACTAAATCAATAGTAATAATTATAATGATTGAGTTATTGTTTTATTGACAATAGGTATTCCAAACAATACTATAGAAAGGATGTTATGAGAATTAAGAAACGATTACAGGACTAGAAATAATCACTTGTAAATTATTTATGATTTGATTTGTGGAAAATGAGTAGTGGACGAGTGGAGTGGTTTAAATTTAGTAGTGGGCGCATTGAACCATTTAAGACACTGTTTTAGTGAAATAATTATGTATTTTAGGTTTTAACTGCACGGTTAACTATGCGGTTAACCGTGCGGTTAACCGTACGGTTAACTAACGGTTTTGATACGTTTACGGTTAATTAACGGTTACGGTTAGTATATTTTTTAACCGTAACTAATCTATTTTTACGGTTAACGGTTACGGTTATTAACCGTTTTATACGGTTACGGTGCGGTTACGATTGAGAAACGGTCCGGTTACAGTCCGAAATACGGTTACGGTTAGCTTTTGGTCATGCCTCATAATCTCGCATGAGAAACTCAGCCGCTTAATATCAATGTAAACAATATTCTATAAATTTTGTTTTATTAAATTAATTTAATATAGTTGTTGACAAAAAAAAAAAAAATTTAACTCCGGTTCAAATTAACTAACCAATAATTCATAGTCAGAATCCCAAATGAAATGTTAACGTTTTTTTTTCCCTAAGGCTATGTAATTTTACTATTTTTTACGATGACAAAATGGAATTCGTTTTCTCCTGTTTTATGTCAAAAGGAAACATACTTTTTTTTTCTCTATATTTATAATGGGATTATACAGTATAATTGTAACAAATAGCAAATTATGGCATGTTTGTCCATATGGGGAGAAAACAAATAAAGTAAACAAAAATAATTCCTGAAAAAAATAGTTTTTTAACTTAAAAGTGTACACGTGGCCAGCCACTATAGCTGTGTTTGGAACAAGTCAGAGCCGCCGTGTCGTTTCTCATCTCGCCGGTCAACTTTCAGAGAGAGAGAGAGAGAGAGAGAGAAGAAAAATGCATTTGAGTGAGAACGAAGGTATCGAAGGCAACACCTTCGTGGTCACTGGAGGCCTTGGCTTCGTCGGTGCCGCTCTCTGTTTAGAGCTCGTTCGTCGTGGTGCTCGCCAAGTCCGCTCTTTTGACCTCCGCAACTCTTCTCCTTGGTCCGATGACCTCAAAAACAGTGGCGTTCGCTGCATTCAAGGTTCTAATTTCATAGATCTCTTTAACCCTTTTTTTAATTTGATCTCTGATTTCTAAATCTCAAGTCTTTAGTGTTAGATCAGTTCTGGATTTATATTGTGATGATGACAACACAGGTGATGTGACGAAGAAAGGAGATGTGGATAGGGCTTTAGATGGAGCTGACTGTGTTTTGCATCTTGCTTCTTATGGTATGTCTGGGAAAGAGATGCTTCAGTTTGGTCGCTGTGACGAGGTTAACATAAACGGGACTTGTAATGTCTTGGAAGCTGCGTTTAAACATGAGATTACAAGGCTTGTATATGTCAGCACTTATAATGTTGTGTTTGGTGGTAAGGAGATTCTGAATGGTAATGAAGGTTTGCCGTATTTTCCTCTTGATGATCATGTTGATGCCTATGGTCGAAGTAAATCGATTGCAGAACAGTTGGTTCTCAAGAGTAATGGCCGACCTTTTAAGTAAGTCTGGTTCTTGATATTTAACGGTGGAGGATTTGTTGGTGTTTATTAGGGAGCATAGTAATCTTATCACTGTATGTTGCTTTATGTAGGAATGGGGGCAAACGGATGTACACATGTGCAATTCGTCCAGCAGCTATATATGGACCTGGCGAAGATAGGCATCTTCCTAGGATTGTTACTCTAGCAAAGTTGGGTATGAACCTCTTTAAGATCGGTGAACCGAGTGTCAAAACAGACTGGATTTATGTCGAAAACCTTGTCCTAGCAATCATCCTGGCTAGCATGGGACTCTTGGACGACATTCCTGGCAGAGAAGGACATCCCGTCGCTGCTGGTCAACCATATTTTGTCTCTGACGGTAAACGCATCTCTTAAGCCTTAAAAGTAGCTTCCTAAATCAAGCTGAAATATTTTGCATTTGCAATCTTGTAGGTTCCCCAGTGAATACCTTTGAGTTTCTACGTCCCTTACTAAAAAGTTTAGACTATGACCTGCCCAAGTTTACAATCTCTGTACCTTTTGCACTGTCCTTGGGTAAGATCTTCCAAGGTGTCTACACTTTGCTATATCCATGGCTATCAAAGAGCTGGTTACCACAGCCCCTTGTTCTTCCTGCTGAAGTCTACAAGGTAACAGTTTTTTCCCAACTCATATTCCAGCTGAGATCACAAACCAACTTGTATGAAACTTTTGATGTGGTGCAGGTCGGTGTTACCCATTATTTCTCATATCTTAAAGCCAAGGAAGAGCTTGGATATGTTCCATTCAAGAGCTCCAAGGAAGGTATGGCTGCAACTATCTCATACTGGCAGGAAAGGAAACGGAGATCTTTAGACGGTCCAACCATATTCACTTGGATAGCTGTTACACTAGGAATGTCGGCTCTTTTTGCTGCGGGATGGTTACCCGACATAGGACCTGTGCCGTTCTTAAGAGCCCTACACCTCTTCTTCTTCCGGACAATCACGGTTGTAAAGGCTGTCTTCATCATATCAGTGATACTACATGTTGGAGAAGGAATCTATGCGTGGGTTCTGGCTAAACGAGTCGACCCAGGAAATGCAATGGGGTGGTTCTTGCAAACCTGCGCTCTCGGGTTCTTCTCAATGCGGTTTTTATTGAAGAGAGCCAAAGACCACCAGATTTAGAACCAGCCTTGTTTTGATGTTGTAATCAAAAAAAGTTTTACATGATAAATGTTTTCAAGATTGAGAAACACAAAATAAAAGATCTACATTAATCAGGATATTCTAATTTCTGAACAACTTATGGTTCTGAAAGTACCTCAACATAAAATAAAAGATCAACATTAATCAGGACATTCTAATTTCTGAACACCTATGGTTCTGAAAGTACCTCAAAACACAAAATATGTCAAGTTATCAAACTCCTTTTGTCTGAACAGAACTAGAAAGTCTAAACCAAATATAGAAATAATCATCACTCAAATAACGGGAAGTTGTTTGTTTTAAGCCGACCCAGATCACATGGCTACTTCCAGCTGTAAGATCCTGAGCCCTGATGAATAGGGCTTCCATGTCCTCCTCCACAAGATGACTCACTCATTGTGCCTCGAGATTGCGGGCTACCCGGAGTCATCAGCACCTGCGTTGGGGCCACACGCGGTAATGTGGGTGACGATAGTCCCATTTGTCCCACATGCTGTTTTGGTTCTTTTTCTCCGTCTGGTATGAAACTCCCAACAACAATCTGTAATTGGAAAGCCAAATGTGTCCTTACATTGATCTCATGAACATCGATGTATAAAATGTTTGAATTTGAAGAAGGCAGAAAATACCTGAACAGGTGATGCTGCTATAAGAAGACCAGCTACACTACCACCTAGGACATTACCATCCGGACTTGATAAGGACACACTTAGACCTCCCGTCCTGCTTCTTTGACCATCGTTCTCCAGCAAATGGAACGATCCCGATAAAGACAGAATCTCAAATCTCCCCTGGTTATAAATGTATACAAATCACTAGGATTAAGCAGTAAAAAATCAGAGAAAAAAGGGATTGAAGAACTTTGCAAGCTGAATCTTGATACCTCATATGTAACGGTTCCACCGGATGTGCCAGACTGGCGGAGAGTCACATTGGAGATGGCTCCATTTGCAGACATGACACACACAGCACGTGGTCCATTATGAGCTAACGCCATTATCTTTGATGATACATCCTATCCCATGGATCAAACAGCAAAAAAATCATAAATTTGTCAGCTCTTAAATTTGATAATATCAAATGGACCTAAAATGTCAACACTAACAGCCACACACAACACACTCTTGTCAGGTACGAGAGCGTTGATCATGTTCAACATTCTCTTGTTACCAAATAAAGATTGACCTTAAAATACAACAACTCGCACTCAACATTCACACGATTTAGAGACCTAGGTGATCGTTTACTACAACGATGAGCTTAGACAATCCTAGACACCATAACAGTTAAATAAGGAAATTCAAGAAGCTAGAAGAAGAAAGAGACCTCTCCAGTCATCACGGTAAGTACATGAGGCGTAAATCCGATTCCCGTCGAGCCTGCAACAACAAGAATCTGTCAATACTATAGCAAAGCAAGCCGCAAAAGATGCCAAGATTGGTAGAGGATTTAAAGAGCAAAGATGGTTGAATAAGATACGTTTAAAAGGGCATAATAGTAATATGCAATTGCAATGATTCTAGAGGTCATTGTTTAACTACCATATTTCACCATTTTTACTATATTCTAATAGATTGCAGCCGACACAGAACTTTCCAATTGAAGCACGTGAGAGAAGATTCCAAAATATCAGAAGAATCATTGTGAGTTACATTACATATATAATAAATACGTACCTAAAGCTTGAAGCTTGAGCCTTTTGCTAGAAGAACCAGGAGGTCTTCCTCTCATCTTCTTCTCTCCTCCACCGCCGCCGCTAACAGGTTGGCTCACAGTGAAAGAAGGAGCTCCAGAAACCAAACCAAGTGACGTTTCACCACTCTCAGGTCCGTATTTCCTCGGTCTACCTCTCCTCTTCTTCACAGGCTCACTTCCAGTCACGGCTCCATGCTCACCTCCGGGCATGTTCATGTTCAAGACAGGATTCTCACCAGCTGAGTTGGGTTGGTACTGCTGCGGTGGTGATGCTGACCTCATCGGCTGCCTGTAAACAGCGGCTCCGTCGTCTCCACCGAATGACAATTGCATGTTCTGAGACTGCTGAGGTTGAGCTTCACTGCGTTGCTGCTGCTGCTGCTGGTGGAGAGCCATTGTGAATTGCATTGATTCTCTGGTCGCCGCCATTAAACCCGTCTCAGATCCTGACATTTTCTTCTCACTTTCCCAAACCAAAACAGGGGAAAAAGTGTTAGCAGAAGATTAACCAAAACCACAAAACCCTAGTCTCCATTCAAGAAGCTCTGAAGTTAAGAAAGATTGAAACTTTAGCCCTAAATCTAAGCAACTACACGCCCAAGAGAGACAATTCAGTGTTTCAACTACAAGATTGTACCATCTCCAATGAAAAGTTTGAAACTTTAAGCCCTAAATCTAAGCAACAACGCTCAAGAGGGACAATTCAGTGTCAAGATTGTACCATATCCAAGGAAAAGTTTGAAACTTTAAGCCATAAATCTAAGCAACAACGCCCAAGACCAAGAGGGACATATCAGCGTTTAACTACAAGATTGTACCATATCCAAGGAAAAGTTTGAACCTTTAAGCCATAAATCTAAGCAACTAGGCCTAAAATTCAGCATTTAACTCCAAGATTTGAACAAAATTGTGGATTTTTAGATCTCTCTTCTCTCACACAAAAATTTAGGAGAAAAGCGGATCAAGCATTAAGGTTACCAGAATTTAAGATTAAGATGAAAATTATATAAACATAAATGAAAAAGAAACCACTTTTATAATATTAAATTTTCCAGGAGAATTTTGTTTTCTCGAAGAAAATAGAAAATCAGACAGGAAAATATCGAAATTTACATTAAAAATTGAATTGAATGTAAGAAAGAGAGAGGGTGAGAGAGAAAACTTACGAGGTGACTGAGGAGAAAATTCAGGAGATAAAGTAAAAAGACAAAGAGGAGATCTCTGCCTCTTTTTTTTTTAGGGTTTTTTATTTTCTTTAGACCACTATATATATATACAGGGGAATCTGTCCCAGGACCAAATCTTTTTATTTGGATTATTATCCCCAATTATCTAAATATTTTCACTTTTTTCTTTTATTTTTAATTTAGTCCAATTTCTTTTTTTTATTTTTCTCTAATTGTCCAGTAATAATAGTTTTCATCCAAAAAACCAATACTATCTTTTCAATTAGACAAAATCTTGATTTTTTATAAGAGACATATATTATTGACACGCAAAATAGATGATAATAAAAAATTAGCTTTTAGATATTGTAAAACATATATATTAATGACCCGGAAATATTGTTGATGCAGAATCAAACAATATTTTCTAAGCTAAATATGGTTCTTTTTATAAGAGATATATATTATTGACGTGTAAAATAAACAAAAATAACTTTAGTGATAATTGTTAAAGAAGAAAAAAATTAATTTTTGCTTATTTTCCACGTCAATAATATATGTCTCTTCTAGAAAGAGTTAGCAAAAGTAGGTGTTCGTGATAAATAATAAAGAAAAAAGATTTAGTGATGCAAATTTTCTCGCAGATAAGCAAATTATGTGGTGTAATCTACTGAAAATTAGGCGAAACATTTGATAAAAAATTTGGTGATCTAATAGGTAAATATCACAAAGTTGTTGTAATGTATATATGGACAATGAATTTAAGAATTATGTGTCAATTAGTTTATTTGGTTTGGAAAACAAAAAAAATATACAAGTTATTTTATATTATTTTATAAGTTATATACATAAAAGCATTTAATAAAATGAAGAACCTTTTATATGAATACCGACCAAAATATCTTTTGTCATATATACTTATATATTAAATTTGTACACCATATTACTCTAATCAAGAAAGTCTAATATATATATATTATATATGTGATGTACTCCTCATTTATCGATGGTTTAGCCATTAGGTGATAGGGATGTCAAATAAAAGGCAAACAGAGGTAGAAGAACATGTTTGATAGTTGAAAAGTCAAGCTCCCATAGAGGGTGTAAACTAAACTATGGCAAAAGGGTTTCCTCTTTCCTTCACCTGTTGGCAATTACAAGAATAGTTCGATAAAGCAAAAACAGGGTTAACAATCAAATAATAAGATCGAGTTACCTATGACATATGACATAATACATATTGTATATTAAATAAAACCTAAACAGCAAAACTAACCTTCTAATACATGTGATGTACGTAGTATGATATATATGATGTACGTACATGTTAAATTCAAATATAAACCATGATAAGTTATGTACATCTATAAATTTATACTGTGTACATATATGGAAGAAATTGTGTGTTATAAAACGCAATTTCGTCAGTTCGTTTATAGCTTATAGTTTGCCAAACAAACAAAAAAGTCGTTTTCATTTTACCAAATAACGAATAAAACCCTAAAAGTTGCCAAACCACGTAATTTTCTTTTATTATATTTTCCATCTTTAGGTTTGAACTAACAAATAGTTTAAACATGAACTAAGACCATTTTTTTAGTTCGAACCTACAGATTGAAAATGTTTAGAGTGTAGTATTTATACGGACATAATTTATCATGGTTTATATTTAAATTTAACATATAGATAGTACTTTTTCCAAAAAAAAGTTTTAGAGTTTTAGTATTTACCAACAATGGATATTTTATTAAAATTTTTAGTTAAATATAAAAGTCTTTTTATTGCACGGGTTTAATATATTAATAAATAGGGTTTTTTCCCGATGAGGAAGAAAGAAAAATATGCCCCTTTGTTTCTAATAGAATGATGTTCTACCATTTTTAGTTTGTCTCACAAAAATTGATTTTTACTTTTCTTTTTATTTTTTATTGATTGATATTATAAATTGTAAAATTCAAGACGCAATGATTAAATTTGTTAGACTATAATCGGTTTATAGTTACGGAAAATGTTTAATACAACAAATAATAGAATAATGATTAATTAATGATTGTTTTTAATATGAAAATCATTAATCTTTTAGGAATAGAGAGTATCATTTTACGGAGATACATCAAAATTTTGGTGACTTAACAACATTTGAAGATTAACCTATTTAGTGAAAAAATTAATTTTTTATTTTCTATATCGGCTTCAAAAACCTGATAAATTTTACTGTTTCCAAAAACAAATTTAATTTTTTTTTTTTTTTACACTTTTGATTGCCTGACTGGTATGTATGAAATAAAAAAACGTTGTAAAATACAACTATAGTAAGCTCAGTGTCCATTCGGAAAAAAATTGTTATTGTAGATTAAGATAAAAAATTATACTTCGTTGCAGTTGCCATTCGGTTTGGCTTTTATTATACGCACCCACCCTTATTTATACCAATTCGATCTCATCTCATTTTGTCACCAACACATCTCAAGTACACTACCATACAAGTCATCTTCTTAACAAGACAATACTCAAAGAAGAAATAACAGTTTCAAATTTAAGTGTGTTCTAACACTCTACTCTATCTTCAGATGTCCGGGCTTTTCTTGTGTGGAAGAAAATGTTTAATTGATCAACGAAAAGCAGATTCTTCATCTCCTCCAATTGTTTCCGGCTTCTCTCCATTTCCAAATCCAATTTCTCAAAATGTACAATCCTATCTCGGATCTTCTTCATCTGTTAACCCCAATTTTGTTTGTTCCAACATCAATCAAAATTGAGTATAACAATATAATAAAAAGTCTATGGGAAGTTGCAGATTGTTACTAACCTCAACTTCAACAGTCTCTTTGATTGCTACTTCTACCTCCTGCTCTTCCTTCTCGATCAAAGACTTCGCATCTGCCCAAGCTCTTTCAGAGTCGTTTCTAGTGGTTTCACCGCTCGGTGCAGCATTGGTTTCTGTATCAGAAAAACAAAAATGTCACTATTGGGTTTGGCTTGGGACAGAAATGGACTGCAAATAGAGACAGCTTGGTCTTTGATACCTTGTCGATTTGGGTCTCCACTGGCGTTTTTGTCAGCCTCGTCTACATCAGATAAAGCTGTCACTGCCGCTCGAGCTGCTGCTTCTGCAACTTTTGTGCCAGCCAAAGCTGAAAGAAAAGCAGCCTGGGGAGGACATGATAGGAGAAATCTCATTCAGAGACAGCCAATGAAGCATAACCATTGAGACGTGATACAAGTAACACAGTAAAAAATTGTCTAATACTTATTTAATTCCTAAATGCCTTTTATATGTCAACTAGAATTTGATATTAAAGGAAGCCCCATAAGGTATTCTAGCTTTAGGGTCTTGAAGAAGACATTAACGCAAGTTGTGGGACAGCCTAATGCAGACACTGGACTATTCGACAGTAGCCTAACAACACAAAAGCTTCCGATTTCCATGCATGATGAACACTCATACAAAATAAGATTAACATAGAGAGAGAACGCAACTAGTCAAATTGTAGTGTCTTTCTAACCTGAGCCATTATTGGGTTGCTTGCATCTGCAAGAGGCGTTAATTTCATCCGCTTATTGGGAGAAGAACCGTCTTTATCTATTCCTTCAGATTCAGGAATAGCAGAGCCCTTGATCTGATCAAACGCCTCTAAACCATCCTCAAAGTCAGACTCTTTTACAAACTGTTCCCCAAACGGAAGCTTGACAAACTGAGAAACACAATCCTTCTCGGTTCTACCAGTGACATGCGGTGCAACCTTCTTCCAATCATCTCCATAGTGCATAACAGCTTCCAGCAGAAGCAGAATTTCCTTTTCAGACCACTGTATCTTTGACTCCTCACTAATCTCAACTCGCTTAAACTCCGAGGAGTTAATACCAACACGATAGTTACTACGGACATAGCACCTCGCACACAATGTCAAGTCATACTGAAAAGAAAAATGTACATAATTTCATAAGTGTAGGCTTTGATATTAGCATACTCCAAGTGCCATCATTCTAAGTGACAAACTCAGTGAATGAAACTATTACTATACCCACAAATTAGGAAATCAAACCTTATCACAGGCGAAACAAGCTATGCTGCAAATTGATTTGCAGCCATTGCAGATTCTCTTGGCAGTTTCTTTGACAGTTGTGGATGGCTCAGAAGCAGCATCTCCGACGGATTTTCCGGCCTCCTTTTCGTCCCACTTGAGCGGCTTAGCAGAGGCGGAGCTAGTATAGTTGATAAGCCCCCATGAATCGAGAAAATCAAATACGCGACGAATAGAGACAACATCACTGACGAGAGTTCTCCGAACGTCAGTGAAGCTAATCTTCCGAGGATGTTCGTCTCTGTACTGCTTAATAATCGAATTCCTTAAGTAGAGGTAAAACTTAGGGTTTTTGGACGAAGATCTCGAATCGAAGAATTCCGGCAATGAACGGACCTCGCATCCGTTGATGTCCGTCCACGAAAACCAACCTAATTGGTCAAATCGATGGTACAAATACAAAATCCATAAGAAAAAGTGAAGAAACTAGAATAAATCGAAGGTTTCTCAGCGTTGCAGACTTACGGGAGTAGCTAGGTACGTAGATAGTATCGATATCGGAAGAAGAAGACGGCGGTTGAGGCGACTGCAAAGCTGCGGCAACTCCAGACGTAGTTTCGGAAAGAGAGAGAGTAATTGGAAGAATTTCCCCAGATCCGCCGGAATCGGGAGCTTTCATGGCCATGACTCTGTTCAATAACGCCACTTCGCCGGAGAAGGAAGAGGGAAAAAAAAACAATCCTGATATCGAGCGGGTCAAGTTAAAAGTCTGATAGCTAAATGGGCCTGATTTGGGCCCTAATCCAGTCCAATATGGCCCAATTCGGTATACGTATCAGATTACCTGGTTTAGTGGATACGGATAAAACTGCCATTGTGACTGAAAATATCTCAGATTAACAGACAGATAACGGTGAGAAATTGGAACATATTATTGAAAAAGTAATTGTAGATTGGTAATAAAAGTAATGGTGTCTAAGAAAGTAACAAAAACTCAGAAATTCATGATGGAAAATATGTTGAACAACTCTTATTATTGAGTAAAGATGAAAGAGAGTGTGAGCAGATTGGAACACATGGAGCCAAAACACTCTTATGCTCTTCTTTCCAAGTTTTCAGTCCACAAGCTTAGCTTTTCGGTAGCTCTCTACCGAATCCACAAGTGTTTCCTCCAACGCCTTGTAAGTCCAACCCAACTTCTGCAATTTCTCTGAACTCACCTTCACTCTTTCTTCCGCTTCGATGTATCTGATATTGGATAAGTAGAGCTTGGATCAAATTTAAGAAACTTTAAAACACTGATCTAAAGGTAAATGACATTTCTTAAAGACAGCAATTAGTCTGTTCTCAAAACAAAAATTGCAGACCAACAAAAACAGTTTTTAAGGTTTATAAGTTTTTCATTCAAAAATTTGTCAAGGATGGTTTTGAGTATACAAAATTAAGCAGAGAGATGTGTTGTTTGTTTTACTTACCTCTTTGGGTAGTTGTAATGTGGATAAAGACTCTTCAGCTTCTCAACCACAATTTGTTCTTTGACCGTGTGGGCTGTACATATGTATCTTCCTTCAGCTTCTGCTTTCTCATAAACCAAGAGTAAAGCTTGAGCCACATCACGCACATCTACCAAATGTCGTTCTTGGTTATCACGTGATTCAAAACCCTCTGCACCACAAGTAAAATCAAGACACGAGATTCACTACACTATATACCAAGCTGCTTCTAACAATCCCAGCTGTCATAAGGCTTGTTTATACCTTTAAGAAGCTTGAGAAGAACCATGCTACTAGCATTTACTGTGTGCTGCTGCAGTATAGGTCCCAAGACAAGGCTAGGGGAAACGCTGACAAGATCAAGTCCGGTTCGTTTTGCAAATTCAAAAGCTTCACTCTCTGCTCGTGTCTTTGCTAGACAATACCAATTCTGCCAGAGGAACTTAAATATCAGCAAAAAAAAAAAATATGTAAGATTTAACAAGTGAGATGAGTGAGAGTGATTGAGGATGCATTAACCTCAGTTTTCTTGCAATATTCCTGGTCAGACCAACATGTCTCATCTAATACTTGATTCTTTGACCACACAGGGTTCATGAAAAGTGCAGCTACAGAGGAAACATACACAACACGCTTAACATTCGCTTCAACGCATGCCTTAAGCACATTCAGCGTGCCATCCACAGCAGGTGCGATCAATTCTACCTGCAAAACCAGTCAAAGCAGAGTGAGACAATGTTAAATAGCGCCAATGAGAAATCATAGTAGTGAATGAAATCCTCACCTCAGGATTTGGGACTGAAGCTGGTGGAACCGGGCATGCAACATGGAAGACACCGCTACAGCCAGCAATAGCAGATTGAAGAGAGCCGTAGTCCAACAAATCAGCCTTGAAGAGCTTGAGTTTGTCACCAGCTTTTTCGAGCTTCTTCAAATGAGCATACTTTTCATTATCTATAACAAGAACCATGTCAAACTCTTCATCAGAACAACAACACTAAAAAGCAGAGAAACAAACTAAATTGATTTGGGAACAGCAAACAAAACTCAAAAAAGCTAAATCTTTTATCCTTATTAGAGAACAGAAACTAGCAAATCTAAACAGACTTTGGGAACAGACTTTCTACTTCCACACGCATACAGGTCAACTAGAGATCGGAGTGAATAAAGGTGGAAAATTTACCAGGGTCTCTGACAGTGCCATGGACGAAGTAATCCCTAGAGAGGAGAAGATCGACGACCCACGAACCCAAAAACCCTCCAGCACCGGTTACACAAACCTTTCCTTTGTGAACCACCGCCATTTTCGATCTCTTGATTGTTCCGAGGAAACAAGAAGGTTCTTACTAAAATCGGCTGAGAAGATGATTTTTGATTTTTCTTCTTCCTTGTCCAAGTGCCAGGTGGGTTTGCTACTGTTTGACCATCTGCCTCCACACTGACCACGCACCATCTCAGAATCTTCTCTATCATTATATTTTGGAATATCGCTGTCTTTTGTATTTTTTTCGTATATAATATGATTTCTCATGACCAATATATCCACTTCGTTAGTCCTTTTTATATTATTTTTTGCTCAACTTCGTTTTTTAATATTTTTTTTGGTTCAAAGCTCAGCTTCGTTAATCCATTTAAAAGCTTCAGATATGTAATCTATTTCAGATTACTGTTAACATGTTTGGGCTCTTGTAACATGTACTGTCTATATTATTGGTATTCTTTCGTAGTTTCGTTTTTCTTCATTGTCTCTCTGTATTCTGTAAAAAATACTAATTGAAAACGGTATAAAATTTAACATTTTACCCAAAAAAAGAAAAAATACTATATATGAATTTAAATTTCAGTGGTAATACAATGAACTACTCCCTAGCATAAACTTTGAAGTCATATGTTATGATCGTATCGGCTATATCTTATTTTAATACTCGAATAATCGAATTTTTAGTTAACGAAAACCTTCAGTGTGTGACTCTCTACTCATGAAAACAACATCAAGACCAATAAGTATAAGTTATAACCAAACCAATTTACATTCAAAACATTCCGGAATGCTGCAAAATTAATGAAAAGTGTACAAATATTAATCCAAAATCATGTTGTTAAGTTTTCTGACTTCAAACTTTTTACTTTTGCCATTTCTTATGGAATTTATTTTATTACCTACACATATTCAAAGTCTATGGGCCCTTATAAGAGTAAACAATATTCTCCAGCCCACAATATATTAGAGCAAGAGAGCGGGTCTCCTAATGTTACGTGGAGAAACTAGAGCCGCATGATGTGTCAATCACAAACAAAAACAGATTAACCGTCTCGGCGACCGGTTTACCTTTTGGCAGTGTTCACCAAGCAAATGCGAATCAAATCAAATCGCTGCTTTTACTTTTTTCAATTCCATATCGAATCATCATCAAAGTCAAGCAATCCTCAGAGAAGAGATCCAGAAGAACCCTAGACCAGTAGTATTGAGCATCAAATCAATGGCTAGTAGCTGGAGAAGATCAATAGGGAACGTGAGGTCTTTCATCGGAAATTCCATGGGAGGTCTTAGAGGAGGTCAGAGTGCCGCTTCTTGGGTCGTCGCCGGAACTATTGCCTACTTTCTCTGGATTAAGCCAGCTCAAGATCTTAAAAAGGAACAAGAGGTACCAATTTTGGTTTTCACATCCAAAATAGTTTGTGTTTTTATGGAATCATCTCCAATTTCATTTTGTGGGTTGTCTCTGATTTGATTTAGGCGAGGGCAGCTCTTGCAATGGCTGATCCAAATCAATACGTTGAGAAGAGGAAACCAATCGCTGATCCTCAGGTACATTTCCAACATTTTATCATCATTTGTGGATTCTTCGTTTCGTATATCAATGGTTTTTTGGTGCTATTTGTGCAGGTTACTGGTTTGATTTATGGAAACAAGAACACAACTGATGATAAGCCACAGGATTGAATTTTCTGTAAGTTTGAACATCTGGTTGTAAGTTAGCTTCTACAGTTTTGTCAGGTTTCCATATAGCTAAAGATCATGTATAGACACTATAGTTGTCACTTACAACGAATAAAAGATGGAAACTTTTTTTGTTACCAAACCATCTGTGAAGGATTTTATGTGCATTGTGAGAATGAGAATGGATCTGAAACTTTAGTATTGACTCCCAACTTTCTATTATTTCCTTTTAGTCTGTTCAGTTTGGCACCGATTGGTTTCATCGTTAGTAACTTTTTGAAGTTTGCCGGTTCTGAAACCGTTGCTGGAAATTTATACACGTTGGATTCGATTTTTTGTTTACCCTTGAAATTAGTGAGATGCATCGACTTGCATCGTATCAGTTCCACGCAATTATTCTGTGGTTGGTTTGGTTTATTCTACTATGGTTGTAGGACTGCCACAAGGATGGGTGATTATCTCGTGTCATATTAGGAAAGTATGTTCTTTAGTTCTATTGTGAATGGAAACCTTCTTTTCATGGGATTGATGTGATGCGATTGACAATGGACCTCTGTTTTTTTTGTTGCGTATAATATTGAAGTTCTTCCCTCAGACTTTTGGAGCAATATGCCTTAGTGTCCTTATCTTGGATGTTCTATGAGTTGGTCAGATAGATTTGGTTTGTTCTGCTTTGCGTTCTTGGATTCATTCAGTTTAGTGTGCTTGTTGATCAAGCCTTCTTCTGAATTTGTAACCATCGGAACCATACGTAATGCATTGCAAGTTCTTTGGTTGAACCTTTCATGACTTTGGTATCCAAAAGCCATGTTCATGGATCGCTTTAATAGTTGGCTCATTACTTTATCTAACTGTAGTTTGGTTATAATATAGGTTAATCTAAATATCGTCAATTCGTTTTGAGTTAGAAAAAACATGGACTTTTGATACTGGATAGTTTTCCTATCGAAACGATGAAATTAAATCTTTTGTATAGTAGGATGATGAGAAAATATTGGTGCCGGTTATTCCAACAGCATCGTTCCACAAAACCAACCAGAAATAGCCCATGGCCATCTTTAAGTTGTTGATCACGTCGGGAATGGGTTGAGTATTCACTACTCAGAAGGAAAAACGGTACGAACACGTATTGTCTCTTTCACATAAGATCCAAGACCATCTTTTAAAGTCCATGAGAAAGCTAACGTAGCTTAAGGGCATTTAGCATGATTACTTTTGTTTCAGCTTTAGACTATTTTACTAAACAAATTGACTGACCTGGTCAATACTTTACAAAATTATGAAGACGTACGTAATTTCTCCTCTTACATTTCCATTTTGACGGTACTACGACCAATGAGAAAACGTCGACAAAAGTCAACACATAGGACGCGTTTCTGTTGACTAAATAAGTCCTCGTCGTCTCCTTTGGTTCATCATCATCCTCCTCTCTGTTTAAATCAGGAGAAAGAAAGCTCACGAGAATCCCTCTTCAAATCACACCACCACACAACATGGATGCGCGGACACTCCACGCGCTCTCAGTCTCCACCTTATTCATCCTCTTCTTCGCCGCCTCACCCGTGAAAGCTCAGCAACCGTACGTCAACAACCACCAGCTCGCCTGCGAAACCCGCGATTTCGACAACATAACTAACGGATTCACATGTAATGGCCCAACCTCTTGCCGCTCTTACCTCACTTTCTATTCTCAACCACCGTACAACACGGCGGACTCAATCGCCAAACTCTTAAACGTCTCCGCCGCAGAGATCCAATCAATCAACAAACTTCCCACCGTCACCACCAGAATCCGTACCCGTGACTTAGTCGTGATCCCAGCTAACTGTTCCTGCTCCTCCTCCGCCGGAGGATTTTATCAGCACAACGCTACTTACAATCTCTCCGGCAACAGAGGAGAAGAGACGTATTTCTCGGTGGCTAACGATACTTACCAAGCTTTGTCCACGTGTCAAGCCATGATGTCACAGAACCGTTACGGCGAGAAAGAACTAACCCCCGGATTAAACCTCCTTGTTCCTCTCCGATGTGCTTGCCCCACCGCGAAACAAACAGCCGCCGGATTTAAATATCTCTTGACTTACTTAGTCGCCAGGGGAGATAGTATCTCCGTCATCGCTGATAGGTTCAATAGCACAACCGCCGCTATAACCGAAGGTAACGAGCTTACATCAGAAGACACTATCTACTTCTTCACGCCGGTGCTTGTTCCTCTCAGAACTGAACCTACCAAAATCGTGATATCTCCGTCGCCTCCTCCACCGCCTGTTGTTGCTACGCCGCCTCAAACGCCGGTGGATCCTCCGGGATCTTCTTCTTCTCACAAATGGATTTACATCGGAATTGGAATCGGAGCTGGTTTGCTTCTCTTAATCTCTATCTTAGCTCTCTGCTTCTACAAACGAAGGTCTAGGAAGAAGTCATTGCCGTCGTCGTTGCCGGAGGAGAACAAGCTCTTTGATTCATCTACCAAACAATCTATTCCCACAACAACGACTCAATGGTCAACAGATTTATCCAATTCATCAGAAGCTTTTGGTCTAAAATCCGCCATAGAATCTCTAACACTTTACAGATTCAACGATCTTCAAGCCGCTACTTCGAATTTCAGCGACGAAAACAGAATCAAAGGCTCTGTTTATCGCGCGACGATCAACGGCGATGATGCGGCTGTGAAAGTGATCAAAGGAGATGTTTCTTCCTCTGAGATCAATCTTTTGAAGAAGCTAAATCATTCTAATATCATCCGTCTTTCCGGTTTCTGTATCCGCGAAGGAACATCGTACCTTGTCTTCGAGTATTCGGAGAATGGATCGATCAGTGATTGGCTTCACTCGTCGGACAAGAGAACTCTGACATGGAAGCAGAGAGTTGAAATAGCAAGGGATGTGGCAGAGGCATTAGACTATCTTCATAACTACATAACTCCACCTCATATCCACAAGAACTTGGAATCCACAAACATACTTCTTGATTCTAATTTCAGAGCCAAGATTGCGAATTTCGGGGTTGCGAGGATTCTTGATGAAGGTGATCTTGATCTTCAGTTAACAAGACATGTTGAAGGAACACAAGGCTACTTAGCTCCAGAGTATGTGGAGAATGGAGTCATAACTCCGAAGCTAGACGTGTTCGCTTTTGGTGTTGTGGTTCTTGAGCTTCTTTCAGGGAGAGAAGCAGTGGATATACATAAGAAGAAGGAGAAGGAAGAAGAAGAAGAAGAAGTGGAGATGTTGTGTAAAGTGATAAACAATGTGCTTGGAGGAGAGAATGTGAGAGAGAAGTTAAAAGAGTTCATGGATCCATCTCTAGGGAACGAGTATCCGTTGGAGCTGGCTTACACCATGGCTCAGCTTGCTAAGAGCTGTGTCGCAACTGATCTTAACTCGCGCCCATCTGTCACTCAGGTTCTAACCACGCTTTCGATGATCGTCTCCTCCTCCATCGATTGGGAGCCTTCTGATGACCTTCTTCGTTCGGGCTCTCTTGGCAACTAGTTCAGTTTTTTTCTTATTGGTAGTCAATAACAAGTATTTAGATTTTAGATAAGGACCATAAGGCTAAAAAGTTGAGATCAAATAAGTACCACACTGTGAAACAAAAGTAATAAGAAGATATCATAGAGAAACTTTATTTAGATATTGGCATGTTACTTCAGTGGTCTTTTGTACTACAGTAGAATCTTAAGGAGAAACAGAACCAAAAATGATACAAATAAACAAAAACAAGTTTTAAACAACAATACCACTACACAAAATGTTTATCAGAGAGAATCATATCCTAAGATTGGATTATGTTATCTGGTTATGGTAATTTCATCTAAATCAAAACAAGAAATTTATGTATAATTATAGTCACACCAAAGAATCTAATTTGTTCCTTTTCAGACTTTAGAAACATCAGAACTTCTAAGCATATGGCTTGCCTAAGAATTGAATCACAATGACAACTATTGTCCAGATCAAATACTTGGAATTAGCTTATTTGCTTTCAATAATTATAAATTATTTATACAAATCCAATTAGTTTACTATCATCGAATGAATCATTGAAATGATTCAATGATTTTAATTAAAAAAATTGGCTAAATCAATTATTGTCTTACGACAAAAGAGAAAAACCAACGATACATCGTATGATGTCCAAAGTCTTGATTAACTCTGATTTCTATTTAGTTCAATACATAACATAAGAAAAGACAACTGTTTTAAAAAATATTGATTAAAGTCATTAATGAAATAGTAAAACAAAATGAAAAATGATACAAGTAAACAGAAACAACTATACCTTTATAGACAAAATGCTTATTAGAGAGATGACAGTTATATTCTGGTCATGAGAAATTTTTCACATCTGTCCCAAGTTTTTTCTGCTCAAACTCTTTAATCGTCTTCACTAGCTTCTTCATGTTGTTGTCGTAAACATAGGGAAGCTTATTGTACAATGTCACCTTCTTCTTGGCTGAATTTGGTAACATCTCTCTGCAAAGCTCCTCATGCACAGTTATGGTGTTGTGGTAATGGTAATAACGGATCTTTGTCTCTGTCTTGTGTAGTGTTTTGCCTACTATGTTTTCAGACATGTGAACTCCTGTGGCAAATGCATTCTTCGCTTGGATGGCATATTTTCTGTCGCGACGTATGTTTGTTCTTGAATCCTTAAACAGCAACTTCTCAAATCCCCATTGCCTGAACAAAAACAAGAAACAAGTGTGTTCCTTTTCATCACCTTTATATCCGGAAACATCAAGAATTGAATCAAAGTGAAAGCTAATTTCTAGATTAGATCCTAATAGTATCATCTAAGCCTAAGACAGAACAATGCTCATAAGCCATACATCAATATTCCAAAGTCCTACCACTAAACTTGTCGATTCCAAATTACATTATAAGTGTTTTTGAGGTTGAAGTTAGTACCTGGGATAATCTTGAGAGGAGTCATTTAAGCAAAGAACACTAGACATTGGATTCTGCTCAATCGTAAACTGCGTGTTCACCGAGAACTCATCGAGCACCGATTCGAGTGTATTCCCATGCGGCAAATAGATGTACTCATCAACATCAAAGAAGAATGTCCAATTCGCAGCGTATCGATACCGATGCAAACAATCATTAACAATAAGAAACTGATTATAGTAGTAACCATCATACTGCGACTGATCCCTAATATCCTGAACCGTGACTCTCCCAGCTCGAATCCACGGCTCAAGAACCTTCCTAACTTCCGGCGACACTCCACCAGCATCGTGGAAAACAAAATGCGATTTGTCACCAAAGAACCAAGCATGGTAAGCCATCCACTCTCTCATACGCGACGAGCTCACGTTTCCGTACAGAGACGAGCCACAATAGAGGTAATCGTACTGATACGGCGGCGAGTATTTCGATTCGTCGTAGATTCCAGCTGATTCCTCTAACGTAGTGAATCGTTCAAAGAGTTTCGGAGATTCGTTGTAGTAAGCGTTGAGAATGAGCTTACCTCCGGTGTTATCGGAGTTAGGGTTTGAATTGAAAGTGCAATTGACGACGACGACGGTGTAGACTCGGCCATAGCCCCAATCTGGTAGAATCTTCTGTGCTTTAGCTCGAATCGAAGTTCCATTGTTAGATATCCACTCACACTTGTACCATGGCTTCCCGAAAACGTGGATCGGTTTTGACGCGAGTCCGATAACGGAAAACGTCGTTGGACCGCCGCGGTAAGCTCCCATTAGTACGAATAACGCCGCCGCGTTTCCGAACGGTTGGAAAACGCGTTTGTTCGGATCTGAGGGAGTTGAATCGTACTTCTGAGAAGCAGCAGCAGTTGTGGTTGAGAGAGAGGTGGTGAAATTCGCCGCCGCGGTGAAGTTCGATGAGGAGAGTATGGTTGTGGTGGTGGTGGTGG